TTGGCTTGTGTGTATGTGGTGGTTATTAAGTACGAGCAATCACAGTTTTTAATTATTAAAATTTTCCTTTCGTGGACATTCTTAAACATTGTTGTCAATGTCGTCGTCTTATTGTAAAGTCTTGCCTGTTTTTGTTTGGTCTTTCGAAAGTGCGTCTACTTACTTTACTGTTCATGTTATTCATTGTGCTTTGTACAACGGTGATGTCACGTTACATAAAGCCTCGCATTCACATATTATTTTTTCTTTTCTTTTTATATTAAGATCGACAGGTTAAAGAGAGGACAAATAGAAACTTAGGTCTTGATTTGAAAGCAAACCTTTTTAGGCTACTACTTCTAGCATCGAATCAGAAATTTTGACGAATAAAACGCATATAAGAAAATTACGTTTATTTTATTAAAACATCAATCCGTATATTCAATAATTGAATTTTTGTGTGGCTGTGATCACTGAATTTATTGTGGTTGTGTTTTAAAGATCTCATCAGTGCAAAAACAAAATGTGTTTTAATATGTTTTTTACTTTCGGAATTGTGTTTTGGAGTTATGGACTACATTGTGATGAAAAGGCACTAATACAATTCAACGTGATCTTATATGATATGACTGATTATTTGTGTACATCATCGCCTTATTAATATCCAACGAAAATCTAACCTTTGAATATTGTGTTTATCTTTGATTACATCGATATTGCCTTTGTGTTTAATAATTTGCATATTCTAGAACTTTACCTTTATTTTTGAGATAACTAAGTTCGTGATCTCTTAGCCAACGCAACGACCACTTATTCTAGTGTTCGAACACTAAGAATAATTATATAAGAATGGCATTATATAGGCCTTTTAACACAAAATAAGAATGGCATTATTTATAAGATCTTAGACTCTTAGTATCAGTAGGTATCATTTCAGCATTATCCTTATCTCTTATAAACTGCTTAAAAGCATCTAACAATGATCTTTAGATGCCAAAAAATTCAAAAACTTGATATTAAAGGAACGAGAGCACAATGTTTATAGATAGACACGATAAAGTTATTTAACGAGCATAATGTGGCTTAATTATAAATTATAAGAACATACTTCTAAACTTGCTATCTCATCAAACACTACACATTTTCCAAGTAGCGATTCATTTATATGTTTGTTTTTCCCAGTCATTTTTTTTTCCGAAACAATCGGAAGATTTTAAACCGAAAAGTAATCTCCAAAGCATGTGATAAAACTGAGTATCCACGCCAATGCGGTAAACTCAAATCTTATTTTTTTCCAAGTTTTAGAATGAAACTCTTAAAAAATCATACCAGTTTTAAAAAAATCACTTATACTTGTTTTCATAATGTGATTGCTCGTTAACCAGGATAATCTTAGAGAAAAATCCAGACTAATCTCTAAAACCTATAAATCAGCAAAAATTTCTTACCATTTAAAGTGTCCACATAGTCAACCATAATTAAAGTCGCAATGAAAAATTTCAAACCCTAGTCTCCTAGTTAACATGGTAAATCCTCAATATATAAGTCACGTATAGACTATAGTTAATTCATGTAAGTCAATCAAAAACACCATATGAGTTTGGTTAAATAAAATGTATGTTTACTTGCTTTTGTTTGGCTTATGTAAATTAAGTATACATGGATTTTATAATTATAATATATACTTTTCCAACTTAAGGCACTACAAAAAAACTATCTCACCATAAGAAACTAAAACAGGCATAAACTACTATGTCATATTAATATAATCGTAGTCGATGTGACTTAACGTTAATATATGTATCATATATCATATACGACGAACTGTCTAGCAGAACCTCGTTAGTGGCTTTTGATTGGCTTATGTAAGCTCATACGTACACCAAGTGTGATACATGTCCTTTATTACATTCATATATTGATTACATTACTTTTCTGAAGTTTTCTCATATATATTTATCGAATATTTTCTTAAACATGGATATATATATATATATATATATATGAAAAGACGAATATTTACATTCATATATATATATATATATTTTTTTTCTTATATATATAAGTGTCTTTGTGTTCGTGAGTTTTGTCACCAATATTCATAATCTATCGCTCGTCATCTTCTTCAATCTCTTTGGTCGTACAAAACAAAGAAAGGTGGGGCTGTGGGAAGAAAAATATGTAGACGTAACTGTGCTTGCTAGGATTTTTGCGTCGATCTTTTAATTCCTTAGTTGGTTTCTTGAAACATTTTGTCAATATCAGAATCTTTCTATCCGAATTTCAGAATCATTTTGGTTCGTGTCTGTCAATTAAATTAAATTTCTTCATCAAGCTTGAGCGGTTAATCACTTATGAGAGAAATTCTGTGAGTTTGCAACGAATACACGCAACAAGGATGTAAAATCTAACAATGGATAGTTAGTTTTCAAGGGTTTAATCAATATGTAAGAAACTGTTGATGGACCATCTTTTAACACTACTTTGTATGGTATTAGTAATACATTAACTACCCCTACACCACAAAGAATAAACACGAGAAACATATATTTTTGGAAATTGGTTTTGTGATGTAACGAATGCATTACTGTTTTGTTTGAAATTAAAACAGTGTGACCCAAATTCCCAGGTTCCCCCCTTGTGATCCAACTTAAAAGAAATCATTGTTAAGTTGAAGATTTTATCTACATTGTCGTATATATGGACAGCTAATTATGAGATTTAAAATTCCATATTTACTTATATATAATTCCCAAAGATTTGCATGGTAACCACGTGAAAGATATAAAAGAAATGAAAATATATAGCTAAACCCTTTAACAAACAAAAAAAGAAAAGAAAAATGAAATTAGCTTTTCAATAAAAAAAAAAGTTTAATATAAAATCTTTACACATGTGTAAAGAGCTATACCATCTAGTACTAGTTAGGTTAAATTTATAAAAGTCAAACTACATTGGCATTAGATGAACTGGTTAATATCACATTTAATTATACATGGATTTAAATTCTATATTTAGATATTATTTTTAATTGATATTAAGCTAAGGTTAATTTAAGAGTTTATCAAACATTAAATTAGTATAGTTTTGACTTTTAATCAATATAGTAATATATTAAAATGGAGGATAAATTATACTTCTATTTTTTTGCTAAAAAACTTTATAAGTTTGTCACCAATAAATACAAGTAAATAAAATAAAATTCATACAGATTCTCAAACTAAATTATTTTTAAAATAATAATATCATATTGATAAGATACAACTTTTGAAATCTTTCATAAATGGAAAATGCTTCAAAACTTATGTTTGTTTTGTTTTGTTCGGTGGTTTTTATTTCTCATTAGTTTTCTTCCTCTTAGTCTTATACTAGTAGTAAACCCACATGTTTGTGCGGTGTGACGTTGTGATTTTGTGTAGAAAATCTAATACTATTTTCACTAAAACTTTAACCTCAGAATATATTAGTTCATGAAATTGTATCAGTGATTTTTGGATCTCATTAAATAATATATAATTAAAACAAAATAAGTTAATGAAGTCATTCGTATGCATATTGTTTAGAGTAAATAGAAATAGGGAAAAAGTCAAAAAGATCTAAAAATAATAACTAATTTGTTAATAGTAAACCGCATGTTAGTAGCGGACCTGTGCGTTTACGCAATAGTATGTTATGTTTTTATTAAGAAAAACAAATAGCTCAATTTAAAAAACTTGTATCTATTAATGTGGTAGCTAACAAAGTTCTAAAAATGAAATGAATGTAATTAGGAATAGTAACATGATACTTGAGATCCAAACCTAACCTGCAAAACCCGAATCTAACCCCTTCCAAAATAAAATAAAAAATCGAATATTATTTATATTTCTAAATTTAAAACCTGAAAAAAACCTAGAAAACCTTTAAGAAAAAACCTTTAAAACCCCGTATCCAAAAATCTCTTTATGATTTATTATTTTTTTATGTATATGTGATTTGTTTTTGTGTCTCTTGTATGTTGGAAAAAAAAAGTTGTGTAATAAACCATAGTAGCTTTTTATTTGGTCTTGTCTATATTATCTAATTTCTTCCACCGCTCAATCTATTCATTCTTCTTCCTCTACCTCATTCGAAATACATGGTTCTTTGTAATGAACTCTCTCTGCTTCTCGTTTTATTTTTCAGTTTCTGATCTAAGTTCTTTTATCCGAGCAAAGGCTTCTCACATTTTATTCCATGGTGGGATTGTTTTATATTCGGCACTCTTGAATTAGGTAAGGTCTTATCGAATAGATCTATTGTTGTCCAGTTTCTTTTAGCTCAGGTGATTTTATTATTGGATTTCTTACTTTTGCTTTTTATGTGAAGGTTAAATGAGAGGTTCAGGTAAGAGTTGGAGAGAGATATGAGTTGCAACAGATTTATGGGTTTGGGAATACGATTGATGGGGGTGAGGATTCAGCTGACGATGATAATGAGTCAATGACCATGCCAAAGAATGTGACAATGTGTTATTTAGGAAAGCCCATGAACCGAGAAATATGAAAAATAGATTGCTGGTTTAAAGAAACCATTGGAGATTGGTTTGATTTAAGTTTTGCTGAAGATCCGCGTCCCATATCCTATAAATTCGGGTGGTTTTTTTTCTTTGTTCTGAGTTGACTCAGTGGATTCGGCTTTTTTTTACCAAATTGACCTCCTTATACTCTTTCTCTATATAAATGAATTGGTTTTTTGGTCCAAAAATTATCAATGTACTTTTCAATTAATAATAAAAAGATAAGTCTGCTACAAGTGTGCCACGTTTTAAATTCTATACAATGCAAAATATCATTTTATATCAAATTAATAATCCTAAATTGAACCAAATTAATCAAACCTCAGATTTATTTCCGTTTTTGTTTGTTTTGGGTCAAAATAAAGTTCGGTTCTATGTAGATGTTGTGTAGGGCCTCAAACTCTATATATCAGAGAGTCTCTGCGATGATTTGCAATTTTGTATTCATTTTTCATTGTCAGATCAGCAAATAATACCAACGATCATGATGAATTCCATCCCGATTGATCTTTTTCTCGATATAATCTCAAGATTACCTGCAAAGTCAGTGGCAAAGTGTTTTTTCGTATCGAAGCAATGGGCGTCCATGCTTTGCCGTCCAGATTTCACTGAGTTGTTCCTCACCAGATCCTCCGCTTGTCAGCGTCTCTTATTCGCTATCAGAGAAGTTGAAAACAACGAGTGGCACTTCTTCTCGTCCCCTCAACCTCAGAATCCGTATGAGACGTCGTCTCTTGTAGTAGCCGCAGATTCTCATATCAAGTTCCCTGAAGGGATGTGTCCTGAATTTTGTGATTATGCCTCTGGTTTGATCTATAGCACGGGACAATATGAATGTAAGGTTGAGGATAACGTGAATGTGATATGTAACCCTAGCACGGGACAATATGCTAGCTTACCTGAATTGGGAACGTACAGATCCTCAAAATATTACCTAGGGTTTGATCCGATTGACAAGATATTCAAGGTATTGTATATTGGTGTTAGAATTATGACATTGGGGAATGGGGCAATGAGGTGGAGGAAGATCCAATGCTCTTTGACCCATCATAATCTTTTCAGTGAAGGGATATGCATCAATGGAGTTTTGTATTACATAAGTGGACAAATTGGTGTAACGTCTTATGTGATAGTTTGTTTTGATGTTAGATCAGAGAAATTCGATTTTATTGACGCAGAAGGCTATTACTCTAAATTGATAAACTTTAAGGGTAAATTTTGTATGGTTGATTTGAGTTATATTCGCGATGGTGGACATTCTCGACACCTTGAGCTGTGTCTCTCGGTGCTAGAGGATGTCGAGAAACGAGAATGGTCGAAACATGTCTACACTTTGCGAGATGATAAATTCGATACAGACCGCAATGGTTTCCTCCGTGTTCGGGTCGCTGGAGTGACAGCTACGGGTGACATTGTTTTGTCGTCGATGGTGTATGTTAAAACATCTAAGCGGCCGTTTTATGTTTTCTACTTCAATCCCGAGGAGAAGACTCTAGACAGTGTTGAAATCCAAGGTTTTGGAGATATGTCTAACATTAATGGTGACAGTGAAGTTACAGCCTTTGTAGACCATGTAGACGACCCTAAGGTTAGTATTATGCTGCAACATCGTCTAAAGCTCACATGCAACAACTATGAGCCAACCAGAACACAAGCATAAACTCAAGAGCGCATCAACATCATCTACATCTGACATGCAGCAAGAGTTACAAGATCGTGGTCTGTTTAGGTAGCATTAAAAATTTGATGCTCTGTGTCTTTTAGATGATGATGAATCGGCTAAAAGCTCTATTTATAATGGAACTTGTATTTTCTCTGTTATCAAAGAAATTAGTTTTTTTTTTTATTCATGTTGGCTGAAGTTGTCTTCATAATGTTTTATAACATAAAAATCTCTCTATATTGGCTGTGAGTGCGACTTCTCTCATTCACATGTTGTTTCTGTGTGTGAGCTTTGTCACTCTGTTGGCTTAACCATTTTTCTCTTTCTGGTCATTTTAAACTCTTTTTTTCGTTATGTAAATATTTGGTAAGCGGTTTCTTGGCTGACAAGAAAGTTCTTGATGGCTCTGCTCTGTAACAAGAAAGAGGACAGTAACTTCAACACCAAAAAAGGTTTCTTGCAATGTACTGCACTCATTTTGTTTGTTTAGGTTCATGTAGTATTTTCATAAACTTGATTTTATAGTATTCTCTGATGATGAACAACCATATTTGGAAAGAAAAATCAACAGTTTTTTATTTGCTCCTAACCATAACTAAGGGTAGAGAGAAACATCAAACATACAACATTGTTAAAAATTGGTTCAAACACATAAACATCTACATAGAGCAATGCAATAGACTAAAGAACCAAGTTTCACATTCTAGTTGGATACCAACTTAAACCGAGCAAAGTCATAACATAAAACTTAAAAAAGACAACACCATTAACCACAAAGTCCTAACTTGCTTCTTCTCAGGGACTTGGTTTTGAGACAACCAGAAGAAGCTCCCCAGGTTTGATCATTGTAAAACTGCAACATTCCCCTACAGCAATAGGATACTCCTTACACAAACGAGACCATCCACTAGACAAGCTTCCAGATGTCGACCTCGCCAAGTAACCCACATGCCATGACATGTTCATATCTTGGTGATGTATCTTCAGCGTGGTGTCATGCTTCGGCATATGATTCATTGCAATAGATTGCGGAATCGCCTGAAAAAGATACACATACCACATCATCTTTAGTTTTCAAGAACACGAATCCCATTACAAAAAAAAAAACTGTGTTTAGAGTATTAAATTTTGTCTTTTTATCTTACTAGATAGGTGAGGTATGATCTCTGGACGAGGATGGTGAATTCTCCAACACAAGATGAAGATGCTCCTGCAGAATCTCTCCCACGGCTAAACACTTTCTTGGTCCTCTTTGTGTTTTCGGATTCCTCAACTCTCCTGAGCTTCCTTTTGCTGTTTCCTCCTCCATTAGATTCTGCTGTTGTTGGGAAACCACGACGAGGATGACTCGACTCAGCAGCTGCGTTTTCATCCCCTTGTTCTGTCTTAATCCGACCTGTCTCATTTAGAAGCATAAAGAAACAATCTCATTAACGAACCATAACAAATGTTCATCACTGTTTTCATAAACTGAAAAAAAAGATCATCTCTTACTAGAAGGAGAAGACGAGTCCATGATTTGTCGTGGTTGGATCATCTCTCTCTCATCCTTTTCGAAGATGTTCACAGTGAATTGCATGTTTCCTCTGTGAGTGAAGGTTAAGAACTCATTGTCTCCTAAGAAATTGTCCTTGACAAACTTTTCCCATCCAGCCTTCTCCATGAAGTAGAATCTTGGGTTCTTAGAGATTCCCATCTCCCAAGTGCGTCCCCATTTTGTTATTATCTCCATATTGCTACCGGAGAGCTCATCGTCGGAGAAGCTTCTCACAAAGTCATAAGGAATTGCTCTCTGTTTTGGCAAAAAGATGAAGAAAGTTTGTTAAAGAGCCAAACAGAGTGAGTTTTTTTGAGATCTGTATACACAGAGAGACAAAAGATTCATTTTTTTCAGACACAGGAACTAAAAGATTCAACTTTTAAAACCTCATTGTTACAGAGAACCAAAAGATTCAGTTTTTTTCAGACACAGAGAACTAAAAAGATTCAACTTTTGAAACCACATTGTTACAGAGAACCAAAAGATTCAGTTTTGTAGACACAGGAACTAAAAGATTCAACTTTTAAAACCCCATTGCTAAAGAGAACCAAAAGATTCAGTTTTTTCAGACAGAGAACTAAAAGATTCAACTTTGAAAGCGCATTGTATGCAGAGAACCAAAAGATTCAACCTTTCCTAACAAAACAAGTCGCGTAATTTAAGAACAAGAAGAGATTATAAGAGAGTTACTATGTTTTCTGAAGATAGGTCTATGCTCTGGAGAACCTTGAAGAAACACTTGCTTTCCCGTTCTTCTTTGAACTGAAGAAAATCACGGTTCCTAACCATCTTTCTCGGTGGAAAACTTCTGCTCAAATTCACCCACAAGTTTTTTTTTTCTCTTCAGTTTATTTGTCTCTCTCTCTTTCACTCACTCTTTCTATATCTCTCAAGTGTAAAGAGAACTATTTTTCAAAAAAAATAAAAAAAATGGTAATAGAATTATGAAAATAGAAGAAGAAAGTAAAAAAGTAATTTGTGTATTTGTACACGCAAAAGCAGAGAGAGTCGTTTGCTTCTTTTGGCAACTGTATCACCTACGTCACCAAATGAGTCAGCCTTCAAACTTGCTTTTCTTTGTGTACTATTGGACCTATTGGTCATTGCTTTGGTACAATGTGTAGTGTAAATAATTAAATTTTTGACGTACAAACAAAAATAAATAAACAATAAATTATTGTTCATATTAATTTTGTACTGTTTCGCACTAAACCTTGAAAAATATTCGATGGTTTTTATTTTTTATTTGCTAATCTTATTCTTTTTTTTTTGATCAACTGCTAATCTTATTCTTCCAAAAAACAATTTCTGGATATTCTTGATGTTTTCTCTCTAACTTAGGTTATTATTAAATTATAAAACTAATTAAATTATATTATTTTTAGAATTATACATAAATTGTCTTTTCTAAAGACATATACTTTTTCAAATTCTACCTAAATTAAACAATTATATTAATGAAAGATATTTAGTATGAAAATTAATGTATGAATCAAACAAATCATTTAAAATTAATTAACAAAGAAAATGATTATGTGTCAATTTATAGAGAGTTATGAGATGTTAGCCTAAGAAGAGAGTACAATTAGTTTATAGATATATATCATAAAATAAAGTTATTTATCTATCAAGTTTCATTATACATGGATTTGAATTATACATGTATATATATAATATTTAATTGATATTAAATTAGGATTTTAAAAATATTGGATTAATATAATATAAAGAAATATTGTTATATCAAATATTGAGAAAATATATGTTTAAGATTTGTGGATTTTAAATTTATAATCTGACTTTCCCTTTGAAATATAGTTGATACTTTGTATATGTGTTTTTATTTTTGTTAAAACACTTTATAAGTTTCTCACCACTGAAAAACAAAAGAATTCAACATAGATTCTCAGCCTAAGTTATATTAAAAATATTAATCTTGATAAGATACAGCTTTTAAAATCTTCATTAATGGAGATGCTGTAAAACTTAACTTATGTTTGTTTTGTTTTTTTTGGGTGGTTTCACTTACGCCCAAGTCTTTTCTATATACTGTATTAGTGAGTCTCCAAGATAAAACGATCATATGATCGGTTAATGCCTTCACACCCAAATCGAACAAAATTAACTCAAACCTTTTTCTATACATATCTCCATGATGAATTCCCTACCTACTGATCTCTTTCTCGAGATATTCTCAAGACTGCCTGCAAAGTCAGTCGCAAAGTGTCTTTTCGTGTCGAAGCAATGGGCATCCATACTTGGCGGTCAAGATTTCACAGAGTTGTTCCTCACCAGGTCCTCGACTCGTCCGCGTCTCTTATTTGCCATCAAAGAAGTTCAAAACAGCGAGCTGCACTTCTTCTCGTCTCCTCAGCCTCAAAATCCGTATGAAAAGTCGTCTCTTGTAGTAGTATCCCCCGATTCTCATATCAAGTTCCCCAAAGGCATGCATCGAGAATTTTGTGGTCATACCTCTGGTTTGATTTTTATCCATGGTAATTTGATCTCAAACAATAGCGTGCAGGTGATAAGTAACCCTAGCACGGGGCAGTGTGCGAGCTTACCTAAACTGAAAACAACAAACGTATATTCGAAAAGTTATTTAGGGTTTGATCCCATTGGCAAGCAATTCAAGGTATTGTGTATTGATAACGGTAGTGCTAGAATTCTGACATTAGGAACAGGGAAAATGACGTGGAGAAATATCCAATACTCCTTAACCCATGAGCCTTTATACGAAGGGATATGCATCAATGAGGTTTTGTATTACGTAGCTCAAAGAACTGATGAAACGTCTTATGGGATAGTTTGCTTTGATGTTAGGTCTGAGAAATTCAACTTTATTAACACAAAAATCTTTTATAAGTTGATAAACTATAAGGGTAAATTAGGCCGGGTTGGTTTGGATTATATTTACGATGGTGGAAGTTGTACGATTGAGCTGCGTTTGTTGGTTCTAGAAGATGTCGAAAAGGGGGAATGGTCGGATAATGTCTATTTTTTACGGGATGATAAATTCCTTGATGGCGGCCGCAGTGGTTTCCGCTATCTTGACGTAGCTGGAGCGACAGCTATGGGTGACATTGTTTTGTCGATGGCAAACACATCTAAACGCCAGTTTTATGTTTTCTACTTCAATCCCGAAAGGAAGACTCTACAAAGTGTTGAAATTCAAGGATTTGGAGATATATTTTTTTTTTTGCTAAACTGTAAATATCATATAAATGAAGATGATGGTTTTACATAGAGCAAACCCTTGCAATGGTTTCTTGGCAAAAAAAGGTGAAAAAACAAGAAAGCATAAAGATAGCTTGATGATGACAACTTATCTGAGCCAATGGCTCATTAAACTCTCGAAATTCCTTTGACGTCTTCTGGCATTTATTGTATTAATGATGTGCCTATCCAATTCCTTGAAGATGGCAGAAGGTGAGATCGAGATGGCATTATGGAGAAGATTATTTCGTTGCTTCCAAATAAGGTTGATGGCAGCGTGGGCCACAAGTTTCCGAAGGATTGGTGGAGAGGGAACAGAGCTATCCCCTGTCCAAGATAAGAGCTCCGTCCAATGAAGAAAGAGGGAGCGATTTGGGCTTAGTCTACGAAACACTTCTTCCCAAATCATTGAGCTGAAATCACAAGTTAGCAGCAAGTGATCCCTCGATTCTGGATGAGAAGAGCATAGAACACACATTGGAGAGATCTGCATCCCCCATGACACTAGCCTTGTTCTAACCGGAAGCCTATTCAAAGTAGCAATCCACATTGTGAAGGCGTTTCTGGGAGTAGCCCCTTTAAACCAAACTTGCGACGCCCAACTTTTCTCTGTTGCTCTAGGCCTTAGAGTGTCCCATGTTGTTGCAGTCGGGAAACCCTCAAAACTTTTTCCGTCAATAACCCAGTCATAATGGTCTTCCACAGCCTGACTTAGAGGGAGATAAATTGTAGTGAGATAAGCACAAAGGGCCATAGATCGATCCGATCTCGGGTTGGCGACAGACCACGAGACGCCGTCGCACACATCACTCACCTTTGCCAAAATATTAATTCTTAAGTCTCTTGGACCATTTATCCCCAAATAATTGAGCAGAGGACCAAACGGTGTCCAAATGTCACCCCAGAAGCTTGCTGTTTTACCATTTCCAATGGTGCAGCGTAAAAACTTCTCTGCAAGTGGTCTGAGTTTTAGCAGTGCACGCCAAGTCCATGACTGGCCAGCATTCTCATTTTGAGTCCAGAAGTTGGCTAAAGATGTATTGTGATACCTGTGCCAAGCTACCCACAGAGAGCCGCTTGTTGAAAATAAAAGCCTAATGAGACGCAGATTTAGGGTCTGATTCCATTCAGACAAGCGCCTCAAACCCAAGCCTCCCTCTGACTTTGGTAAACAAGCCACTTTTGCCTTTTTAGACATTTGGATACTTCCCGATCAAAGGAATCTGGAGCACAGGGACTCAATCTGCCTGATACAACCTTTCGGTAGGATGAATGTCGAGGACCAGAAGTTGACGGAGCCCATTATTACCGAGGAGATCAGTTGCAACCTTCCAGCAAAAGAAAGCGTCCTTACTGACCAAGTGGTAAACTGCTTTGATAATTTCTCCACTAAGGGAGAGTACTCGGAGATTCTCAGTTTCCTGCACGTTAAAGGCAGACCCAGGTATCTTATAGGGAAGGATCCAATTGGGAATCCATAGTTAGCAATAGCTGCGGATTCGATTTGGCTCATCCCTGCCGTGAAGAGCTCTGTCTTGTTCCTGTTCATATGCAAGCCAGACCATCCCGCAAAATCATCTAGAGTCTCATAAATTCCATGGAGAGATGAACTCGTACCGTCAAAGAAAAATCATCACATCATCGGCAAACATCAAGTGAGAAATATTCAGTTCGTGGGTTCTAGGATGATACGAGGTACATCCCGAAGTAAACCTGGATTGAAGAAGTTTTGAGAAGACCTCCATGACCAAGACGAAGAGGTATGGTGATATTGGGTCGCCTTGCCTTAGACCCCTTGAGCTCTTGAAGAAGCCGCCCTCAACCCCATTAACAGACACATAGAAGCATGGCGTTGTGAGGCACTCTGAGATCCACCCAACGAACTTGTCTGGCATATTCAAGCCTTTCAAAACGGAGATTACGAAGTCCCATCTCACAGAGTCAAAATCCTTGCGCAAATCCACTTTTAGCATGCCTCTAGGAGAGACATTTGGCATGTTGTAGCCTTGCACAATTTCAGTAGCCAATAGCACATTTTCCGAGAGCAAACGACCCAATAAAAACGCAGATTGAGAGTGAGAGATGACTGAGGGCAAAACAGACTTCAATCTCTTAGCTAGAAGCTTTGAGATAACCTTGTATAGCGTGTTGAGGCAAGAGATAGGTCTGAAATCAGTTGTTCTTGAAGCATTTGTGATTTTAGGTATGAGCACCAGATTTGTAGCGTTCCATTGCTTTAGGAGCTTTTCTGAAGAGAAAAATTCTTTTACAGCCGCTGTCACTTCTCCACCTACTACTGTCCAGCAAGAAGTGAAAAACTCCGGAGTAAACCCGTCTGGACCACACGTTTTGTTTTTGGGGAGAGACAAGAAAGCCTCCTTAATCTCCTCACTTGAGAAGCACGAGTCTAGCTGAGAACGCTGTGACATAGAGCAGCTGAAGTCTAGAAGAGAGGTAATATCCTCCTGAACAAACATAGGCTGGCTCTGAGCACCACTCAGCAGACCTTCAAAGTAATCGACGCAATGCGCATGAATGGCTTGTGGTGACTCAATACGGTTTCCAATCTCATCCTCCAAAAAGTGAATGACATTCATTGAATTTCTCGATTTCATAATCCGGTGGAAATAAGCCGTGTTCATATCCCCTTCTTTAAGCCAAGTGACTCTCGACCTTTGTCTAAATAATCTCTCTTCAGCCTCTGCCAATACTTCCCAGTTTTGTTGAGCGAGGAGTTCCAAATGAGCATTTGAGGGAGTAGGTGACTCCAACGTAGCTACTTGTCTATCTAGCAGATGTTGATGGGCTTCCTTCACTCTTTTTTCCAATCCAGAGTAGTTCTCTCTACTGAAATCCCTTATATTTTTCTTCAGAGCCTTGAGTTTTTTTGACACTCTAAACATATCAGATCCAACAAAGTTCAGGGAGAACCACTCGCTGCAAATCACCGCAATGAAATCAGGGTTTCCTAGGAGGTAGTTGTAGAACTTGAAAGCTTTCTTCTGCCTCTGTACAGAAGGAGAGAGTGCAATGCCACAAGATGAGTGATCGGAGAAGTCTGGAGCTCCAAAGAAAGCCATCGCCGTGGGAAAGATCTCTAACCAGAGGTCATTTACTAGAACTCTATCCAGTTTCTTAGCAACTGGATTGACCCTTCTCTTGTTCCACCAAGTGTAAGTTGATCCTCTGAAGTTGAGATCCGCCAGTTCAGAATTCAAGATTGACTGTCTGAAATCTCTCGTCGCTCTGTCCACAGTAAAACCATCCAAAGCGGAATGCTCATTTGGGTGGAGCACCTGGTTGAAGTCTCCTAAAACGGCCCAAGCTTTGCCAACAACTCTTGCGTCCGTCGAGAGAGACACCAGCTCTTCCCACAATTCATTTCTCAGAGCCTCCACGTTTGCTGCATAGATGAAAGAAAAGATCATCGAGGAAGCTGAGCCAGGTAGGATCACTTCTCAGGAGATCATTTGTAGAGACTTAGAGATAATCTGCACTTTCACACTCGGGTGCCAAACAATCCAAATCTTGCCTAACGTCGAAAAGTCGTAGTTGTCATAAAAAAACCATCCCGGGAAAATATTCTTAATGAACTTCTCATTTTTAGGTTGTTGTACATGCGTCTCAATGAGACCTCCGAAAATTGGCTTGCTACTATTAAGCCACTTCTTGAAACCGCTCCGATGCGACAGTTTGTTAAATCCACGGACGTTCCAACAAAAGATGTCTATATACATAAAATAAGATAGTTAGTGGAGTTTGAGGCCACTGCCTCGCTCACTCTTGCGCTGCCTCTGAGACAACACCGTTGTGAACTCATCATCTTCATACCGATCACTATCTTCTTCTATTTCCTCTGAATGTGAAGCTGAAGATTCAACGTCAGAGGAGTCTGGTTCTGCAGCTGAGACACCACTCGAGTTCCCTGTCACATTTCCAGGGGATTTGGGGCCCGAGTCGATGGGGTTTGGCTTCTTCTTTACCCACTGCTGCAATGGCGTATTTAGGTTCACCTGGCCTACTGAACCAGCCGATTTCAGAATCAATCCCTCAGGCAACTGCTTATGCTTATTACGTGAACGAGAACGTGAACCACGTTTAGTTTTCTTTGTTCCTGGCTTTGGCTTTGGTTTTGTTGGAATTAATTGAGTTTAGTCCTAAGTTAGCATATGTGTGTATCAAACGATGTCTAGTAAAGTTGCAACTCTTGGTTAGATTGTTTCACACACAAGAGGAAGAGACACAACTCTTAGTTGTGTTTTGTCTTAGTATATAAGTCATTGTAACACGGATGTAACACACAATCAAGTTTCAGATCAATAAAATGATATTTTGTTCTTCGTTCTTTTTCATAAGACAAAAGATGAGTTATCTCTTGCTTTGTTTTTGTCTCATTCTTTCTCTCCTCTGTTTCTAAATCAAGATTTCAACATGGTATCAGAGCTTTCATGGTCGTGGAACCTGTTAAAGCACACAAATAATGAAGAGAAATCCGCTGCGAGAAAAAGAGAAGAGATGGAGACTGAAAACCGGAGAGAAGAAGAAGAAGAGAAAAAAAAAAAGAAAACAGAGGTGGTGACGAGAGCACCATTAATCTTCACAAGCCATTTGCATGCCGTATCCTTGAGAAGAAGGTTCCATTAGCGATGAAGGAGATATGAGATCTTCTCAAAAGGCTGTGGAGAAAAACGGATGTAAAAGCTGGAGTTGGGAAGAATTCTGAAACTTGATGGAGAAGTCATCTGTTGAGAGAAACAGAGCAAGGCGCATTGAAGCGGTTACACATAACCGAAAAGACGTGGATAATGAGATCCACACACGCATGGTGGATAGTGAGATCCACACATGCAGGCGGTTATGGAGACGACCGGAAAAAGACATGGTGGATAATGAGATCCACACATGCAGCGGTTATGGAGACGACCGCAAAAAGACATGGTGGATAATGAGATCCACACATGGAGTCGGTTACGGAGATGGCCGGAAGAAGACGTGGAGAGAGGATTTCACGCACGGAACGTCGAGGAGACGTGATAGTGATCAAAGGGAGTCACCAAGCAACAGAAGAGGATGCTTACCTCGGAGAAAAAATGGAGCAACAGGGGATGTGAAGAAGACTCACATTTATGACGTCAAGGAGACGTTGATGGTGATCAAAGGAAGACACCAAAGCAACAAGAGGATGCTTACCTCAATCTATGAGAAGAGGGAGCAGAAAACGGTTAGAGATAACCGTAGAAGACGTGGAGAGGATTCACGCGGAAGACGCTAAGGAGACGTTGAGGGTGATAAACGGAAGTTTTGAAATCACCGAAGGAAATTGCAGAGGCGGCAAAGGAGAAAAGGAATAGAGATTCCAATCCAGAGCATCTGCCGTAACAGAAACGGTTGAGACGTCATGAGACGTCGTGAGATGTCAAAGAAACGTGAGAAGAGTCTGAGAGACTTGAAGGAGACATGAAGAAGGCTCGTGGGTAAAAGAAACCTAGAGTTCCAATGTCTTGATGCTCACGCAAGAGTTGGGTGAAGCATGATGAAGAAGACGTGATTTTGTGAAGAAGAAGGTTCACGCAAAAGACAGGAGGAAAATCTCGCAAAGTCTGAAGAACTAAGGAGGTGTCTTGGTTTAAGACCGAAACTCAATTAAGAGGGAGTGTTGGAATTAATTGAGTTTAGTCCTAAGTTAGCATATGTGTGTATCAAACGATGTCTAGTAAAGTTGCAACTCTTGGTTAGATTGTTTCACACACAAGAGGAAGAGACACAACTCTTAGTTGTGTTTTGTCTTAGTATATAAATCACTAGATTAAGGCCCGCGTATATGCGGGTATATTTTAAAATTTTATAATAAAAGCATGGAAAATATTAAATAAAATTTAATCATTTTTAAATGTAAACAAAATAATATTAAAAACCCAATAAAAATATTTAAATAAAATAAGATTGATAATACTTTTACATTTTTATTGTAAATGATTTTTCTTTTGAATTTATGTTATGACAAAATGAATTAATATATTTTACTATTATTTTTATCCAATACAGAAAAACTTACACATGTCTAAATCTGATTAACTCATTAATTAACTAAACTTTTATTATTCCGTTTCAGAGATTTTAATTGATGAAATCTTTATTTCAATTTTGTTTACCTAACAAAAATTGAAAATCAAACTATTTAAATTTAGAATATCAATTATAATTTTTTAATATTAGTTAATTGCTTGATAATTATTTTGTTAGTTTTCTATTTATATTTTTTCTTTCTCAATTTTGTTTTTTCCTCAGACCATTATAAATATTATATATTGATATTTTTCCTTTTCGAAATGGATTTTTTATCCTTTTCTTAATAGATGTAACAAAAGAATTTAATTTCTTTGTTTCCTGTTATTTTAATTAATTTTAATGGATGTATTATTTTTTTCATTTTAATTATTTGTTATCTGTTTTTCTAATTTTTAGTTAGTTTTATAAATATTAATTTTTTTATTATTTTCATTCCATGACACATGTTACGATCTTCATACTTCCATAATTTTTTTCTTTCTAAAACACATGTCGCAATTTTGTCAGTTATAAAAGTCCGATGTATCGCAAAACTTTCAAAAATATGATTTTTAAATTGGAGAAATAGAATCAAAGGGATTTGATGAATTTGCTTTGATGAATTTATAATTGAGAAACCTTAACTCTGATTTTTCTTTTGAATTTATGATATGACAAAATGAATTAATATATTTTACTATTATTTTTATCCAATACAGAAAAACTTACACATGTCTAAATCTGATTAACTCATTAATTAACTAAACTTTTATTATTCCGTTTCAGAGATTTTAATTGATGAAATCTTTATTTCAATTTTGTTTACCTAACAAAAATTGAAAATCAAACTATTTAAATTTAGAATATCAATTATAATTTTTTAATATTAGTTAATTGCTTGATAATTATTTTGTTAGTTTTCTATTTATATTTTTTCTTTCTCAATTTTGTTTTTTCCTCAGACCATTATAAATACTATATATTGATATTTTTCCTTTTCGAAATGGATTTTTTATCCTTTTCTTAATAGATGTAACAAAAGAATTTAAATTCTTTGTTTCCTGTTATTTTAATTAATTTTAATGGATGTATTATTTTTTTCATTTTAATTATTTGTTATCTGTTTTTCTAATTTTTAGTTAGTTTTATAAATATTAATTTTTTTATTATTTTCATTCCATGACACATGTTACGATCTTCATACTTCCATAATTTTTTTCTTTCTAAAACACATGTCGCAATTTTGTCAGTTATAAAAGTCCGATGTATCGCAAAACTTTCAAAAACATGATTTTTAAATTGGAGAAATAGAATCAAAGGGATTTGATGAATTTGCTTTGATGAATTTATAATTGAGAAACCTTAACTCTCTTTTATAAGGGTTCAAATAACTTATTACATGCAGTTATAGGAAATTTAGGGTCTGATTGTTTAGGACTTTGGCTTTAGGCTTTAGGCTGTCACTTTTGGCTGTAGAGAATTTGACTTTAAAGACTGTGACTATTACTTTTAATATTTATAAAAGTCTGATTGGTAATAAAAACTGTAAGAACTGTGACTGTTATTTTTTATTCTTTTTATTAATATTTTTTATTATTTTCATGAAAACTAATACTAATTATATATATATAAAATATATGAAAAATGGATCTTAAAAGAATGAGAAAAATGTAATAATTGTTAATTTGTAAAAGTTTCATTTTTATAAGATTAACATAATGGTTAAAAAGTAATTTCAATTAATTGGGGGTATGAAATAAGAATAACAATAATTAAAAAAGAAAACAATAAAAAAAAAAGTGGAGAGGAGAGAGAATAAAAGCATCATAGGTGTGCTTTTAGAAATAAAGAAGGAAAGATAAAAAAAACTGTCTAAAAGACTTTAAAGACTTTAGAAAAAGATACAGTTTTAAAAGTCTGATTGGTAAAATTATAACTTTGAGGGCTTTAAAAACTCTAAAAGTCCAAACGCCAATCAGTACCTTAGTTTACATAACATATTCTATGTACAAATAGGATTTTATTTATTATTTGATTTCATTATTTGTTTGGATAATATTAATTTGATGAATGAAAAAACCTTTCTCTATCAGGATAGGACAAATATATTTTTATTTCTTTTAACTGTAATTGGTTTTTTTTTTTTAATTTCCTTTATCTAAATTTTTTATTATTATTATATATATTTTTTTTCTCTAAGACATGTGTCACGATCTTAACGGACGTAACATTAAAATGACAAATATCGCGATCTTATAAATTATAAAAATCTTATGTGTCGCAACCACGTCTTGCGAATCCAACTTTATATAATAAAAATTTGATGATTGGGAAACCTTTTTCTGTTTGGATTTGGCAAATATTATTTTTTTCCTTTTTGATATAATAGATTAAATTAAATTTCGTTTTTTTAATTAAAATTTTTCTGGAATTTTTTTTTTTTAAGTTCTCTTTTTTCCTAAGACACGTGTCACGATCTTAACGGATATAAACTTAAAAGTGACACATGTAGCGATCCTGAATTTTATAAAAATCATATGTGTCGCAATCACGTTGTGCGCATCCAGCTTTATATAATAAGATTGTAACACATGTAACACGCAATCAAGTTTCAGATCAATAAAATGATATTTTTTTCTTCGTTCTTTTTCATAAGACAAAAGATGAGTTCTCCTCTATTTCTAAATCAAGATTTCAACAGGTTTCACTCTTGTACAATTTGCAGTGGAATGAGCTGTTGATTTACAAGAAGTACAGGAAACCAGAGCAGAGGCACATCTTCTCACACTGTGGCCAATCTCCTTGCAGAAAGAGCAAACTGGAGGCATCCAAGGGCTGGAAACGAGAATCCTCATGATATCACCAGAATCAAACTGAACATTCACTGCTTCCGGCCAAGGCTTTCTCGGATCAATGAGCGTTAACACCTTTGCGACTTCCAGATTGGTCTTATTTGCCGTTGAAGGATGAAGAGCTTTTGCTTCCCCAACTGCACTACCAAGACCATCGTCATTGACATCAATGGTAAAAATGAAGTTACAGTCTTTGTAGACCATGTCGAGGATTTTAATTTTAATATTATGCTGCAACATCATCTAAAGGTCACATGCATCAACTATATGCCAACCAGGACAGAAGCGTAAACCCAAGAGCGCATCAACATCATCTAAGGCTCACTTGTAACAACATCGTGGAATGATTTTATATGTATCTTTTCTCGTTAGGCTGAGTACAATTTGTGTGTATTTGTTATTGTTTGGTTAAATATTATTTAGTAATTTGTTTGTTATTTGATGAAATGTGCTAATATAGCAACAACAACAAATATATATGTTAATTATGGGCTAAAGTCATATTTGCAATGTGTTATATCTGTTTTTAGGTAAAAAGTCAAATGAAAATTCGAACTATTATATGAAATTTGAGATTTAATTGTGTATATGGTTTATATTAGATTTTTGAAATAGTTATTTCTGGTAAGTTTATAAATATTCAAATGTGTTTGAAAATAGGAATTAGAGTAATCTATATAAGTATTATTAGAAATACATATATTTTGCAATGAATATAAAATAATTAAATAATTCAAAAATAAAAAGCTAAGAAAAATTGTAGATGCAGAAGCAAAAATAGTCTTTAATGTTCAATTTTTAACATATAGAGGATGTGTTTGGGAATAGGAATTAGAGTAATCTATATAATATTATTGGAAATAAATATGTTTGGCAATGAATATAAAAAAAAAGGCTATGAAAAATTGTAGATATGATCATCAGTAAATCAGGTATTCAACATTCCTCTTTTAATATACTAGATTAAGGCTGGTGTATACGCGGGTATATAAGATTTTTTAATATTAGTTAATTGCTTGATAATTATTTTGTTAGTTTTCTATTTATATATTTTTTTTCTCAATTTTGTTTTCGCCTCAGACCATTATAAATACTATATATTGGTATTTTTCCTTTTCGAAAAGGTTTTTTTTTTCTTTTCTTAATAGATGTAACAAATGAATTTAAATATTTATTTCCTGTTTTTATTACTTTTAATGGATGTATTATTTTTTAATTTTAATTATTTGTTATCTGTTTTTCTAATTTTTAGTTAGTCTTATATATATTAAATATTTTTATTGTTTTTTATCTTCATACTTCCAAATTTTTTATCTTCATACTTCCAAAAAAAAAATTCTAAAACACATGTCGCAATTTTGTCAGTTATAAAATCCTATGTATCGCAAAACTTTCAAAAACATGATTTTTAAATTGGAGAAATAGAATCAAAGGGATTTGATGAATTTTCTTTGATGAATTTATGATTGAGAAATCTTGACTCTTTTTTATAGGGGTTCAAGTAACCTATTACATGCAGTTATAGGAAATTTAGTTTACATAACATATTCCATATACAAATAGGATTTTTTTATTACATTATTTTGATTTTATTATTTGTTTGGATAATATTAATTTGATGAATGAAACCTTTCTCTATTAGGATATGACAAATATATTTTTATTTCTTTTAACTGTAATGGATTTTTTTTTAAAAAATTCCTTTATCTAAATTTTTTATTATTATTATTTTTTTTTTTTTCTCTAAGACATGTGTCACGATCTTAACGGACGTAACATTAAAAGTGACACATGTCGCGATCTTATAAATTATAAAAATCCTATGTGTCGCAACCACGTCGTGCGCATCCAACTTTATATAATAAAAAAATTGATGAATGGAAACCTTTTTCTGTTTGGATTTGGCAAATATTATTTTTTCCTTTTTGATATAATATATTAAATTAAATTTCGTTTTTTTAATTAACATTTTTCTGGAATTTTTTTTTTAAGTTCTCATTTTTTCCTAAGACACGTGTCACGATCTTAACGAACATAAACTTAAAAGTGACACATGTCGCGATCCTGAATTTTATAAAAATCCTACGTGTCGCAACCACGTCGTGCGCATCCAGCTTTATATAATAAGATAGAGGATTTGATTCTTTATATTTTAACTTAATAACACTTCTTAATCTATTGAAATCTAAAGCGGATTTTGAAATCCGAGGAGATTTATTGATTCATGTATTTTGATAGATTTATAAATTTAAGCTAAAAATTCCACCTTATTGGATTTAATGATTTTAAAATCTTTGTCAAAATCTCCTTTAATACATTTAATGATTTCTAAATATTAAATGAAATCCGATGTTATTGATTTATTGATTTCTTATTTAGGAGGGTTTATTGGTTGTGTGGTTTATAAATTCATATAAGATTTTAAAATCTTGAAAATTAGAATGGTGGATATTAAACTACTAATGCTTTATGTTGCATTTGATTCTTTGTATTTTTAACTTAAAAACAATTCCAAATCAATTGAAATCTAAAATGGATTTTCGAATTAAAAAAAAAAAAGCCCTTAATTTATGTTTATTTTGTTTTTTTCGGTGGTTTCATTTTCTCACAAGTCTTCTTTTCCATCATATATCAGAAGAGAGATTCGAGAAAAAACGATTATGATCGGTTAATGCCTTTAAACCAAAATCGAACCAAATTAACCCAAACCTCCGGACCCTGTATATATATGTATATATATTAGAGAATCTGTGATGATATGTTCCGTCTTTGTATTCATACCTCCTCCATGATAAAGTCAATCCCTATTGATCTCTTTCTGGAGATATTCTCCAGATTACCTGCAAAGTCAGTCGCAAAGTGTGTTTTGGTGTCGAAGCAATGGAAATCCATACTTTGCGGTCAAGATTTCACAGAGTTGTTCCTCACCAGGTCCAGCACTCGTCCGCGTCTCTTATTCGCTATCAAAGAATTTCAAAACAGCGAGCTGCACTTCTTCTCGTCTCCTCAGCCTCAAAATCCGTATGAGAAGTCGTCTCTTCTAGTAGTATCCCCCGATTCTCATATCAAGGTCCCCGAAGACACGTGTCGACAATTTTGTGGTCATGCCTCTGGTTTGATGTATATCCATGGTAATTCGATCTCAAACAATAGCGTGCATGTGATAACTAACCCTAGCACGGGACAGTGTGCGAGCTTACCTAAACTGAAAACAAACGTACATTCAAAAAGTTTGTTAGGGTTTGATCCGATTGACAAGCAATTCAAGGTACTAATGTTCGTTGATAATGGTAGCACTAGAATTATCACATTAGGAACAGGAGAAAAGAGGTGGAGGGAGATCCTATACTCTTTTACCCATCGTAGTCCCTTGAGTGGAGGGATATGCATCAACGGGGTTTTGTATTGCGTAGCTCAACGAACTTATGAAAAGTCTTATGAAATAGTTTGCTTTGATGTTAGGTTTGAGAAATTCAACTTTATTAACGCAGAACTCGTTTATAGTGAGTTGATCAACTATAAGGGTAAATTAGGTCGGGTTGGTTTGCGTCATGTTGACACTGGTGGAAGCTATACGATTGAGCTGCGTTTGTTGGTTCTAGAAGATGTCGAAAAAGGGGAATGGTCAGATAATGTCTACTGTTTACGGGATGATAAATTCCTTTATGGCAGCAGTGGTTACCACTATGTTGACGTAGCTGGAGCGACAGCTATGGGTGACATTGTTTTGTCGATGATAGAAACATCTAAACGGCCGTTTTATGTTTTCTACTTCAATCCCGAAAGGAAGACTCTCCAAAGTGTTGAAATCAAAGGTTTTGGAGATATGTTTGACGTTGGTAACAATCGTGTTTACGCCTTTGTAGACCATGCAGAGGATTTTAGGTTTAACATCATCTAAAGGTGACATGCAACAACTATATGCCAACCAGAACAGAAGCGTAAACCCAAGAGCGCATCAACATCATCTAAAGGCTCACTTGTAACAACATCGTGGAACGTTTGAGAGCATTAACAACTTTGATCTTTTGTTTCTTTTAAATGATGATGACTTTCGGCTGAAAGCTCTATTTAACATACAAGTTGTATTCACTATTCTTTCTGTTATCAGAGAAATTGATCGTAAGAATAAAGTTTTTTTACCAAATTGGTCATTTTTAATTTAGGGAGTACTAATTTTACTTATTACCATGTTCGATCCACCTTGATGTGCTGATTCGATCCACCTCTTTTCCCGTAATCTCTCCGTACATGTAATTAATTGACTTCTTACCATGTAAGGTATCTCCCTTAATAATTATAATATCTACATTACTATTTTTGTATAGAAAATTAGATTTGCAAATCTATTACAATTGATTCTTCTTACCTTCTCTTCTTTCTTACACCTAATTACTGTATATGCAGAAAATCTCATTTTTCTTTTCTTTTAGTGTTCCCATATATCTAAACTTTTTCTACACGTAACATCATGATCTTCTTAGAAAATCACTTTGTTAGGAATTTTAATATTTAATTGTTTGTAATAGAATGTGAATGTGATAGCAACGATAAAACACATCGGTGGTCAAATGTATAATACCAGAGAAATTAGAGGACTGGTTTTTCAAATTAAAAACCCACTTGCTAATTCCATATGGTTGTCGACGTGTGAATTAGCTGGCAAAGAATATTAAAATGTTTTTGGTCAAACAAACGTGGAAACATAAAAATGGCCTATAAAAAAACCAAACCCAATAATTATCCAACATTTTCTCGAACTTTTCCATTACCGTACGAATCATCGAGGTACGTTTCTCTTCCTCTCTGCTTCGTCCCTCGGATTCTCCGATTTCGTTTTCTGTTTTCGTTTAATTGAATCAGATTTTTGTTTTTCTGGGAAAATTTCAAGAGAAAAAGTAGTAATTTGTTCGAAGAGAGAGAAAAAGACAAAAAAACAAAAAATCGCGATTTCATGGGGATTTGGTTATTCAATTTGGATAATTAGTGAGGTTTTGTATGTTCTTGTCCTAAATCCCGAGAAAATCGCGAAGAAAAATTTCGAACTTTTTTTTTTGAAAAATAAGAATTTGCGTTGACTTTAGTTTTTGGGGATAATATTGAATTGAGTCGGTAACGGATTTAGGGTTTTGGTTTCTCTGAGAGTTTGTTTGTTAGCGATTGATTCGTTTTGTGTTCTTTATGAATTGTAAAGCTTTTAACTTTTTTTTTACATCTGTCCTGTTTTAAGCTTCTATTTACTTGGTCGAGACTTTCTTTGTTGTTGATGAATCTTGATTGTTCATAGCAATTAGGTTTCAATGTTAGAATGTAAATTTGTAATTGTGTGTTCATATATAACTTTGAGATGTGTTTTGATAATTGAAACATTGTTCCTCTGTCTGGCTATAAAACAATGCAGAAGCTTAAAGGCATTTGATGGAACAACCGAGTAGTAACGACATCTCTCAAGAACAAGCTCGTGAATCTCTCATCGCAATCTCTTACACTTCGCCGGAGGAAGAAGAGTATCAACCGTCCTCAGATGTGAAACCTGTCGTCAGCACCACAAACGGAGTCACCAACAGAAGCAGCTCAGAGGCAGAGAAGCTCAGGTCTGAGCTCATTTCAATCTCCTACGACGAGTCATCTTCACCGTCACCGTCACCGGATGTAGTAGCTGCTGTTTCTCCGACACAGTCCAACGGTTTCTGTCGTGGATAGGAGGAGTTTAATGTACAACAGATCAAAGTCTTTCTTCTAAAAAGACTTTGGTTTGGTCTTAAAAAAAGTAGACCAATTGTGATATGTTTACGTTTCTCTTAAACTATATGATCAAAAATCAATGAAATTCCTCTTCTTTGTTTGCTTCTTGGACCTGTCTTATTATATTAAGTTAAAAAGCTCTGTGCTTAGTCTCATTGCATGATCTTTAAACCAATTTAGTATCACAGAGATACAAGCTGAGGAGAAGTAAGAAACATTTGACAAGTGAAAAGATTGAAACTTTAGCAATGGGTTCTCTTGTTTTAGGACATTCATGAGATTGATAAAAGGTGAAGAAACTCTAGTGAGCAGCGTCTTCGTCTTCGCAGAACTTGGTGTATTCCTTTGGACCCATCAAGGAATCCAACTCCGCTGGGTCGCTTGGTTTCACCTTTATCATCCAACCATCTTCATAAGGGCTTGAGTTGATCTACACAAAGTGAAAAATAATCAGTTTACATTTACAGAGTTGAGGTAATGTTCAAAATGTGAAAACTTACCAAACCGGGTGATTCGGTGAGCTTAGTGTTGACCTCAACGATTTCACCAGAGATTGGAGATAGAATCTCACTTGTGGCCTTAACACTCTCAACAGCTCCAAAGCTTTTTTCTTTGCTCACTGAGCCTTTGTCATCTGGCAGCTCCACAAACACAACTTCTCCTAAATGTTCCTGCACGCACATCATTACTTTCAGACACTAATCTAATCAAATCTAAACTAGTTCTGATGAGTTATGTTTTTGGTACCTGGGCATGAGCAGTGATGCCAATTGTAGCCACTGAGCCTTCATGTTTCACCCACTCATGTGAGTTTGCATACTTGAGTCCTTCCAACACTTACAAATCCAAACACACCAACCAATAGTTTTCAGACAGAGTTCTAAAAAAACTTTTCCAGTGTAACATACAATACAACTTGTGTACAAAGATGTTGTTTTTTCACCTGAAGAGAAGCATCTGGAGATGGAGAAAGCTGGAAGGAGATGAGATTTGGATGCAGAAGAAGAGAGCTTGAGAGCATTTGCTGTAGAGGAAGCCCACATTCTTAGTGCCATTTTCTCTGTTTTCTCAAAGGAAAGTTGGAAAAACTCAAAGGGAAAGTGGGAAAAAAGTGAGGAGGGCTCTTAATATCTTTATGTCACGTTTGTGTTCTATCTTTAGATGTATGGCAGAAAACGAAGGCCTCATCTTAATGGTTTGTCGTCGTAAAAGTGTGACCCTAACTCTCTCCACGATTCAGAAGCTTTAAATTTTTTTAGTCCTTTTGCAGATTGGATATTTTAAACATGAACAAAGATTTGGGTCTACTGTATCAATAGTTTGACTCTCGTTTGAAAAGTGAAAACCTTTTCAAGTAAGAATTAAAAAACAGAGAAACTAAAACCAAGAATGTTTACATGATCTCTAAAGACAGTGCTACTACACAAGATGTTGATGCCGTGATTACAAATTTGGATCGACTTCAGCAATTGTTCTGCCAAAGTTAGTGACAAATCTTCTCATGTTATATAAGATGGGACCAAATGGTCATTGATTTTAATTTTTAACTGTTCATAACATTATCAACTAACAAAAACTCAAAGAGGCTGACCAAAAATGAGTCAAGTAGAGAGCTCTTCTAACAATCTGTCAAAACTCAGAAGTTATATATATATCTACTCACACGAGTCACATCTGTTTCCACTATTCTTTTGACGATCATATCTGAGTTCTTATATTGCAGCTTTTCCAGCTCCTTTGGGCATCTTTGTTGCAGCTGAAAAATATTTAAGATGGGTTTTGTCTTTAGAGATCAAAAGATCCAATTCTACAAAAGACAAAGTATAACTGGACAGACAAAACAAAAAAAAAAGGTTCATACCTTCTTCAACGTCTTTGAGCTGGTAGTAGTGAGGAGCTAACTCAATCAACCACTCTGGTTTCAACTCCGTTACCTGCATTTGCATATTAACACGATGAACGAAACCAAAGAATTAAACCAAACAATTCAAAAACAGATATCCAATAATGATTAAAACCTTGCATGATGGTACAAATTAAATTACCTGTCGCATATATTCCTTAGAGGTAAGCACTAGTTCGTGATATACAACCCATCTCGGCACGACCTACAATAAGCATTGAGAAGAACCTCATCAATATTCTAAGCTTTAAGATTCTATCAAATTAATCAGATTTCTCTTAATGTATTAACCTGAGCTAAGCCTGAATTGGGATGTATGTGCACTGTTTGGGGATGCTTCACAGTTCGATATGATCCAGTCTTCTGCAGCTTTGCAGTGTGCGGGAAAAAACCTGAGTAAAAAGTAAGAACTTCATTAGCAGAGGCACTAGATATCATGCTCTATGGAATCAACAAAAAAGAAAACGATTAAAAAATTTACCGGCTACAATGGACTTCCTAATCACATCCATATCATTTAGGTTTGAGCTGATTTCTATTTCTACTCTCTCGAGAAGTCCTTCCAATTGATCACGGATATCTCTTGCTCTCTTCATGCTCTTGACCTGAACAAATATTCGACACAAAACAAATTTCAAATTGATTCACAACCGATCCAACGCAATGTTAAGCATAGAGAGACAACACAGTACCTGAATGTAGTTCTCGTAGCACCACTGAGTAGAATAATTTGTTTCCTTCCATGAACTGTAAACCTTCACAGAACAAACGATGAAGAAGATAAACATTCAATATATACCACAGTAACCTAGTTGAAGAAAATGAAAGAAAAAATGGAAACAGAAGGTCCAAACCTTTAACAAAGCAATGTGGTCACCGACATTTCCAGTGTTGAAATTCATTCTTGCATTGTCTGCGTGAACCTGTTTGTCCTTGGGACGGTAGAAGATAGTGCCTCCAATTGACAACATAGCAGCAATTGATATGATCTCATCGGAGCACTTGTACTTGTCAGAAACAACAATCATCTTCGACAACATTGGATCAAGGGGAAACTCTGCCATCCTTCTACCAGCTTTAGTCAATTCCCCGAGCTTATTTAGAGCACCCAGAGCAAAAAGCAGTTCTAAAGCCTTCACGAGTGCTTCAGCAGGTGGAGGATCCATGAAATCAAAGTTTATGAGATCATGGATTCCAAGACTCTTCAAAGCAAGTACAACACTTGCAAGATTCGTTCGCTGTACTTCTGGCACTGTGTTTTCCTCTAAGTCATTGTTGTAATTAAACGCTGTGTACAGACGGTAACACTTGCCTGCACTTGTTCTTCCAGCTCGGCCAGCTCGTTGAGATGCTGAAGCCTTAGAGATGGGAGTAATAAGCAAAGATTCCATCCCTGTTTTTGGGTTGTATGATTTCATCTTGCTAAAGCCTGGATCAACAACATACTTTATACCATCAATGGTCAACGATGTTTCAGCAATATTTGTTGCTAGGACTACTTTCCGTGCCCCTTCTGGAGTTGGCTCAAATATCTTTGCTTGGAGTTCGCTTGGAAGATTTGCGTAAATCGGGCATATAATTAATTCACGTATCTTTGTACCGAAACCTCTGATCCTCTGCTTCAAGATCTCTTCTGCGGATTCAATTTCCTCCTGACCAGTGAGGAAGACCAATATATCTCCAAGCGGCTCCCTCACATGGATGGTAAGCACAGTAACTATTGCTGCGTCCATGTAATCAGCTTCAGGTGCACTCGTAAAGTTCATTTCAACTGGATACCTTCTTCCTGGGAAACTGAAAATCGGGGCTGAATCAAAATAATCGGAAAACTTTTCTGCATCCATTGTTGCACTTGATATCAACAACTTCAAATCAGGTCGAAACCGTGCTATATCCTGTCAAATAAAAGAAGAGTCGATCACAATTTGACCAAGGATCTAACCCTGATATCACATGTAAGAAGACAAACTGTACGAGAAAATCCACTTGCCTTAACTAATCCAAACAGTATATCGGTTGACAAAGTTCTCTCATGGGCCTCATCCACAATAACGACACTGAAAGGTTTTGCAATCAGTAAGCAAAAGCGTTTTCAATAGTACCAATAAAAAAAAAATGTGGAAGAATTTGTTACCTGTAACTGGCCAGATCTGGTTCGCCAAGCAGCTCACGCAAAAGCATTCCATCAGTCATATACTTCAGAATTGTTTTGTCTGACGTACAATCCTCAAATCGAATGGAATAGCCAACCTGTGACAAGCACCAACCAACCACATTTTATATTCTGAAGCGTGAACTAACAATTGTGTAACAAATCAACTAGCAGTAAAAGAAGTAAAGAAGCCAACATACCTCATGTCCGAGTTTGACACCCATCTCTTGAGCCACACGAGCAGCAACACTCATAGCTGCAACTCTTCGGGGCTGCGTACAACCAACCTGAAATATAATAGAAAAGCGTTATGGTACTTTATTTGATAAAGGAACTACCTTACTAGCCGCTCTATTCTTTTAAACCCATGCAACCACAACGGTAATGAACAAAGGCCTTCTTCCTAAATCCAACTACACCTCTGACACATTAGCTTTTAAATAAAAAAAAATGCGGAAAACTTCACAAAAAAAGTTCGTTCTCAACAAGCTAACAGTTTTCGACTAAAACAAAACACACTAATTTGATACTGACTTCCACACTAATGGTTCCTTTTGAAAGGAAATATTTGTATTTAAATACATGCTGCAATTTGGGGCAAGTAGCAGATTATACCTTTCCACGCTTTGTGTAACCAGCTTCATGGAGATATTGTGGTATTTGTGTAGTCTTTCCTGAACCCGTTTCTCCCACAATGACAAGAACCTAATCAATTCAGAAAGGTTGAAACAAAACGATTTCAAGTTTTAATTACGAGTAGCAGAGGAAAACCATAGCATAGAATACATTAAAAAGCATTCTGCAGAATTTTATAATCAAACACTTCAATCCACGTCTTCACTTGTACATGACACTGAAAATTGATGCAGGCTTTTAATTATAAGTGTTACTTTCTCTGTTGATCTTGTATCACATACACATACTCATACGCTATATCCAGAACATATTGTTTCGATATGGATTAGTTAAGTGAACTTCTTGTTTGTTGTTAGATGATTTAAAGATTGTAAACCTTTTTTAAAAAAACTGAACATCGGAGTCTCTAATCTAAAGGCAATGGAGAGCTAGAATCACCTGATGCTCTTCCACAGCCTTAAGCAGTTGCTCACGATAATTGTAAATTGGCAGACTTTTTCTGACCTCCTGATTCACAAACAAACAGATGGAATAACATGTCAGGATAAGTTTAGTTTTTGCTTCGGATATTAATTCAAAGAAACGTACAAACATACAAGCTAATGGGAAGAAAAATAGAAAAATATCGCACCTGAAGTTCCTCTAAAGCTGTTTTCTCTGCCGCATCTTCAGATTTTTTAGCATGCATATCATCTTCATACTGCAAAGCAAAAACACGCAGTCAGCTACAAGTCAACATATGACAGAATGTATCATCAGGTTTAGGAAATATCATAGGCAATACATTTTCACCAGCCATCACAGATTCCTTTACGAAATTTATTTGGTCCTCAAACACAAACCTGCGAACAAAAAAACAACACTTAAACGCCAGATCATGGGCCTAATCCATGTTTGGATACTAACGAGGACTGTTATTCAAACGAGATAAGCAAATCCTAAAGCAGTAGAATAAGAATTAAAGAAAAAATATGCAACAGAACTCACTGATAATCGTCTGAGGCTTGCTTATTCTTTGCACCAAATTTTAATGTTGCTTTTCCTGCATAACAAATGTCACTTAAATCAGTTGGCAGTAAAAACAAGACTAGTCAACGTAAATAGAGTCAAAACAGAAATTACCAATCTGATGGTCCTCCCAAGCTTCTTGCTCTGCAAATGGATTCATTTTCTCCGTTGAATCCTTGTCCCTAAGAAACGAAAACAAAATATGATTTAGAAGGCCCAAAAGGGTTTTGAAAAATACTAGCAAGCAGTTTAGAATGTGTTGGATCACTAGCAAAATGCTCTTTGTAAACTCACTTGTATCGTTGTACAGCAACAGCAAATCTCTTCTCCTGATCAACACCCCCCTCTTGATCATCATAAGCATCTGGAATTCTATACTGAACTCCGAGAGGTAGGAGTAACAGGAGATATATTAGATATAAAGAGATTGTAAAGAAGCAGGAGAGAGAAGGCTCCAGCAAGATGTAAACGTTACCTCCTCTACGTCATCTTCATCTTGTGTTTTTTTCTTCACGAGGTCATAAAGCTCTTTCTTGTATCTATCAAAGAGAACAGATCAACCCAAGCTCAATTAACATAACTTCTCAAATATGGATAGCACCATATAACTTTTAAATTGCAAGAAGAAAAAATGCATGAGAATAAAATCACAATGGGCGATTTTATTACTCATCAAAACAAGCGCCACCTTTATGCAAGAAAAACGGAACAATTACCTAAAATCACGAAGCTCTGTTTCTGTGAGTTTTTCACCTGCAAAGAGATACTGTTCATCTTCTATCTCATCCCTATGGAGAAAAGAAGGAAACGAGAGAAATCAATAAAAAAGAAGAGATCAGTGATAAGAAAAGAAGGTGAAAAAATGTATATGTCACGTACCTCAGCTCTTCCAGTTTCTTCTGTTCCCTCTTCTTCAAATATTCTTGTCTTGAGACTTTCCTGCATCAGACCAAACAAAAGATATCAATAACATGGACAGCACAAAATAGCCTCTAAAGAGATCACTTCCACAAGTAGGAACACTATCAAGAGTTATTAACAGGGAGATGAATGACACAATCAAGAAATGGTAACTGGAATTCAAGTTTGCAACTTCATTTAGTATTCTAACAGCGGGATCAAACATACGACCCATAGGTACATTGTTGACTAGTGTTCTTGTCAATCATGCTAGGCAACTACCTTCTATCTCTGTCAAAAAGCAACCAACACCAACACATAAAAGCAGGAAAAAGTTCATTACCTTAAGGAATGCAAATCATCCTTCTCCAAAGCGTTTGCTCTGCGAACAGCCTCTTCTGTTTTTGATTAAGAAATATAATCAAAATGAGATTTATGTCTAGATCACAATGCATCATAAAAATGTTAATATATGTTCATGCACGAATTATTATAGATTGTACCTTGCTCTTTCTTTGACAACTTTTGCTCTGTTAGCTGATCAGTAAACAAACAAAAAAAACATGTCACTGACTTTCACATGTTATAAATCATCGATAAGTGAACCATGCTAACTACATACTTCTCATTCGGTTAGAGAAACCGTCTTAGCATACAAGATTAGATGACTAATGAATGTGTATACTTTGGTTAATTCATTATTCCTACTCAAACGAAGCCAGAACTGTCTGGTATGAATTGGGGTAAAACTCGTTCACTAAGCACGTATACCTACTTCCCAACAATACTTAGCCCTGTTGGCTACAACAGCAGGACCTCTTCGGAGAACAAAACAGGAAAAGCATACCAGGAATCAGACTGAGGCATACCTTTCGAGTCTGTGCAGTATCACGATCTCTTAAATGCTGTTCCAGTTCTTCTCTCTCCTTTTGGTCACGCACTCTTTCCTCTTCTGACTGTGCCAAGTGTACAAGAACAAATAAAAGCACAGGTATTATCCACACATATCTACTAGTTACAACAAAAGACCAAGACCCAGAAATAAAAAATTGAAATGAAAACACCCAAAGTTTCGAGATATACCTCAGAACCATCATCCTCGTCTTCAGAAACTTTTCTTTTAACGTGTCTACTGTCCTCTCTAACAGTAACCTACATTGTTTTTCACACTTTTATCAGTTGAGTCGCCAAGCTATATCTTACCGTAAAGAAATTGGAATCTGTCAAAGAGGTTAGGACACTATACCTCCTCATCACTGTTATCTGACTGCCCACTTTTTTTTCTAAACCTTTTCTTGCCTTTATCTGACTTCCTAGATTCAGACGCAGTAGATCTCTTCTCCACAACGGGTTCGTCTTCATCATCATCAGCATCTAAAAGCGCATATGTTTGCTGCTTCCTCGCTAGCATTGCTGCCTCTGCTTCATGTTGTTGGTAGAGCTGATACAGGAGCAAAAGAAATTGAGAAAACCAACCAAAAACTACAAATATGCATCTCATTGAGAAAACTCACATTCACAGCAGCAGCTTTACGAGGAACTCTGGCGAAAATCTCTTCCGCAAACGAACGGGTCTCACCAGAAGAAGTAAAACCGTAATCCACCAACTCTCCCACAAGTTGAGTTGGTGATTTTGATTTTTTAGCTTCACGAAGATGAAACAACTCCAAAAGTAAATGTCAAGAACAGTAGCTAAAAGTTCTTCATAAGCTTCATGATTCAAAATCGAAACATCAAAAATTTACCCATTGCAATGAGATAGTTAACGACAGCTGCTTGGGAATAGCCAAGTAGCACCATCAGCTTATCTGAAACCCACGTCTTTAAATCATTGCTCGCCATTCTCACTGCATTTGCGATTACAAAGCACCGTTAACATCAAATTTCATATCTTAACCAAATTCAATTTCTTTTATTGCCATTACCAATCGAAACCTAATTAGTGCAGCTATCTCAACGCAAGAGCCTCGATGTTAAACTATTGCTCGCCATTCTCACTGCATTTGCGATTACAAAGCACCGTTAACATCAAATTTCATATCTTAACCAAATTCAATTTCTTTTATTGCCATTACCAATCGAAACCTAATTAGTGCAGCTATCTCAACGCAAGAGCCTCGATGTTAAACTAAATCACTTCTCTTAGCTAGCTATCGACCGTATGCAGCAATATCTCGAATTAAAGGGAAAGGTAAATCCCTCAATTCATAAGCACGCATAAGGATTCTAATCATCGTGCGAAGAGAATAAGGTACAAACCCTAGATTTCGGTAACTAAGGGTCCAGGTTTACCGAAGCTTACAGAGTGAGAAGATTTAGAGATTGAGGATATCAGTCTTCGAAGCTACTGGGGCAGGCGCGATAGTCTCTAGCGGAATATATGGAAGTGAATTCACCGGCAACGGTAGAAAGAAAAGGCGGTGAGAGTCTCCGACGTCGATAGGCTAAAAAGTGGAGGAAAGAGAGAGGCGGTATAAAAATCAAGTGCATGTTGTTTTATCAGATTCCAATTTAAAAGCGTGTCGTTTTTTACCGATCTTCGATGTTTTCCGGTTTCACTTAAAACCGAGCAATCGCGTCGTTTCGCTTATTTAGACACCAACTGTATAACGTTTTTCAAAATATTAAAAACTACATGTAGTTCAATTCACATAGAGGCCAACTGTTTGTTTTTTTTAAACAATTAAATGGGCCAGCTACATGACGTCTTGTTACAAGTTACAACACAACGCCAATGTAAAACTTTTGTATATTTCTGCATTTTGATTTGTCTATTCAAAGTTATTTCAAACTTATACTCTCTCCCATTAGCATTGGGTCTGATTGGTTGCGTTTGTAGTTTTGGATTTTTGCTGTAGAATTTAGACGGTAGTTTTTTTTTGGTGTAGCTGTAGATTTTAGTGTTTTTTTTTGTGTGGCTGTAGATTTTAGTGTTGTAGAATTTTTATTATAAATATTTTTTTTATAAATTATCATAAATGTAGCATTAAAAATAAATAAAAGAGATATAGGAAAGAAACATTAAAAAAATAATATAGAGAATGAGAAGAAAAAGAATTCTCAGAGTCCTTAAGTTTGTACTCTAAGAAATCTGCTCTGCAGAGCCAAAATATTTTCATATTTAAAATTATGGCTCTGAATTTAAAAAATGAAATTAAAGTTTGATTGGTTTAACACTAGTGCTCTAGAAAAAAAAAAATTGTTCCACAGAGCACTTACCAATTAGTCAATCACGCCCATTAAAACAGTATCAACTCAATGAGATACTCCTGATAATATCCAGCGATTCGACGAGGCAGCAAATGCTTTTTACGAGGGAGTATTGCTTAGCCCTGAAAGCAAAGAGCTCGTTGATGCTTTCAGGTTCGTTTTTAAACCCTTATGATGATGTTTGATCTTTTAGATGTAGATGCCCCAAAAGAGGCTATGTTTAGTGTAGGTGTGAAGTTTTGATCGCTTCTTACATTGGTTTTCTTTATACATGTACTAAAAAAACCTTAAAGAACAAAGTTTTCTTCGAAAGGTTTGCTCTTTATAATTATATATGTATGAAGTTTTGATCGCTTCTTACATTGGTATGGACTATGGAGTAACTCTTTAAAATAGTTTTAATATTCTTAAGTAATTCCTATTTGCATCAACTTCCTTCTAGTATCTTTATAAAAAAAAACTTCCTTCTAGTATGTTAAAGAAAAGAAAATGTATCAAGCCATTTGGTGAAGCTGCAGGACCAAGTTAATTCAAGAAACAAAAAAAAAAAAAAAAAAAAAACAAGACGATGCAAGTCATAAATCATAATACATATGTGAAGGAAAGAGACATCAAAGCATGAACAGATCGAGCTTTAAATTCGCCGTTATGCTCGTGAAAAAACATAACCTGATGACACCACTCAACTTTACCCCAAATCTCTCCTCCTTGTCTTGTCTCCAGCGAAATCTCAGCACACCAAATCCCATCGTCTCTCCAATCTGCTGCTTTTTTAACAAAAAACAATGCCAGTCTCCCACTGTAACTCACAGTCTTTGACCCCTCTGTGGTCTGAGTCAACAAGTCATCCAAACCATTCACCACTCCCCAACATCTCTTCTTTGGATCATACCTTCTTACACAACTCACATCTTCATCGTAATAGTACAACACGTCATCAACCACACACGCAGCCCTAACCCACCACCTCTTAGAATCCAGCACCTCGTCTCTTCCCCATGTCCTCTCCTTTGGATCGTAAAAAGCGCTACTGGCATAACCCATTATATATATCTTACCAGCCATCACAAGACTAGACACAATTATTGGACCTACCTTGATGTCTGGCTCTATAACCTCTGCCTCCCACGTTTGTGTCTCTGTATTGAACACCACTACCGAAACCTCATGCCCGTCATAATCGCAGTTTCCACTCACGTATATTTTCCCGTCGATGACGCTAGCAGCTCCGGCTAACATGTAAGGCATGGTCGGGAGGGTTTTCACCGTGTGAGATTTAGATGTACACTCGATGCTCACCACAGTTGTCGAGTATATAAGATCCTCGCCAAACCCGTATATCTTCGAGCCCGCCGCGGTGAAGCTTCCACTAGTGGGAAGCCTAGGGATAGGGACCAAGCGACGATTGCGGAGAACGTACCAACGTTTACTCGGGAGGGTGTCGTAGTCATGGACGTGGAGATTGAGGAGAACATAGAGATGTTGTTCGGCGCAGCCCAACAAGGATCTTCTTCTCGCTTCTAGGTCAGGCGACGAAACAATTGCCCGCAAGTGCTTAGACACAAGGGAGAGTGTTGGATGGTCGTACCTCCGTATACGCGCTATGATGTCAACGATCACGTCTTCGGGAAGTGACGTGATCGGAAACGGTGGTTCCGATGATTTCTCTTTCTCTGCCGTTGTTTTGGAACACATCGGAAACGGTGGTGGTTCCACCGACAGGAATAACTACTCTCTTATTATTAGGTTTGACAATCACATATATGGAGGCAAGGAGTAAAAAAACGAGAAGCGGCGGAATTAGGAATTATTACCGTACGGTTCTAGTTTCTTGAAATCATTTGAGATTCTATTATTCGTTGATGAAATATACTTATTAATTATGGAATTATTACTCTTTATTGTATAGCATAACTAAAGTATATTTTGTTATATTCAAAGATTTTTTTATCCAGTTTTCAATATTATTTTGTACAATTTAAGAATAATCACATTTTGTTTAATATTTTTTCGTAATTTATTTAAAAAAATCTGAAGTTAAACTTCGCGTACAAGCGGCCCCCAATTTATATCCTATTTTTTGGTAACTTGCTAAGCTCGGACCGACCGTCCGACTAACACCTAACGTATTCTTGAACACAAGCTAAAAGTTACCTAAAATCACATCCATATGGAAAGTTTGGACTCAGGCTTTGGCTCATACAGTTTATCTAGTAGTCTGTTAACATTCATCAGGCGATCCAGATTCCATCTAGGCTTTGATATTGAAATACTTGAGACATAACAATTGACCAGCAATGTTGCTTTACCAACTAGACAACAACATGTTACCATCTGGACATTCACACTTTAACTGGGTTTTGAAACTATTTTAAAAAAAATGTTTTTAGAAAACGGATGTCAACAAAATGTTCTTAACATGTATGAACAATTTTTTTTTGTTGACCATAATGTATGAACAATTTTAACGACATTTAAACTGAAAAGGAGGAAGTGCGAATCACAACACATTGGAAACATGTTGTTCCTTATTTCTCTTTCATTAAAACGTTGATGATATTAACCTAATTCTGTTGTTATTATTAACTTTTGATTATATTTTAAGTCTCTGAAAAACATATCTTATGCGAGTTTTCTTTTGGTCAAATGGAGGAAATGGTAGTAGCAATGAAACAGAGCGGAGTCCAGTTTCTTTGGGTGACTCACAAAGCTGAAGGAGGCTCTTGAAGGTAGCTACGGTGTTGTGATGAGCTGGTGCGACCGTGCGATCAGCTGCGTGACAGATAGAGGTGTAGGCGTCTTTTTTGACGCATTGCTTAGTGCAATGAAACAGATTTGGATTATCAGATTTCAATTTAAAAGCGTGTCGTTTTTTTACCGAGATCTGTGCTGTTCACCGGTTTCACTAAAACCCCAGTAATCGCGTCGTCTCGCTTAATAAGACAACAACTGTATAACGTTTTACCAAAACTTCAAAAAGTACATGTAGTTTAATTCACATAGAAGCCAACTGTTTGTTGTTTTCTTAACATTTAAACGGGCCAAAATTGAAAAAAGATGGGCCTCTTTAGAGTAATGAACAAATGTATACAGACGATCAGAGCAAGCATCGTCGTCTCCGTGAAGACGGAAACTTCTTTGGCACTTTAGATGAGATCAGAGCAGCCCTTTGACGTGATTCCTGGCTTGATCACGGATCACCCGATTCGGAAACTTCTCGATCACTTCCGATCCAAAAGACGAAATGAGAGCTCTTCTCGCAGTCTCCAAGTCGATCCCACGAGCTTGGAAGTAGAAGAGCTGGTCTTCTTCAAGATCGCTGATCGCAGCTCCATGCGAACACTTGACATCGTCTGCAATAATCTGAAGATTCGGTTTTATGTTCACTGTAGCTCGAGGTTTCAAAAGGAGGCTTCTTGTTAGTTGTCCCGCGTTAGTCTGCTGAGCATATCTGCGTATTATATATAACCAGGAATTTAAACCGGAAAATCAAGACTAAACCGAAACCGAAATGGGAAGTGAGAGACGGCTTACTTGTTAACACGGACATTGCCATCGAAAACAGCTTGACCAGAGGAATGAGCAACGATACACTTGTGGAGCTGTCGAGAAGAGCCACGAGGATGGTCTAACACAATTCTGCTATGGAGGTCAAGAGTCTGCTCGTTGACACACATGTGAAACGTCGTTAACTCGGTGAGCGTGTCAGGCCCGAGCTGCTGCACGTGGACATTGTGCCTCCCCAATTTCCCACCGGTGCTCACTTCTACGAGCTCATATTCACTCTCTGCCTCCTACAGAGAGAACCATCACAAGAAACTACTTTTCACTCTCCTGAACAATTAAGCATCACATGAAACCGACTAACAAAATATTAACATTAAGCTGAAACTACACTAAACTATTCAACAATGAAGTCATAAAGATTACAACTTTTTCCAACTAAACTACCAAACATTCCTAAACATTTTCAGCATAAAGATTCTTAATTTTGTACTAGATTGATACCAAAACATTCAACAACACTAGTCTACGCCATAAGCTAATGTAACGATAAGAGATTAACAATATTAATGAACTAAAGATTATTGTTGTTTTTCAGCAACTAAACCACTGATTCTCCTCAACAATTCAGAACAAAAGATACCACATTTCTGATAATACTACAAGAAGAGAATCAGCAAAAGCGAACCTGTCGGACGAAAGTCCATTTGATATGAGCAGAAGCCATGGATTCTCTCTGCAGATACGAATGCTTGACTTTGGCATTCTTCTGAACAACGACTTCCAAAACCGGATTGGTCCAATAAAACCCTTCTTCGTCTTTCCCCACAAACTCCTCAACGATACCAATCTCTCCTCCTTCCTCCACCAGCACAAAAACTCTAGGATTCGAAACCGGTAACCGTTTCGATTCCCGGTCACCGGTTTCTCCGGAGAAGTACCGAAGATGAATCGAATTCTCCACCTTGCATCCCTCGGGAACGTAAATCACAATCAAATCCGGTGCTCCCATGCCGTTAATCGACCAAAACAGATCGCCGGAGTCGAAATTCCCGATGAATTCGGATACCCGGTTCGTGAGATCATCCGGTAGACCCGAGAAGCTCCCGAAGTAAACCCCGTCGGGCAAATCCGACGGACCGATCGTCAAATTCGACACGAATCCGTCGATTATCACGGCGTTTGGGAACTGGGTTTCCGTCAGATTGTCTAGAATTGACGAATTCCGTTGCTGCTGGGTCGAGACGGGTTCGATTTGGGAGTATCGGATGAATGACGTATCGGTGAACCGGAAAGGCTCGTCTTTTCGCGATGGCCATGGCGTGGATAGAAGAGTCTCGGCGGAAGAATCTCGGATTCTCTGGAGAGGTAAAGAGAGAGTAGAAGATGAAGAAGAAGAAGGAGAAGCTGAGAGAGAATCTTCGAGAGATTCCGCTAATTGGAGTACGAATGGGTCGGAGAAAGAGGCTTGAGCTCGAACAGAAACAGTCGTAGAAGAAGTTGTTCTTCTGTTTGATTTCAATTTTGGTTTAGAAGATAGATTCGGTATCAATGATAAGCGGCCGAGAACTGTGGCAGCAGACGCCATTAATTGGATTCTCTCCGACCAGTGCTTCTTCTCAAATGGAGTTCTCTCTTATTTTTTTCCGTCTCTATTTTACATTTTACATTGTTCTAAAATCTAATCTTGTTTAGTTTGGGCTTAACGGGTTTATTTGATAGGCCCGATATTAAATGTTTCAACGGCCCATTTGCTAGTTCAATCTCACTCTTTTTTTATAATTGTATCTTCTGATCATTTTTGATGCACGAATCTCCAACTTTGGTGTGTTTCCGTAGGGAAGGTATTTTTTTTTTACAAAGGTATTATATAATCACATAAAGAGTTACACGATTCTTTGATTAATTTCATCGACAATAATATTTTATAGTTAATTTCTTTATTTTAAAAGGTTAAAAATATAGTTCTTCGTGGTTTGAACACAATATTCGTCTCTCAAACTGAATGATGGGTTCGTTATTTCATCTTTTTGTCCTTGTAGATGTCCATGAGGTGAAGAAACTAACTTTTCACCAAAGAAATATAATGTGATCTCAACAATTAAAGCACAACTTTACTAGTGTTGGGTGATGTCCAAAAAGTGAACAACGCGGATATAAAAAAAATCAATTAAATAAACAATTTTAAGGTTTTACTAATGGAGATTTATTTGATGCCACAGCCAATTTGCTTAATCAATACAAAGTTACTTAATACATATGTTTTCCAACTCACTATGAGGTGGAAGTAAAGCTAGGTTGACACTGTTTTGACTCGTGTTCACATTTTCATTCATCAAACAATTCATAATTCAAAAAAAATTTCAGCATTCTACTTAATAGAAACAATTCATAATTTAAGCCAATATTGATAAATTTCATAATAGAAACTTATTCTACTTTCAAGTTTCAACACATCAACCCTTTATGTGTTATAGGCAACTACATGCATGAAGGCTGAAGCCCTGTGACATTGTGTTGATTCTTTTTCGTTTTAAGGTTAAAACTATGAGCTATTGTTATGGGTCATCGGAACCACAAGATGTCTGTAGACATTAATCAGAGCCGGCAAGGTGTCTATGTGTAAAAATTAGAGACGGCAATAGGTTTTCAAGTCACTGAGTGTGAACTACAACTGAAACTTTTTGGTTCAGGTGGGCCAATGTCGTGGAATTTGTTGTACGTTTCAGACAAGTTATCTTCAAAACTTTCGGTCTGTATAATTTAATCGAAACTAGTGTACAAATGGATGTTATTACTATTTTAATAACACTATTTGATCTATATGTCTTCTGTTATATATAGACTCCACACCAAACTTACACTTATAAGTTTCAGCATCATCAACTTCCAAATTTCCTTCTTCTTCTTAAAATTTTCCCAAACTTTTAAAATCTTAATATAAATCTTTGAAGCAAAACCCTATTCAAAAAAATAAATCCACTCTTCTGTTTATCTTGGTTTCTGATACCATATACTCTGTTTTTAATTATTCCTTGAGCTTTAAGAAACACACTAATAGGTTAGGTTTCGTCCTATCTTGTAATCTTGTGGAATTTTCACTCTGTTTTGACAAGAAAGTGAATTTGTCATAGAGCTTCTCATAGTATTCAGAGTTTTTTCAATCCATAAAAGTGAGAGATCAATCAGAGAAATTTTAGATATAGACGATGGTGGGGTCATCTCTACCACCTGGTTTCAGATTTCACCCTACAGATGAAGAGCTCGTGGGTTATTACCTGAACAGAAGAAACGAAGGCCTTGTGATCGAGCTCGAAATCATTCCAGGAATCGATTTATACAAGTTTGATCCTTGGGAACTTCCAGGTATGTTCCTTCTTGAAACCCCCATACTGAAAAAAGAAAAACAAAAAATTCATACATCATTTTGTTTCATTGCATGCAGAGAAATCTTTCTTGCCAAGTCGAGATATGGAATGGTTTTTCTTCTGTCACCGAGACAGAAAATACCATAACGGATCTCGAATAAACAGAGCAACTAAATCCGGTTACTGGAAAGCCACTGGTAAAGATCGAAAAATCGTTTGTCAGTCATCTTCTTCTGTGACTGGGTGTCGAAAAACCCTAGTCTTTTATCTTGGTCGAGCCCCTTTTGGTGGTAGGACCGAGTGGGTAATGCATGAGTATCGTCTCTATGATAATGATACTTCACAAGGATCACTGAGTTTCAAGGTAAATACTAACAAGTAACAACATATCATAATTCTAGCTTAAAAGATGGAAAAGGTAAAGCAGTCAAACTTGATTTCTTATTACTGACTGAAGATTTTCTTTTGGTACTCTTCCATTTGATCAGGGAGACTTCGCGCTGTGTCGTGTGATGAAAAGGAATGAGCTTACACTCAAGAAATGTGAAAACAGTTCACCGGAGGTTTCAAATGAGCCATTGAGCAACAATGTAGAGATTTCTTGCCAAGAAAGTTACCTAGGCAAGGGTTCTTGCGACACAAGTATCACACTCGGGGCATCTCCTGATTTTAACCGTGAATCATCGCTTAAGGTTTAAGAATTTAAATCAGAATTTGGTGGAATTTTTGTTAATGGATCAATGTCAGTGACATTGTCTCAAGCATAATTACTTTACTTTTTTTGCAGAGAAATTCACAATCACAAACAGAAGAAGATTCCGGTTTCCAAGAATTCACACTACCACAATTTGAATATCCACCAGATTTCTTTGCAGGTTTGAATTTCGATTGGGAAATGGAGAATCCATTCATGTTCGACAATTATCAAGAAGCGACCAACGAAGTCAAAAAAAAAAGTTCACTCTACATGGATCAAGATCTAACTGTAATCCCACTTATTTGATATTTGTATAGTATATATATAGATATAAAACTACAAGATTCTCCTAGTTATCAACTAGTAGTTGTAATTTAGAAATACCCTTTTTATAGACTTTCTAGGTCTCAAAAGTATATATATTCAAACATGTATCTTGCATTAAAAATGAATTATTGGATACTTTTATTGGAATTTTTTGAGATTGGTGTTGTGATCTAAATATCTAATACAAAGAAGAAATATAAGGGCTACAAAAGATCAAGACATCATCAAGACTAACTTTACTTTCATCTCCAAAAATAGATTCTTTCCCACCTTTCCTCTTAGCATATGACAAACCCAATCTTGATTTAGCCATCCTCAAAACACCAATCTCGGAGTTCCTATCCGGACCCGCAAATTATATGTGTAAGCTATGATAACACATGGACCTTTGAATCACAACGTTCGTGGAACTTTGTTGCACTAAACCCATCAAATGTTTGCCTCGTAGCAACATTTTTGTTCTCTTCCTAAAGAAAGAGTCTAAAAATTTAATTTTAAACCAAACTGCACAAGCTTAGAGATATAGTAAACTGTCAATAATTTGTTTTTTCACCAGTTATCTCCTCAGACTTTTTGTTTGTTTGTTTAAATATTACCTCAAACATATATTGATCTATAACACGTTTAGCTTCTAAATTATAACTTCTCAACAGAAAAGTTTATATATAGAGTTCTTATTAGTGATCATACAACAAAATATTTTATATATGGAGGTTTAATTTATTAGTGATCATACAAACTACAGATTATATCAAAAAAGGTATATGTTCAACTGAGCAGATTGTTCAAAGATTTGTTGGTGCAGCAACAACCCGACTGGCTTCTGAAAGATCCACAATACGACCCTGCATAACCATTTTTTTTGCAAGTCTCCGGGCAACTGCTATCGCACGGTCCGAAATAACATTGGTCACCACCACCAACAGAAATTCCGTTTGCTTGTTCTGTAAAATAATAAAGATTTAGTGCCAAAGCTAAACAATAAGCGTCAGCATAATTAATAAAATATTTTAAAATTTGAGAATGATGAATTAACCTGCAGCGACTAACAACAAAATTATTGTGATGGCACTAACAACATCTAAAGATCTGATCTTATTCATCTTTTCTGGCTGTATGTATAACTTAGCTTGTTCTGTTGATAAAAAAAAAGTGTAACTTGTTCTCAATATTTTCTATTGTTTTGGAGTTGATGGATTTTGTTAAGATATGTAGGTCTTTATATAGTTAATTACTTATAGTCTTTAAATAGTAAATTGGTGATCCTAAATTAAACAAAAGATTTCTTGGATTTTTTACTAGAACAATACCACCTAATAAATTAGTATATTTAATATAAATGATTTATATCTAAAAAGAGAGATTTGTTGATATATTTGATCAAATTTTCATTTGATCTTTTGTTGTTATCTCATCATTTTAATTATGTTTTTAATCTTATTTTATGTATTATCTCTATATTTTTACATTTAACATAAATAAAGTTAGATGTTAGAAAAAAATTGTTATTAAAACAGAAATTACAAATTTAAGTTAATTATATATATATATATATATATATATAATTTCTTAAACCTAAAAGCAAATATTCAGGATCTAAAAATATGAAAAATAATTTATACTACCTTATTTTATTGTCTAAAAATTAAAGTTTAAAATATAAAAAATTTATGAAATAAATCCTTAGTATAGTTTTTTTCTAAATGTTTTCCTAGATTTTTTTCATGAAACAGGTCTATTAAAAAAAAGTATACCAGAAATTTTATATATGTTTCTGATTTTTATAGTTTGCATTTATTCGATTTTATAGATCTTACTTTTCTCTAATGTTTATTTTTCCTTTCCAAAATCTTAACTACTTTTATTTAAAACATAAATAATTAACAATGGTTTCTGTCCGAAAACGTTGCTTTTTGGAAGCGGTGATACAATATCTGTGAAGAGAATGTAGAAGCTAGTGTTGCTCTTCTGAAAACTATCGTAGATAAATGGAATGATGGTTCCCTCTAACTATTATCATCGTCTCGCGCGAGCCAGGGATACAATTCATGAAGATACAACTGGTTTGACGCAGATCGTGAATCAGTCAGGAAGTGCATCAGGACGTATGGACGGACTTGTAGCGGAGCTAAGTGGAGCTTAACGGAGCTAAAGGAATGTTGCTGAGCTGGATGCGAGCTTGTAGCGGATAAGGACGAATCCAGAAGAGGCGGTCGCTGAGCTGGATGAGGAGAGTTGGAGATATCAACACAAAAGGAATATTTCCTATTCTTAGAGAAAAATAAGGAAAGGAAATATTCCCTTGGGGATTTGGAGCAATCATCAAGACCGAAACCTTGTAGGGTTTCTAGGCACGCCTATTGTGGATAGATAGGGTGCTCTGGCTGCTTGTAGGCGGCTATCAAGACAAAAGGAATATTTTCTATTCTTAGAGAAAAATAAGGAAAGGAAATATTCCCTTGGAGATTTGGAGTAATCACCAAGACACAAACCTTGTAGGGTTTGGCGGTTTGTCTATTGAGTATAAATAGAGGACCTTGGCTGCTTGTAAGCGGCTATCACAAACTTGAGAGCTTTAGCATATTTGGGTTTAGATTTCTTGTAAGAAAGCTAGGACAATGGGGGCTAGGGTTTGAGAGGTTCAAAGATCGTGGATAGATCTGAGAACGTGAGAGTTACTAGAACAGCAACCAGATCGTGGATAGATTGTGATTGTTGAGTTCGTTTAAGCATATACTTGTAAGTTATCTTAAAGAAGTTTCTAGTAATATATTTCTTTGTAGAGAAAACCCCGTCCCAGTTTGTGATCTACTACTGCATCAGTAGCCCTTGGTTTTTCAATTGGTATCAGAGCAGTCACCTTGTGTGTATTGCTATAGCAGGTGAGATCTTGCGGAATAGAGGGCTATCACCCGGACTTCATGGGAAGGTCAAAAGTGATACCTGATGCAGGAAACTATGGGTATGAAGAAATCAGTAACTTCATAGCCCTTGCCGGAATTTCTGATTTTGTGGAAGAAAGAAAAGCATCTGAATCAGATACCGAAGACTCGTCCAGTGATGAAGAATCTGAGATTGATATCTACGAAAGCTTTAAAGAAGTTCGTGATGCTTTGGTTGAAACCGGGAAAGAGAATCTCGAATTGAAAAAGGAGAATGCTCGTCTTGAAGAAAAGGTTGGAGAACTTCAGAAGGCACTTCAAGCGGAAAAAGATCTCAACATGGATAATCTCAATATCATGTTGGAAAAGATGGAAGCGGTTAAACGAGCAGATGACATCACCAAAGAGTACTTTTTGGAGAAGGAGAACTCCAGGAGTCTACAAGCTGAGTTAGATCAACATCGAAAGCAACTGAAGATGTTGACTGGAACTAAGGAACTCGACAAGATCCTGAGTCTTGGTCGTGTTGGGAAGTCAAATCTTGGTCTGGGATACTCAACAGGAAGTGGATCAACCGGCAAGACAGTCACTTTCGTGTCTGGAGGAATAGCTCAAGATGTTGTTCAAGCAGAGACTAGATCATCCGCATAGAAACCTGATCCCATCCTAAGGAGTGAAAATCGAGGAAAGACCACCATGGGATTAGGATATGAGGCTAAGAAAGTCAGTAATGCTAGAGCATCACATCGCCACAGAGGACATCAAGGGAAACAGTGCTATTTTTGTGGAGTTGTGGGTCATATCAAGGCGTTCTGCAACAAGTTTTGTGCTAGAGTTGATCACGCCTGGAGACAAGGACGCTACTACTGGAATCATGGACTGAACCAAGTCTTCATCAGAAGACTGATCTTTACCAGAATCCTGCTCGACGTACAGCACCAGGTGGTACAAGACAGCGATTCTGCTCCAATATGGCACTATTTGAAGAAAGCAATGAGGTGGACAACACAGGAACGTGGTACTTCGACAGCGGTTGTTCCAGACATATGACTGGCATGAAAGAAAATCTGCAGGATGTGAAGCAGTTAAAAGGAGGAAAGGTGACATTTGGATGTGGAACCAAAGAACTATTCAAGGCAAAGGACGAACATCTGAGGAGCAACCACAGCTTATGAATGTCTATCTGTCCAAGGTCTAAAGTCAAATTTGATCAGTGTCAGCCAGCTTTGTGATGAAGGTTTAACGGTCTGGTTCAACAAGCTAGAGTGTAAAGCCATTGATCTGACGGAAAGACAGTCTACGAGGAGTTCGTTCAGGCAACAACTGCTACATGTGGGATCAATCTGCAAAATGCCTAAGTGTCCGAGATGATGTTGAACTATGGCACAAACGATTGGGTCACATGAATATTCGACATCTTACCACTCTGGTGAATAAGGAGATTGTTCGTGGTGTTCCAAAACTGAAGGGATGTGAGAAATGTGTGTGGTCCATGCAATCAAGGGAAATCAAGGTGAAGGTGGCAGATGTACAATCCAAGACTGTTTTGGACTAGTACACATGGATTTTATGGGACCAATGCAAGTGGAGAGCATTGGAGGAAACGCTATGTCTTTGTTCTAGTGGATGATTACTCGCGATACACTTGGGTCGCTTCATTCGTGACAAATCTGACACCATGGCGAGTTTCAAGATTTGGGCTCTTCAAGTCATCACTGAGAAAGGAAGCCTCAAGCGCATACGCAGTGATCATGGGGGAGAATTTCAGAATGAGGTCATGACTAAGTTCTGCAATGAACAAGGCATAGCTCACCAATTTTCAGCGCCTAGAACACCACAGATGAATGGAGTAGTGGAGCGAAAGAACAGAACACTTCAAGGAAATGGCGAGAGCAATGATCCATGGAGGAAACATTCCTGTGAAGTTTTGGGCTGAAGCAATCAACACCGCATGCTACATCATCAACCGTGTCTACATGAGAAAGGCTTTACTCAAAACACCTTATGAGTTGTGGAAAGGAAAGACACCTAACTTAAGTTACTTTCGTGTCTTTGGATGCAGGTGTTATATTCTGAATGACAAGGATCAACTTGGAAAGTTCGACTCAAGGAGTGATGAAGGCATATTTCTGGGTTATTCAGGCAACAGTTCAGCTTTCAGAGTCTTCAATCTTCGGTCCAAGATGATTATGGAGTCGGTCAATGTGTATTTGATGATCGATCAATTCGCATGGGAGACTTCCAATGTATTATGATCCAGAACCCAGGCGAGCTGAAGTACATGAAGAGGACAATCCAGACAAGCCTGAGGATGAAGAGAAGGTTGAAGAAAGCTGAAGTACATGAAGAGGATTCCAATCCAGACAAGCCTGAGGATGACGAGAAGGTTGAACAAGTGCCTGACACGGTGGTTGCCGTAGAACACCCAGTGACACAAGTTCACAGAAATCACTCATCAAGTGATCTGATTGGAGACATCATGAGACGAAAGACGAGAGGAATCAAGCTGAACTACAAGCAGATGGTCAGCATGGCAATTATTCAATTTGAATGCTTTGTCTCAACCATAGAGCCACGAATCACCTTGAAGCACTGAAGATGCAGATTGGATCATCTCCATGGAAGAGGAACTAGAGGAGTTCGTGAGAAACGATGTATGGGAACTGTGCCACTACCTGATGGTGTGAATGTGGTCGGCACAAAGTGGATCTTCAAGAACAAGACAGATGATGCTGGCATTGTACGAAACAAGTCAAGACTTGTTGCGCAAGGTTACTCACAAGTTGAAGGAGTCGACTTTGATGAAACCTTTGCCCCTGTAGCACGTCTTGAGTCTATCAGACTGTTCTAGGGATGGCATGCATATTGAACTTCAAGTATCAGATGGATGTAAGAAGAGTGCTTTCTTGAATGGCATTCTACAAGAGGAAGTATATGTAGCCAACCGAAGGGTTTGAAGATCCTACACATCCTGATATGTGTATAAGCTCAAGAAAGCTCTCTACGGACTGAAACAGGCTCCAAGAGCTTGGTATGAGCATTGACGAAGTTTCTGATTGACACAGGCTACGTCAGAGGAACTGTGGACAAAACTTGTTCACACTTGAGAAGAAGAATGAGATGATGATGGTGCAGATCTATGTAGATGATATCATCTTTGGAGGAACTTCAGAGAAGCTGGTGGAAAACTTTGTGAAGAGTATGACTAAGGAGTTCAAGATGAGCATGGTGGGAGAATTGAAGTACTTTCTTGGACTTCAAGTGAATCAGACTGAGAAAGGAATCTTTATTTCTCAAAGCACCTATGCCAAGAATCTACTGGTGAAGTTTGGTCTTGACAAATGCAAGGAGGCAAGAACACCAATGAGCACCACGACAAAGATTGGAAAGGATGAACAAGGAGAAGATGTTGATGTGAAGCTCTACAGAGGAATGATTGGAAGCTTGCTTTACCTTACAGCAAGTCGGCCTGACTTAAGCTTCAGCGTTGGGTGTGTGTGCTCGCTATCAGGCCAAACCAAAACAGTCCCATCTTCAAGCGGTGAAGAAGATCTTGAGGTATGTCAAGGGAACTGTCAATCTGGGGATCTTTTACTCCAAAGGATCCAACAGAAATCTTGCTGGATATTGTGACGCCGATTGGGCAGGATGCGCAGATGATCGGAAAAGCACAAGTGGAGGTTGTTTCTTCCTTGGGAACAATCTTATTGCTTGGCTTAGCAAGAAGCAGAATTCTGTGTCACTATCTACTGCAGAGGCTGAGTACATTGCATTGGGAAGCTGCTGCACACAGCTTATATGGATGAGACAGATGTCAGCCGATTATGGATGGAGTCTGGACCCTTCTTGGTCTACTGTGACAACAAAAGCGCCATTGACATATCAAAGAATCCGGTGCAGCACTCAAGGACTAAGCACATTGACATAAGACACCACTTTGTTCGTGAATTGGTGGAAGAAAAACAGGTAGTACTTGAACATGTTGTCACAGATTTACAGCTCGCTGATTTATTCACAAAACCATTGGACTTTAACCGTTTTGTCACCTTAAGAAATTCCATTGGAATTTGCACAAGTGGTTTTGAATGATGCAGGGGCTGACACAGGCACTGGCTCGGGGTGTATAACAAGTTCAGATTTTGTTTGGAGTCAAAGGTGCCAATGAGGATCAGCTACTTTGTCATGCCGTCATGTCACCTCAACATAAGAAAAGTGAAAAGTAAGTGATTCTAAAAGCATGTTCAAGGTCAAAAAGCAGCTGAGCCAACTCCAAATGAATGCAATATGATGGAGATGGCTTGCTGCTTCAAGAACCAAAAAGTGATTCAATGAGCATAACAGGAAATGTGATGAACTGACAACAATAGCTCACAAGGCTAAGTTGGTTCATGTGATTTCTCGAAAGACAATGTTTCACAAGAACAAAGTCTGACGATAGAAATAAGAGCTTAATTGGAAAGGGGATGGATTGACAACAATAGCTCACAAGGCTAAGTTGGTCCATGAGCTTTCTCGAAGGGTAATGTTTCACAAGAACAACATCCAACGACAGAGAATGATCACATGTTCTGCCTTGAACAAAATAAAGAGTTTCACTTTGCACATCATTGGAATTAGAGGTGGTGATATGATCTGGGTATGACAAAGTGAAAGCTGCAGGTTGGAATCAGGATGGCCAAGCACTATGAATCTGTTGAGAATTTGTAATACATCCTGATGCAAGTGCCGACTCAGTCAATGTCTCCTTCACTAAAATGAAAGGTATTTAATTTGAGATAAACTGAGTAAAAATGTTTTTAAGCTGAAAAGATGTGACACATGGGATGGTATTGCTTGTTTGGATTCTACTTGAATCGAATTTATGTGGATGTCACAATTTTATCCTGTGTTGTACTGCTGATATTGGTGCTAAGTGTTGCAGGAAATCAAACAGGATTCTGGGTCTCTAAACCAAATTAATCCGGCTGATTTATGTTGATTCCGATTAAATGGTGTTTTGAAACAGCCGTCAGATCTACAAGCCAGCAATCTCCAAGCACTGCCGTCGCCTGACGAAGCGACTGAAGTAGCGACCACTACATCTCTGGTAGTGACCGCCGATGGTGTTTCTGAACCAGCAGAGCCGGAGGTACAACAGACGACGCATCAATGTCTCTGTCAGATCCAAACCAGCCGTTTCACCCTCTCGACGAAGCTCGCGAAACAGAGTCTCTTGATGAACTTCAACTAGGTCAACCGTTTCGAACTACAACGAAGTAGTCTTCTCAAATCGAGAAGCAGCCATCGATTGATCCGCCATCTGATACAGCGCCAGAGGTTTCGTCATCCGCTCTTAACTCAGACTTGATATGCTCAGAGTGTTGAAGAACAGAGTGATGCAGATGTTTCTCTCGTGCAAGGAACAAGAGAGTTCTTCAGGAAACAGGTCCCTTCGCAGTTTCACTGACATAGTTCAGGGTCTGATCATCGTCAATCTGCAAGGTAAGTTGTCCTTCTGCACAATCTATTTCAATCTGTTTATCCATCTTGTGTTTTTAACTTGTGTGTGCTCACAAGCAGGGGGAGAATAGGATGTATCAGAGAACGAAAACTAGGATCTAAGCTAGAATTGTGGGGGAGCAAGACTTTTGATCTTGTTTGCCTTGTTTTGAGTAGTTTTCGATCTAGAATTCTGGGGGAGTTGAGAGTTGAAAGTTCTTTGATCTTTTGGATTTAACTCTTGTTCTGAATCATGTTTAATATTTCTATGACTAATGTTGAAGTATTCAGATCATCCCAGTATTCTGGTCATCTCTGGTATATGCACTGTGGTTTTGAGTTTTACAGGTGCTTGAGAGACACAAAGCTAAAAAGGGGGAGATTGAAGATGCAACTGGTTTGACGCAGATCGTGAATCAGTCAGGAAGTGCATCAGGACGTATGGACGGACTTGTAGCGGAGCTAAGTGGAGCTTAACGGAGCTAAAGGAATGTTGCTGAGCTGGATGCGAGCTTGTAGCGGTTAAGGACGAATCCAGAAGAGGCGGTCGCTGAGCTGGATGAGGAGATTTGGAGATATCAAGACAAAAGGAATATTTCCTATTCTTAGAGAAAAATAAGGAAAGGAAATATTCCCTTGGGGATTTGGAGTAATCACCAAGACGAAACCTTGTAGGGTTTCTAGGCACGCCTATTGTGAATAGATAGGGTGCTCTGGCTGCTTGTATGTGGCTATCAAGACAAAAGGAATATTTTCTATTCTATATATATTCACCGTTTCTTTGGGATTAGCCGGACTAGGTATTAGATTAGCTGAATCCATTTTCTTGTCTTCTCTAAATAGAGTATCTAGGGCTACAAAAGATCAAGACATCATCAAGACTAACTTTACTTTCATCTCCAAAAATATATTCTTTCCCACCTTTCCTCTTAGCATATGACAAACCCAATCTTGATTTAGCCATCCTCAAAACACCAATCTCGGAGTTCCTATCCGGACCCGCAAATTATTGGTGTAAGCTATGATAACACATGGACCTTTGAACCACAACGTTCGTGGAACTTTGTTGCACTAAATTAAACCATCAAATGTTTGCCTTGTAGCAACATTTTGGTTCTCTTCCTAAAGAAAGAGTCTAAAAATTTAATTTTAAACCAAACTGCACAAGCTTAGAGATATAGTAAACTGTCAATAATTTTTTTTCTTCACCAGTTATCTCCTCAGACTTTTTGTTTGTTTGTTTAAATATTACCTCAAACATATATTGATCTATAACACGTTTAGCTTATAAATTATAATTTCTCAACAGAAAAATTTATATATAGAGTTCTTATTAGTGATCATACAACAAATCTTTTATAAATGGAGTTTTTATTAGTGATCATACAAATTAAAGACTCTATCAAAAGAGCTTTAATTTATATGTTCAACTGAGCAGATTGTTCAAAGATTTGTTGGTGCAGCAACAACCCGACTGGCCTCTTAAAGATCCACAATACGACCCTGAATAACCATTTTTCTTGCAAGTCTCCGGGCAACTGTCATCGCACGATCTGAAATAACATTGGTCATCACCAACAGAAATTCCGTTTGCTTGTTCTGTAAAATAATAAATATTTAGTGCCAAAGCTAAACAATAAGCGTCAGCATAATTAATAAAAGATTTTAAAATTTGAGAATGATGAATCAACCTGCAGCGACTAACAACAAAATTATTGTGATGGCACTAACAACATCTAAAGATCTGATCTTATTCATCTTTCCTGGCTGTATGTATAACTTAGCTTGTTCTGTCGATAAAGTGTAACTTGTTCTCAGTATTTTCTATTGTTTTGGAGTTGATGGAATTTGTTAAACATATGGTAGGTCTTTATATAGTGAACTTATATTCTTTAAATAGTAGATTGGTGATCCTAAATTAAGTAAAAGATTTCTTGAATTTTTTACTAGAACAATACCACCTAATAAAGTAGTATATTTGATAATAAAAAAAAGAGAGATTTGTTGATATATTTGATCAAATTTTCATTTAATCTTTTGGTGTATATCTCACCGGTGGTTTTAAAAAACCTCGCGAATTAACTTGGGTTACTGACGTGGTTCTGGGTGTATTGACCACATATTTTGGTGTAACAGGTTATTCTTTACCTTGGGATCAAATTGGTTATTGGGCAGTCAAAATTGTAACATGTGTACCTGACGCTATTCTGGTAATAGGATTGCCTCTTGTAGAATTATTACGTGGAAGTGTTAGTGTTGGACAATCCACTTTGACTCGTTTTTATAGTTTACACACTTTTGTATTACCTCTTCTTATGACCGTATTTATGTTAATGCATTTCCTAATGATACGTAAGCAAGGTATTTCGGGTCCCTTATAAATAATATAGATTCTAGATATTTGTAATTACTCATTTATTTTATTACTTGGTAAAGGAACGGTAGTATTTTGTTACTATAAATATAGATTATTAAAAAAATAAGACAGTATTTGAATATTTCCCTTCAACTCTATAATATTTTATTATTTTTTTGACATAAAAGTTGAAGGAAATTCTATGAAGAGAAAATGGATTATGGGAATGTGTGACTTGAACTATTGATCGGGCCGTGCAGAAATATGACTTTATCTGCTACATTGGAATTCACAACCAAATGTGTCTTTGTTCCAACCAATGTGTAAGCCCGGGATAGGCTGGTTCACTTGAAGAGAATCTTTTCTATGATCATACCGACGATGTCGTGGATGAGTGAGCTCCGTAAAATCCAATAGATCTAGTAGATTATGGGATGGAACAAAATCCTGAGATTGTGTTTTTAGCTATTTTTTACTAAAAAAAAAAAAATAGTATGTAAATGCATTCATTTCCTCTGCATCAACTCGATTTATGATACTATCGGAGTGAATATAGGATCTAATAAAGAGTAGAGGGTAAACTCCATTAGTAACAACTAAATCCTTTGTATTTGAAAAACCTCAGATATAATTTTTGAAAAATCCTTCATTTTTAATTATGTTTTTAATTTTATTTTATGTATTATCTCTATATTTTTACATTTATTAACATAAATAATGTTAGATGTTAAAAAAAATTGTTGTTAAAACAGAAATTACAAATTTAAGTTAATTATAAATATATATATATATATAAGATTTCTTAAACCTAAAAGATCTAAACATATGAAAAAATATATACTACCTTATTTTACTGTATTAAAATTAAACTTTAAAATATAAATTTTTATGAAATAAAATTTTCCTTAGTATTGTTTTTCTAAATGTCTTCATAGATTTTTTTTTCATGAAACAGGTCTATTAAAAAAACTATATATTTTCTGGTTTTAATATATTTTATAGTTTACATTTATTCGATTTTATAGAGTTTACTTTTCTCTAATTTTTATTTTCTCTTTTAATTTTCCTTTCCAAAATCTGAACTGTTTTTATTTAAAACATAAATAACAATGGTTTCGGTCCGAAAACGTTGTTGGAGGCGCTGTTACAAACTTATAATATATGTGAAGAGAATGTAGAAGCTAGTGTTGTAGATAAATGGAATAATGGTTTCCTCAACTATTATAATCGTCTGGCGAGCCAGGGAAACAATTCATTCCAGATATGTTCACTGTTTCTTTGAGATTAGCCGGACAAGTTAATAGATTAGCGCAATCCATTTTCTTGTCTTCTCCAAATAGAGTTTGTTGTAATTTGTAACCTCTGTTGTAGCCAAGGAAGCTGCAACAATCGCTGTTTGGTCTCTGACCGCAAACGTTGATTGCTGGAAGCTCTGGTACGATGTCTATCAGGAGAATCTTGTGCTAGTGTTGCTCTTCTTAAAACACTTGTAGAGAAATGGGAAGATCATTCCCTCAAACTCTTATACTCATCACCGAGTGATGCTCTCACTCTCACCCAAACTATAAAGTGCTTTAGGCTAAAGGTAGTTATAAATAAATGAGTTCATTTCTTTAACTTAAGAAGAGCTTAGAGAGATTGTTTCCTCCAAATGGAATTGAAGACGATCATCCAAAAACAAGACTTAGCTAGAAAAAAAGTTCCAAATCAAGATCGCAATTCTTTTGTACTGTAATATCGAGCAAGATCTTTTGTTAACGAAAGAAAAAACTTCCGAGTATTTTAAAAACGAAAGCTTAGAGGAAGAAACCTAAGCATTTTATTTTGGTGTACTTACAAAGTTAAACACGAAGAGTTGTGATCATCTCTTTGAAACCCAAAAGAGAAGCTATTTTTTCAAGAGGTTGCTCCAAAAATACGGATTCTCTGCTGGACCAAAGCTCTGCAGCAAGGACAAGTGACTTTGCTTCCACTGCTCGAGAAGAAGCTATCGCTGCAACCACCACACACAACTTGATGCGCACACGGAAGAAACACCACTGAGACTTCATCTTTCTTACAGATTATGCACTCTCGATCATTGTTCGCTTCGTTCTCGTAAGACCCTTCAAGCTTATCGAGTTCTTCGAGCAGCCTCGCGATGTTTTCTCCTTGTGACTTGTCGGGTCTCCAAATGCTGTTGGGTAAGTGCGTTGAGTCGGTATCTGAAGATGCTTTGAGCCGAGTGAGCTCTTGATCAAGTCTCTGGTGGTCGTCTTTGTGTCGTTGGAAGTCTAGCTCGATCTTTAACCGTAAAGTCTCCAGCTTTCTCTTGTTGTGTGCCTCTGCTGCTTCTTTTGAGCGTTGCTCTTCCTCCACTTGTGCCAAAGCTTGCTCCTTTGCTTTCTGCTCTTGCCTCCATTTCGCCTGCAAATAACAACATGCATTCAATAGGCCTAGTTCTACAACTCAATTGATGTTCCCAAGATGATATTCATATCGAATCCAGATTCCACAAACCCTAGCAAAAATTATAAATCATGAACCAACGTACCTCAATTTCCTTTTCATCATGTGAGATCTGTGCTAAATCCCTATGAAAGGCCTTGATCTTTTCTTTCTCAGCTGCAATCTCATCCTGCAACTTCAGTTTCTGCTTCTCCCAAGCCAAAAGCTTCTTCAAGCATTTCTTCTCCTTCTTTGATTCTTCCATGCACGCTTTAAGCGACTCTGACGCACTTAGTTTAGCACCTTCTCTCTCTGCTCGGAGTTCTGCGTTTTGATTCTCAAGCGTTCTCACAACCGTAGTGGCTGCGTCCTTCTGGCTAAGAGCTTTTCTAAGAGAGACTTCCAAGTCGGATAGTTTTTTCAAGGTTGATTCTTCAACAGCTTGTTTCCCCTTTTTCAACATCTGGATTCCTTCTCTCTCGCTACTCAATGATTTAAGCTCGGCAAGCTCATCGCTGACCTTTTGAGCAGCTTGCATTGCCTTCTTCTGAGCCCAGTCTTTCCTTTCCTTCAACTTCTTCTCGAGATCCTTGACCTGATGAAGCAGAGTGACTATCACACCATCCTTATCATCCTCACCCACCAATTCAAGACTATCATCAAGGTTCAGATCCCGGAACTTCTCCAACACCAAGCTAACACTTTCTTCACTCCCTGACTTACACGGCTTCTCACAAGTCTCCACATTTGCAGGATCAATGGTACTAGCCACGCTGTTACCACTAGTTTCAGAATCTATCTGCTTCTGCTTCATACTAGCACGAAACCCAGCAGCAAACGCTGCAACATTCCGCTTCAACAAAGACTTCATGGACGGCGAGAGATTAAACCTCCTGGGACAAACAATCTCTCTCTGCAGTTTCATCTCAGCATTGTTCATCGAAAAACCCTTACCGGAAAACTCAGGCCCTCCTCCTTTATCAAAATCCCAACCACCATGGAATCGACACAAAGCCGGAGCCATAAAACCAGCAAAATCTACAGTACTACTACCAACTCCTTCTACTTTGCTATCTTCCTTAGCACAACAACTAGCCCTAGCCCCTGAATTCGGAACATCCATAGTACTTGCCCTACCAACATGGAGCTCACTCATTAGCAAACACCACATTGCATCACCTTTACTCAATTTAGGCTTAACTTGTTGCAGCAAATATATCATACCAGCGAGTGAATACTCTTCCAAATCTCTCAAATCCGTAAAACCAGCCTCTGACTGATGATCATCACTACCGCAGCCGCCGCCACAGCCTCCTCCTCCACCGCTGCTGCTATTCAGATAAGATAACGAATTGTTCACTATGTTCGTCAGAACATCCGATTCACCATAACAATGGCCATTACTTAGAACCGCCTTCAACGCAACACCATCCTCATAACCCAAATCGATGAGCTTCGAAACACCTTGGCTGTACAAAAACTCCAAATGCTTCAGCAGAATCTCTTCCAAATGCTCCTCCGTACAATAGCCCCACACGTTCTCCTCGAATTTCCCGCTAGGGTTCGAGTGGACGCAACAGGGCTCTGGACATGGACCAGAGCCAGTGAGACCCGGATGGTAAACCAGGTTTTTGAGGCTCGACTCAACCATCGATTTCGATACGGCAAGCCTGTCGAGCAAACAACACGGATCGACTCCGGATTTCAAGGCGGATCGAATCTTCCGGTTCGCTCTCACATGCTTCTCCCTCACAGTACCACCCATCTGAATACTCTCGCTTCTCTCTGCACAGAGAACGAAAAACGATAGAGATTGATAACAGAAAGGTCGGAAATGAAATCCTTACCAACCAAAAACATGATCGGAATCAATGGAAGAAAAATTATCAAGGGAAATAGGATGAATTTGATAAACGAAGATTCGATGATAGAGACGGAGAGATGCGAAGAACTCACTGATCGGCGATGGCTGGATTTCTCGGCTAAGAAGATGAGTTTCGGCAGGCAGAGAGGAAAAAGGTTACGCGAGAGAAACTATTGTTCCGTTTCTTTATTTCTGGCGGCGTTACTTGAGCCAGATCATATATGTATGGGCCTTTGGCCCATTACATTATAAAACTAACTTGGCCCAAGTATGTGAGAATACGACAGCGTTTTCTTTCAGTTCTCTTCCCATGGTTTACGGTTTGATTTGGTTTAGTAACGGTTTGGGGAAATTGGAAACAAATAATAAAACTAGGGAATTGTAACATTATTTTTTGGGTTAATTTTACTCGGTTTGATGATATTTTAGCTTTGTTCGGTTTGATTTTTAGTTTATGCTAAAAAATAATTCTGATCAGATAGCTTATTTAGTCAATTTCTTAGATTTTTGTGATTTTCATTTATATGTTTGGATGTGGTGGTAAATGTTGTTCGATTTATGTTTGATGCAGAGTTGGGATGTCACTATCTAAATGGAAAACTAGTGTATTTCTTCCATTTTCTTTGTATCAATAACATGTACATGTTACATGTAGTATGTGAATTTGGATTCGGATAATTACACAATGATATGTCATAGTCTCGTCGTGTGGTTCTTCCATTTGTTATTCTCTCTAGTCTCTATGCGTGTGCTATATGAATATAAATATTTGCTTATTTTTTTACATTTACCACATTTTCATATTAAGAAACGAATGAAAATCAAAATGGGTTTTTGTAGCTGAGCCATCACTGTTTTGAAGTAGGACGTGGACAATTCTATAGCCGCTCTTTAATGGCCATCTAAGCGTCTCTCAAGAGACGTCAATGTCCAAAATGTTCTAATTAACACGACCCTAGCTTTACTGTTTTCTATCTCCTTTCTTCTTAAATTACAAATTCTTTGTCCTTTTATTCTTTCTCTCCCATTCCTCAAAATCCCACACACACACACATAGATAGATGCATACATTACATACAAAAATACATAAATGTACTGGCTTGGTGGTGATGGAATGAGATTGAGCAATCCGTTTGTGTGTGTTTGCTTGCTTCTGGAAACAGCATCTTCTGTTGATGTGTCTTTTACAATTTCTTTGGACAAGATGTACTTTGGATTTCCCACTGTGGCCTCCAAATGTCTTGTTCCCTCTCAAAATCGACCCTTTTGTCCCATTTTGTCACATCTACATACCCATATTGCCTCCTTTTGAATCAGAGGATTTGTTCATGTATAAATATAATGGTATTGAATGGTATAGTGCTTTTTTTGTATCGTTCATGACATTCATACGAGATTCATATTTTACATTCATTATTTTTTTACATTTTTTCAAGCCTTGATCTCCTTCAAAACGGTTCGAGTAAAAGCTTGAAATGGTGTATTATATATAAGCAAAAGCAAGGAAGTGTATGAACTTTGTTAATTAATGAGAAAGGCTATTTTTCACAACTGTTTTGTTCTCGTTTCTTTCTCGTGAACTCCGTTCTTGAAAAGCCAAGGTTTGATAAAGATTTTCCCAAAATAAAAATCGAAAAATACGAGAACATTATCCATGATATTATTATATACACAGCTCGACTTTTTGTAAGCTCTGCAATATTACATTATTGCAAATGCATTTTCTCTTCCTTTAGATCCATAGAGGATACAGTTGTAGAATCATCTGACCTATCAACTTCATCACCAAACTGATTGTGGACTGATCCTGTTTGTGGGTTACGAACTCAGTCTGGATTTTAATTTAGATTCTATTTTCTATTGCACCTTAAACTGAAATATTATCGTATGGCAATTTACTTAGGGTTCGTCTAATTTATTTGAAATTAATACAGTCAATCAATCAAAATATAAAATACATGATTATTATTAAATTATATACAATATATAACAAAACAAAAGAGGATTTTAAGATGGAGATTATGACTCACCATGTCACATGTGAAGTGTAGTTGACATAACACAATATAATAAGAAGAATAAAAAAAAAGTAACTCATAAAAAAACAGTAACGTAAGTGAAGCTGGGCCCATCAAATAATTAAATAATGGAATACCAAAAAAATTAAGTTGTTCTTGATATGATGACTTCAACCAAATAAATCAAAATTATTGTTACCCTAATTAAAAGTTCACTTACATGAATTAGACTAAGACTATAGAATAATAATTGATGAATTTAATGAACTGCCAAAACAATAAATTATAGGTTTGGTAAAACAACAGACAGAGAAACTACTGATTGGATAACTGAATTTCCTGTGTGCATGGCCCATGGTAAGTTCTATTTTTATTTCATTTTTTGCTTAGTTGGTTTGCTGTAATTTGGTTCAATATCGCATACCTATTATTTCTTCAAAATAATAAATATCATACATCAAATAGAGGTTTATAATCATCATGCAAAATATCATTTGCTGGATTTATTGTATTGGATGTGCTACTTGACTCCCAAAGTCTCATCTCTCTTAGTCTCTTCTAATCTCTAAGATTTGCCAAAAAAAAATTTGGACTGAGATGTTTAATTGTTGAGTTTAATCATTTATGAGACTGGAATAAATACAGTAGATAAAATATCATATGAGAGAAAATATTTAACTCAAGGAAAAAATAAAGATCAATGATCGGTATTGGCTAAATGACAGTCGTTTTTAATAAATTTAAATGACGGCTAAATTTTTGATTGAAAAGAGTAAAATTTTAATTATTTTAATTACGTATCGTAGATTCTAACTCGAAAAAGGTTTCTCACGTTGGAACAAAACAGCACATAAATATATCAAATGAAAAGGAGAAAAACATAAAACACACTAAAAACACGAGTTAAATAATTTGTATTGGATGAACGATATTTACCCTTAATAAATTCAAATGGCGGCTAAACGACAATTGTCCTCTATAATTTCAAATGGCTACTAAATTTTTGACAAAAAGAGGATAATTCTAATTATTTTAATTGCATAGCTAGATTCTAAGTGAAAAGAGAAAGTTTTTCGCGTTAGAACAACGGCATCTAAATATATCAAATGAAAAAAAAAGAGAAAAACAAAAAATACCCTAAAAAATAAGAGTTAAACAATGGGTATAAGATAAACGACAATTGCTCTTAATATATTCAAATGTCAGCTAACGACAATCATACTTAATAAATTCAAATGCAATACTTTCGACATAAAAGAACAAAGTCCTAATTATTTAAATTACAGATTCTATATTCTTGTTGGAAAGTTCACACGGTTGGAAAAAAACAACATATAAATATATCAAATGAAAAAAAGAGAAAGTGTATAACACATTAAAAATAAGAGTTAAACAATTGGTATCCGCTAAACAACAATCACCATTAATAAATTCAAATGGCGGCTAAACGACAATCATCCTTAAGAATGATGGCTAAACTTTCGACATGAAAGAAAAAAATCATAATCATTTGAATTACATATTATATATTCTAATTGGAAAGAGAAAGTTTCTTAGATTGGAACAAAAACGGCATAAGAATATATCAAATAAGAAAAGAGAAAGACATAATTACAAAAAAACACTAAAAAAATAAGAGTTAAACAATCGGTATCGGACAAACGCTAATCGCCCTTAATAAATTCAAATGGCTGCTAAACAACAATCGTCCTTAATATATTCACATGGCGGCTATACTTTCGACAACAAAGATCAAAATTTTAATTATTTAAATTAAAATTTTTATATTATAACTTTCTTAGGTTAGAACAAAAACAGCATATAAATATATAAAATAAGAAAATAGAAACAAAAAATACATTAAAAAAGAGTTCAACGATCCGTATCGTGTAAACGCCAATTATCCTTAATTAATTCAAATGGCACGAGTAAATACCACAAAGAATAAAAGAGAAAAAAATATAGTTATTCAAATTATTGACAAAGCTAGTCCATTCTTCTTGGATTATATAGTGTTATGAAATTTTTTTATTATTTTTTTATTGGGGAACCAGTAAAATCAATATCTTATTATATGTGAGTAGTTGAAAAAAAAAATATTATCTTTGTAATATTTGTTTTTTGAATTGAATATAAAATTTATTCAAACCAAAATATCTTTGTAATATTTTTCATAGCTAGTGTGAAATTGGACTAGATTAAAACAAAATTGTCGATATTAGAGAGGAAAAATTCGTTTATTGTCTTTATTTATTGCATATATATTTATAAAAGGACTTTAAATTTATATTCCTTTAAAAAAAAAATCTTTTTATTTTCTCTTTTTTGTGTTATTGTTTTCCTGTTTGGTTATGATGTATAAGGAAAATCCACTTTTCCCACTACAATTTCAGATTTATAATTTAAAATTACTTTTATCTTTTTTTCCTTTTTTTATTTATTATGTATATTTCTCTCTATGTTTATGAGAAAGGCAAGTTGCAAGAGAGGCTGAGAGGGTGTGTGTTTGCCCCACTCCTCAAATAATAATACAATTTTCAAAGTATTCAGTTATTCACAATTCACATTCCTCTTTCCGGATTCCCAAATACATATACACACATATAGATATACACAGACAAACGTTATGTAACTGCAAAAATATACCAAAACGAGATTCCACAATTAGTCACTAGTCAAAGAGCTTCATGGTAATGGTGTGACTCCAAAGTAAGCCTTCACATGTTTTTCAAGTTTCAAGCATTGAATTCTTTTCCTTATTTTTTTGTTGTGGATTTGTTTCCTTGCTAAAAAACAATTAAGATTTATTTTCCCTTTTTGGATCATTGCTTCCGTGTGCTTGTTTAAATAGATGACGAAAGTGAAGAAATGGGAGAAGAAGAAGTGAAGAACACAAGATGTGTAATCTTCTTCTAAGCCATTGAAAACATCAACAGAGAGAGAAGAAGCCATTACTCTATACAAACAGAGAGAGAGACGGAGAAGAGATTTATCCACTTTTCTACAATAATTCTTTGAGTGAATAATGCCAGTCCCTCTTGCTCCATATCCAACACCTCCGGCGCCGCCGGCACTGGCTCCTTCGTACACTCCTACGCCGGCAAATGGTATAGTTTCCTTTTAAATAACAAAAGTTTAAATCCATATAGATCCTCTGTTTTCAAAAGATAAATCCTTTTAAATCTATTTATTTTAGCAAAAAATGATTGAAAATCAATCATGATTGATTTGTAGTTAGTTTTTACCAAAACTATTTTTTATTGTTCATGGATCCGTCCAGAAAGCAAATATTTCCAGATTCTCCTTATGCTTATCCTCATGGTTTCTTCTTGTTTTATCCTAAATAATTTATCTCCAACATGAGAAAAACAAAAAAAAATGCTCCCCGTATGGATTTAAAATCATTCCTAGAAACCCATTTGTTTATCCCATATGAGTTCATCGTTAACCCATTAAATTTTGTTTTTCGCCAAAAAAATGTTTTGTTTAACAACTTGTGATTCATAGGTAGTACAAGTGGACAGAGCCAGTTGGTGTGTTCAGGTTGTAGAAACCTTCTGATTTATCCTGTTGGAGCATCCTCCGTCTGTTGCGCTGTTTGTAACGCCGTCACGGCCGTCCCTCCACCAGGTAATGACTCGTCAAAATATTATTTGATTAGTTAATCCGATTATAGAGATTTACATTTGTATTAATTGGGACAATGCAGGGACAGAGAATGCTCAGCTGGTATGTGCAGGATGCCATACACTTCTAATGTACATTCGTGGAGCTACAAGTGTTCAGTGTTCGTGTTGTCACACCGTTAATCTCGCCCTCGAAGGTTTGCATTAGCTATTTACACACATGCATATTGATGTATTAAATTGATTTTTTTTTTTTTTTTGGTTTAGGAAACAAAATATAATAATTTTTGGTTGCGTTTGGTTTTATTTTACATAGTTTTAAAAAAAAAATTATCCGGAATTGTTTCAAAATGAAATAAAAGTTTCCCTTTATGTTTTTGTTGTTTTGCGGGTCTACTATAATGTCGGTTTTGGATATATAAAATATATAACCAATTTTTTTTTTTTTTTTTGGGGAATCTAGTATTTATATAGTTTCGATTTTTTTCTGATATAAAACACAAAACCAATTAGACCGAATTTTGGTTTTCATTTTGTGTTCAGTTTGGTTTATCCGTATTGAATAAGTCTTGTGTCTTGCATGTGGAATCAGCAAATCAAGTAGCGCATGTGAATTGCGGAAATTGCAGGATGGTACTGATGTATCAGTACGGAGCAAGATGTGTAAAATGTGCCGTCTGTAGCTTCATCACATCTGTTGGGGTTAGTTCTCTTTATTTTGGTTTTCAAAATGACTCTCTTTTTTTTTTTTTTACGTTGGGATTTATGATGTGTTTTTTTATATAATGTTTTTGTTTGTTTGGTTGCTATGGTTTTGATAATGCTTGTTAGGGCTAAATGCTTGTAGGGTTCAACGAGCACGACCGATATGAAGTTTAACAGTTAAAAAAAATTGATGTGGGTCGTTTATGTATGAGTTGTGAGCAATATAGAGGAACAACCAAATCTTTCTCTCTCTCTTCAATCATCTTGTCGATCAAGAACCCGGCGGTGAGATGCTATGGGTTTGAAAATATTCTCCGAAGTAATTTAAATATGTAAGTCGTCGAAGTTGCTGACTGTGGTCGCATTGTCCGTTTGTATAGAGTTGTCTCTTTTCAATGTTTGTGTTTGGTTTTTATTTTGTTGGAGAAGTATGTGATTCACCAGTTTGTAAGAGTCGTTCAGTAATAAAAGCTAAACTTTTAGTACTGTTTTTATTTTTTTGAGGAAAAAAACTTTTAGTACGTACTTTTTATGTTTTAAACGATAACACAAAAGTAAATGCCATGTTACTGTATTCTTTGCAAGCAATATAAAAAAAGAAGTATCCTAGTACGATGGATATGTGATAAATAAGACAGAGACCAAAAAAAGTCTTGTCTCTTGATTTGACTAAAAATCTGAATAATTCCACGCTAATCTGTCTCTGGATAATTCAAGTATTTGGACTTCACGGGTTCGTCTATGAATGATCTTTTGGTTGGTCGAAGTGTCTTTCGAAAAGTCTTTTCGTTTCGTTTCTTTGGATCACTGCAAGTATAATGACATTCAAATTATTATATTCTTGGATAAGATTAACTTCATTTTCTTGTCTCCGTAGAAGAAGATCCATGTGACTTTGAGATAGATATCATCTCTTGAATGTTTTTTTCGTTCTTTCCCTTTGTAGTGCTCTCTTTGACTAGTCATATAATGTGTATTTAACCCTTTGCACAAAAAAAACCCCCATCGTTAGATATAAAGGTAAAAGAAAAATTCAAGAATTTCGGCAGCCAAATCTATCTATATGTACATCTCCTGTCACATCACTTACCAGAAGTTAATGCCTAAAATCTCTTATCGTATCAAATACTAACTTATCATGTCCAACTTTTGGTCCACAACACATCCAGTAGAACAAAATGTCAATAATGTGGCGCACCAAAGCGAGTTTCATGACAATTAGCAAAACGCAACAACATAACAAATTATTTGCTTGATTGGTAGTCTATACACTCATCATTTCTGTATAAATGCCTAAAATGTTATTTTTTTTACGAACTAAAAGAAAACAAAGATTGATGTTGTTATTAACTTAAAACAAAAAAAAAAAACAAAGTCAACTCTTGGAGTTTTCTAATATAATTTCGACTAATTTTTTTAAAAAAAACTGAAAACTACGGTAAAACTCTAAACCGACAATATTTCTTGGGAAAACAAAATTTCGAAACGCCAAGTAGAAAAGAGAAACAAAACGCAATAAATTGTTATCTTTGTTTAAGATAAATAAATAATGTAACGCTTGACAAAAAATACACAGAACGAACACATGCAAAAAAAAGAAGCAATTGTACCCCCAAATTACTCTCGGACGAAAACGTATCACACTCAAAAGTACATGGAAACGTCGAATAAGTCCATTGAAAATCTGACAGCTTTAAGCAACTGCCAAACTAAACCAGACCAGAAATTTCGGGTTTTTTTGCACACAGAAACTGAGACAGTAACGTATCATCATGAAAAGGGTTGGTGAGTGTTTTTTCAATCGTTTTTCAACTTGGTGTCGTTATTTCAAAAGAGGCCCAATCTAAGAAAATATCAAAGAGGTATATTCTATGCAAGGTTCTAGACTTCTAGTAAAATAAATTAATCTAGAATAAAGTTTGCTAGATAACAAAGGAACAAAGCATCATATACCAAAAAGCATAATCATATGCCCACACGCATTATTATTTCATATCAACTCTTATGGTCACAAGACCATTACGTTTCCCTCTCACAATGGACCACAAACATATGTAATTATGCATTCCACGTCCAAAACTGAAGCATAGTGTTTTTTACCACTACTTATAGAACAAAGGTTACAGTTTCACTAGAGGCTAGAGATTTGCAATAAAAGAGTTTGCTCGACTTTGGAGTTTATCTTTGTTAAAAGATTCTCATAAAATTGTTGAATTGTTGGCAAGTTTTAATCTTAATAATAATTAAGAAATGTACGAATATGCACCAAGAGATTCAGAACTAATAAGAAAGCAATACTTAAGTGGTCACTTCTAATATATACAGAAAGTTTGTGACTTCGCATTTTTGTTTCTACTCGTCTCCGATGGGGAGCTCAAGGGAGTAAACATCTCTTTCCTGCAGTGTAATTAACATCCATAAAACTGTTAAAAAGCCCCAATGCCTAATGCACATTATAGGCAAAGAATCAGTTAGTGAATTCTCTTTTAATCATGGTTATAATATTTAAGTTTTGATCTCTTTGAAAACATCAAATCCATAACTTATATCCCTAATGATAACAAAATCACCAAACTGTAGAAGGCCCAACGAAAGCCCATAAATGAATATCTATATATATAAATGCATGCACGTCGCTCAAAAAAAAGAAACATCCACCGCTCTCGCTTGCTTCCGCATAGATTCCGAAGAAGATAACTACATGTGAGGATGATACTTGTGATGGCGATGTAATTTCTTTCATTCTCGTATTGTTTTAGACACATTTAAGGAAATCGCTTATGCTGGTGTTTTAGTTGTTAGCATAGGTTTTAGGGTGACTTTGTTAATTGATCAAAGCAAGCAAGCTACACAAAACATTATGAAAATTGGTCCACCCCAAAACATTAAGCTACAGAATGAGAGCAATCCCATGAGAAAAGAACCACGTTTTAAGACAAAATATCGACTTAACTCACCCGAATTTTCCAAATCTAAATGCAATCATTTCTAGGGTTTGGTAATTTTTAGTTTACTAACTGATTCTTTGCCTATCATGTGTATTACGGTCACAGTGGCGACGTAATTTCTTTCTACCTTTTTTTGTGTCAACAGTTTCATTATTTTCTTATTGTTTCAGACAAATCGCCTCTGTTGTTTTTTTTTTTTTTTTTTAGTTTTTGGTATAGATTTTAGTTGGACTTTGTTAAATGATCAAAGCTTTATACACAAAAATCACTCAGAAGGTATCATCCATGATATCTTTTTAAAAAACATGATGTCTAATTATCCGATCCTGTTGCTTTTACTTGTTAGTTAGACTTTGTGATTCTTGTGTTTGGTTTTTCTAATTTATGTTTTATTAACTTATTTGTTTGACTAATGTGTCGAAGACCTAAATCGACAAAAGAAGCATCGCTCCACCGCTCGCTTCCACCGAAACTCCGACGAAATGCCTTTATCTGATTCAGATGATCGTTACCCTGGCCATGTAATTTATTTTTACCTTCTTCTTTTTGTTTTCTGAGAAATCGCTTATGTTGCTTGTTTTTAGTTGTTAATGTAGGTTTTAGTTGGACTTTGTTAATCGATCAAAACTTTCTACACTCAAACCACTTAAACCACTCAGAGGGAATCCTCCATGATACTGTATCTGTTTTGAAAACATGAATCTCAGATTCTGTTGTTTTTAGTTGTGTTTAGCTTGTGAGTTTTTAAACTAATGTTTTATCAACTTAATTTTTTTTGCCTAATGTGTGTTAGCGTTATGGTAAAGAGATTTCTGTGCATGATTCTTATTCCTCCCGTGTTATGATCGATCATTATGGGATGATGGGGCTTGAAGGTTACAATCATTTGAAGGTACAAACTTTATAGTCTCTTACATCTATTGGTGCTTTACAAATACCATTTTTGATTTCTTTTTTTTATTTGTTTATTTTTCTCTCAGGGTACAAAGTTTGAGTTTGATGGTGTAGAGAAGTTTCAGACTCGATCCTATGAAGTTGGATCTTACAAGATTTTCTTCAAAGCTCATATGGATCAGTCTCCACCAACAACTTTCTGTACATTGGTGGATCTAGGTGAAAAAAGTTGTGAGGAGCTGGATCTTGGATTCCCCATTGCCACACATAAAACTGTTATAAAAAAGACTAAAATGAATTTTACTCCATTTTGTATCTTAGTTTTATAATATTTAGTTTGATCTCTTTAGCAAAATCAAACACTAATGGTGAAAATCAAATACTAATACTTCACCATTAGTATTCTTAGTTGTTCGTTGGTTTGATTTAGAAGACTTGTAACAAGAAAATTGGAACCAAGGTTGTTTTTTGTTGGCTATGAGAACTTACAATTGGTCCACGAGCGAAGTATCTTCCGAATTGTAGCCAGTAGACCTGTTTGTTCCATAAGATAAAAGAATGGTGTAACTAGAACGAAATGAGAGAATATATATACATAGGCACTGTTGCAGCGGTTCTTGGATTTTTCATTAGAGTGGCTCCTTATAAAAAGTTACCTCGTCCTCGTCTTGTGTTTCTACTTCAAGGTCAGATGTAGGGAAACCCACACAAAGAAGTGCATACCCCTGCATTTATAAGCTACATTATTCAACTGCAAGATAAACTTGAACATCAAGATCTAAGTACCATCTTAAATACGTTACATATTATCTTAACGCTAACATTTAGATAAGTTTTTGACACTGTATGTTGTGAAGCGATGAGATTCAGTTAGGACAATGCAGCATTATTATTGAGCCATTGGTTAAAGCTTCGCATAGCTCTTGTTGTTTCATAAGAGTTGTTCCTAGTTTTTCACGGGACATCGACTATCATCATCACAAACTGTCTCTCTAGATCCAGCTTACTCTTTGTTTCTGGCCACATCGCAAACCTATGCCTCCCTAAAACACACGGTAAAGGGATATTACCTGGGCCTTGAGTTCTGCGGATATCCCCAATGCTTGTGGTTGCCTCAGCTCTCCAGATTTGACACGTACGGCGCAACTAGTACAGCAACCTGCCAACGTATGAAGCGACATCTACGATTGTTAAAACTCAAACCGTAGACGAGACACATAATTAAGTAGAGCGGCTTAGCCAAAAGCATACTATTAACATGTAAACACTATATTCTTTATGCATATGGCTCTAACACAACTCCATTAGTGACTGACTGGCTTATTTTAATCCTAATCATCCACACTACCTCTAAATCTTCATGTAGAGGACAAGGAAACATGTACACACACTTTACAATGTCTTAGCAAACAACTGAAACGGGGTTAAGAGAGCAGTACCATGCCTGCAAGCAAATGGAAGAGTAATGTTCTGAGCTTCAGCTGAGTGCAATATGTACTGATCCTGCATGTATCAACAACAGGAAAAGTATAGATTATGTCAACCACACTATACAATGTCGAGACATAAGCATAGTTTTTACAAAGCTACGAACAGATTCATAGTTGTTTATACCAAATAGAGCCACATTCAGAGGAATTCCTTCTCATTTTACTCAGCTTACGAATTTCGATATAACTTCAGCAGAATCTCGATTAGATTAACCAGATGAAAAATCTCTAATCATAACAAGGAATCCACCATCCAGATCCAACAAAAACAATCTCGACATTTCAAAGCGTACATTGCGTTTCTAATTACAATCGTTATAGAATAAGAGTAACCCAAGCTACGAGCAATCCCTAATTGCAGCTTCTAAGCTGATATAACCAAGTAACAATCAACATAATCTCGTTCCTCATGCTAAGGATTTGATGAATTGTGCCGAGAATCAGCAAACGGAGCAACATTTTCCGGGAAAAAATCAAAGATACATACGGATCAAAATCGAGGAAAAGCTCACCTCTGGGACTTCGAACTCGTGAACTACTCCTCGTTGTCGATCGTGTACAGTGACCTTGTGTGAAGGAACAGCCAACGATCCTCTATCTCCTGGACTGGAAATTTCTACAGGAATTCGGAACTCACACGTCGTAGCTACTCGACGAAAAATCTGAGAATGTCGGCGATTGATCGGGAAACTCGTAAGCTGAGAATCGGGAATCTTGTTAACATATATAAAAGAATCAGTTAGTGAATTCTCTTTGAATCATGGCTATAATATTAAGTTTTGATCGACAACATCAATCAAATCCATAACTTATATCTAAAGATGTCAATATGGTCCGCGGCCCGCGGGTTAGGCCCGTTTAGGTTTTCTACGGGCGGGTTCGGGTCGGCATTTTCAAACCCGAAAATTAGCGGGCCTCGCGGTCCAACCCGATTTCGGCTTGCGGTTTAGGCGGATATATCCGCGGCGGTCGGGCGGGTTTTCGGGTCACCGCAAAAAAAAAAAAAACTTCTCTTCCCAAATCCCAAACTTCCGAAATCCGAATGCACAACTTAGCAAATCATCCCGATGGACGATTTTCACTCCACGTTTCTCCGACGAAGATTGTTGTCAGCTTGATCTCATTGTAACTTTGAGTCGCTCTTTCTGTTTCTCTGATTTTCAATTTTTTTTTCTTCTTCACCCTAATTATTTCGATGTTCTTCAGCTTTCGAGGTGAGAAATGTTTCAAAGTTGACATCTTCCGAGTTCCGCATGCAGAGTTCCAACTTCCAAGTTGACATCTCTAGATGGATATCTGTTTTCTGCAGCACATCATCGTTTTGTTTCTACTTGGCGTCTTTGTTCTTCATTCAGTCCGCTAAGGAGCTCCATCCAACTTCCCGATTGACGATTTTCACTCCAGTTGACGGTATTCTCTTCGTCGATCGATCGACGGAGCTAAACCGACATCTCCACAGAAGACTCCTTCCTCGACGTTATCGATTCAGCCAGGAGTTGTATATGATTGACAAGGCGAAACCTTGTTTGCTTTCCGGAGGGATTCAGAGAGCTGATTTCTCCAATGGTAGCAACAGGTATGGTTCTGTTTCTCCGACATTCACAGTTTTGTCTTATGTAATTTTTGAATTTGTCTGATTTCTTCGATTTAGCTTGTATGTTTCTCAATTTCCTGTATATGGTCTTCACATTTCTGGTTTGAGTCCAATGTTTGGTCGCAAATTTTAAGGATTCATCATTTCTAGGGGATGAGATTTGAGAAAAATAAAAAATGTAGCTAAAGTTCATGACTTTAACACTATATCTTATTGTTGTGTTATGTAGTTTGAAATACGGGGATGAGATTTGAAAAAAAAAAACAAAAAAATAAAGCCAAAGTTTATGACTTTAAGAACAAAACTTATGTTCTTGTGTCTGTATTTTTGCTCTCTCTTGCACTTGTTTAATTTCTGGTTGCAAGGATGAGATTTTGATAATTTAGGTTGAAAAAGTGTATGACTTTAAGATGAAATCTTATGTGATTGCTGTGATTTTTGTCTTATGTGTTTGCATATTGCAGTTAAAGTAATGGATCTGAATCTCAACCCACTTTTGCGACAAGAACTGGCTAATCTGGACAGAGATACAAAGACACATTTTTTTGGCTTCAAAGTAACAAAGCTCAAAAAAAGTTAAACTCGCGGGCTGACCCGCATAACCGCCAATACCAAGCGGTGCGGGTTAGGGCCGAGCTTTTGGAGACCGCAGCCTGCAGCGGTCCGCTCCGCCTGATCCGCCGACAAAGTAAAACTGCGGCAGCTTGGTCCGTTTGGGTGCGGGTTGGCCCGTTTGACATCTCTACTTATATCCCTAATGATAACAAAATCACCAAACTGTAGAAGGCCCAACAAAAGCCCATAAATGAATATCTCTATATATGCATGTACGTCGCTCAAAAAAAGAAACATCCACCGCTCTCGCTTGCTTCCGCATAGATTCCGAAGAAGATGACTACGTGTTAGATTTCCAAAAAACATCTATAATCCGGTAATCCCGATTGAGACTCAATGTATATGAACAGGACTTTGTGATTCTTGTGTTTGGTTTTTTTAATTTATGTTTTATTAACTTATATTTGTTTCACTAATGTGTCTAAAACCTAAATCGATAAAAGAAGCATCGCTCCACCGCTCGCTTCCACCGAAATGCCTTTATCTGATTCAGATAATCGTTACCCTGGCCATGTAATTTATTTCTTCCTTCTTCTGTTGTTTTTAGTTGTTAGGTAGAATTTGTGATTGTTGTGTTTGCTTGTGAGTTTTTTAATTAACTATGTTTTATCAACTTTTTTTTTTTTTGCCTAATGTGTGTTAGCGTTATGGTAAAGAGATTTCTGTCCATGATTCTTATTACTCCCGTACTATGATCGATCATTATGGGATGATGGGGCTTGAAGGTTACAATCATTTGAAGGTACAAAATTTATAGTCTCTTACATCTATTGGTGCTTTACAAATACCATTTTTGATTTCTTTTTTTTATTTGTTTATTTGTTGTCTCAGGGTACAAAGTTTGAGTTTGATGGTGTAGAGAAGTTTCAGACACGATCGTATGAAGTTGGATCTTACAAGATATTCTTCAAAGCTCATATGGATCAGTCTCCACCAACAACTTTCTGTACATTGGTGGATCTAGGTGACAGAAGTTGTAAGGAGCTGGATCTTGGATTCCCCATTGCCACACAAATCAACGAGAATGGGGAGTTTGAGTTTATAAAATCAAATTTTGAAGAGTCTGATGAATATGACAGCGAAGATGAATATTTCCGCAAAATAGGATTGCCTGATTGGCCAACAGAGAGAGTCTTGAACGATAACGAGGTAAGATTTAGACACCCTCAATTTTGCTTTGCTCACAACTCATGATTGGCCGACTAGTAATTAATATATGTTTTTATTGCTTTTGCAGGTGCAGGCATCAGAATTTCAAGATCACAAGATTCGTCAGTATTTGGGAATGGTATATTGTGGTGACAACAAATATGCTACAAATGTAAGTTTTTTTGTTTTTGTTTCTCTTGTATAGCAATTACATAACGGTGTGAGTGACATTGTTGTTAAATAATATTTAACTACTGGTTTTTGTTTCCAAAACCAGAGACAACTCAATGACTTGAATATTGTGAAAGTTGCCGTAATGAGTGTACCATACCCGGAGTCCATGTGCAAATTCTTCTATATAACGTTTCAAGACGTGAACGGGAGGAACGGGGCGCGTTTCGAACGCAAAGCTATTGTCAGGAGATTCATCAACAACTCTACAGGGTACTTGACACTCACCGGTCGGTTTTTGAGTGCAGAAGAAGCTTCACGTAAGAAGCCATCTCCCAAGCTGAGTATCCGTGCGCGGAGCTGGCTTAAAGTGGCTGAATCCGATGTAAGTCTTTCATCTTCTTGATTCTGGTTTTGTGATTTTCTTGTTTTTGTGTTTATGTTGTTCCTTTTGACTAACTGATTCGCTGTTGATGTGTAGGGTTTTGATATTGAGGATGATTCAATATGTCACAGAACCATCAGGATGTCTTCCTACAGCAATCCAGAATGGTTTAAGGATGATTCTAAGGTCATCCTTTATGCTAAGGCGGGACTTCATCGTTACAATATACTCAAGGTAAAAAAAACATTATATTAAACGATAATTATCGACCGATACATATGTTGTTGTATGTCTAGGGGACCGATATATATTGGTTATTCCACATTCACTTTCTTTTCTTCATCTGTCTAGGGGACAAGGCTTGAGCTCTCTGCCGTAATGAAGTTCAACAAAACAATGAACTGTGTGTCCTCTTACTACATAACTCTGGTTGCACGAGATCTAGATGCAGCTGCCGGGTCAAAGGAAGAAACCTTTCAGGTTCGAGTAGATGAACAAAGTTTTGGTAAATTGGATATGACCGTCTCTGTTGCTAGGCGTAAAGATGAAATAGGTGACATTTTTTTGTTTTGTTTTTTTTTTTTAATTTGTACAAAGTCAAAAGGTTTATAAATCTCAATTTCTGATTGGTTAAGAATGTTTTGCATAGGGACCACCGAGAATAAGATTCCCTTCACTCCTCATTTTCATTGTGACGGAGTTCCGGATGGTTTCTACAAGGGTGAATTGCCTAAATGGCCATCAAATAATGCTTTGAAGAATCGAAAAAGATTTTACGTGGTAAAGATTAATTAATTAAGTAATCTGACACAGCATCATTACTTGGTTATGATGATCGTGATCAGTTAAATTTTTTTTTTTTTAGGTGAATGATTCAGAGATACAAGACAATGATTGGATTCGACTTTATCTTGAACTAGCAGTTTGTGTAGATAGTAATGGGCGGGCTACAAAGGTAGTTTTATTTTGCATATTAATGACGACATTCCATGGTCAGTAGCACTGTTTGGTTGGTAATAAGAATTTAACATGTTTGTTTGCATGCAGGCGGATCTGGCCAAGTTGCAGATTACAAAAGTGGCTATAGAAACTATCGAAGAAGTGGATCCGCCGAGTGAGAGACTCAAGGCCAAAAGTGCAAATTTCTACATAACGTACAAAGGCTGGTTCAACCGGCAGATTGAGGAGGGTGGCGAGATGGAACGCAAAGCTATCATTAGGAGAGTCCTCAATGAGGAGATAGGATACTTTACTCTCCTGGGTCGGGTTTCCATTGGAGAAAAAGCTTTGGCTACTACTACTAAGCAGAGTTCTAAAAAGCGACCTCGTTCATAAGTTACAACAATTTTTTGTAAGTTTATGGTTAAAATTTCGTAAGTTTTCACAAGTTTTCATCGGAATATCGTTTGCGTTCATCAAGAGATTTACGAATATGCACCACGAGATTCAGAACTAAGAAAGTAACATTCCACTAGTCGCTTCTCTAATACAGAAAGTTTGTGACTTTGCAATTTTTGTTACTACTCGTCTCCCATTGCGAGTTCAAGTGCGTAATCGTCTCTTTCCTGCAGTGTTAAGATCCATAAAACTGTTAAAAAGCCCCAAATGTCAAAAAAAAAAAAAAAAAAAAAAAAAAAAAAAAAAAACTCTTTGACAACATTCAAATCCATAACTAGTCCTAGTGATAACAAATCTCCTAAGTTTCTTAACAGATTATAGTGTACCTAATCTATCGATTTATCGACATACACTTTAGTCTGTTTTGGTTTGCATGTTATGTTTCGTTAGGAGTAACAAAAACCCCAAAGTTTCTCAATGGATTGCGATCTATCTAGGATATACTTCACTATTCGTATTCTTACTCGTTCCTTGGTTTGATTTGGAAGACTTGTAACAAGAAAACTAAATGGCCTGACCAATGATTTATACATATTGGCTCTGAGAACTTACAATTGGTCCACGAGCGAAGTATCTTCCAAACTGTAGCCAGTAGACCTGTTTGTTCCATAAGATAAAAGAATTGTGTAATTAGAACGAAATGAGAGAATCTATACAAGCATTGTTGCAACGGTTCTTGAATTTTTTCATTAGAGTGCTTCTTTATAAAAAGTTACCTCGTCCTCGTCTTGTGTTTCTACTTCAAGGTCAGATGTTGGGAAACCCACACAAAGAAGTGCATACCCCTGCATTTATAAGCTACATTATTCAACTGCAAGATAAACTTGAACATCAACATCTCTTAAGTACCATTCTCTAATTCTAAATTCACTTAGGAGAATGCAAAAGTCATTAATTGGTTAAAGCTTCGGACTGCTCTTTGTTGATTCAATAAGAGAGTTGGTCCTAGTTTTTTTCAACGGGACATGGACTATCATCATCACAAATTTTCTCTCTAGTTCCAGCTTACTCTTTGCAAAACCTATGCCTCCCTAAAACACAAGGTGAAAGGGATATTACCTGGGACTTGAGCTCTGCTGATATCCCCAATGCTTGTGGTTGCCTCAGCTCTCCAGATTTGACACGTACGGCGCAACTAGTACAGCAACCTGCCAACGTAAGAAGCGCTTAGCCAAAGCATACTATTAACATGTAAACACTATAGTCTTCATGCATATGGCTCAAACACAACTCCATTAGTGACTGGCTTATTTTAATCCTAATCATACACATTACCTCTAAACTTTCATATAGAAGACAAGGAAACGTATACATAATACACATTTTAGAAGGTCTTAGTAAACAACTGAAACGGGGTTAAGAGAACAGTACCATGCCTGCAAGCAAATGGAAGAGTAATGTTCTGAGCTTCAGCTGAGTGCAATATGTACTGATCCTGTACGTATCAACAAAAGGCAAAGTATAGATTATGTCAATCACACAATACAATGTCGAGACATGAGCTTAGTTTTACAAAACTGCCAATAGAGAGCCACATTCGGAGGAATTCGTTCTCATTTTCCTCAGCTTACGACTTTCAACATAGAAATGGAAGAAAGAAAGCATTTTGAACTTCAGCAGAATCTCGATTAGATTAACCAGATGAAAATTCTCTAATCATAACAAGGAATCCAGAAAATAACAATTCAATCTCGACATTTCAAAGCGTACATTGCGTTCCTAATTGCAATCGATCCCTAATTTCAGCTTCTAAGCTGATATAACCAAGTAACAATCAACATAATCTCGTTCCTCATGCTAAGGATTTGATGAATTGTGCCGAGAATCAGCAAACGCAGCAACACTTTCCCGCAAAAATCAAAGATACATACGGATCAAAATCGAGGAAAAGCTCACCTCTGGGACTTCGAACTCGTGAACCACTCCTCGTTGCCGATCGTGTACAGTGACCTTGTGCGAAGGAACAGCCAATGATCCTCTATCTCCTGGACTGGAAATTTCTACAGGAATCCGGTACTCACACGTCGTAACTCCTCGACGGAAAATCGGAGAATGTCGACGATTGATCGGAAAACTACGTCGCTGAAGCGAAGTACAGAATGTACAGGGTAAAACCAGAGCCATCTTTTTGAGGGGATTTTGATTTTCCCGGCTTTACGTCGAGAGGTTAAAGATAAGCGTTCTCTCTGACTCGGCGAAGATAAGCCTAAACCGGAAGAGATTTTTGGTATTGGTTTCAATTATCTCGGTTTACACTTGGATTGGATGATTTGTTAAACCCACGGTTCACACAGCCAATCTCGGCCGGTTGAAATTAATTTGATGTTTATTTTGATTGTTGTGTCTTTATGTGTTGTATTTAAATAAGGGAAATGTTAATCAACTTAAAACATCATTTTTAATTTCTAATTATTGTTTTTTTTCATCAATACTTTATAATTGTTGTTTTCAAAATATGAATGATCTAATTTTTAATCACACTCTAAATCATCACTTACTTCTAAAATCTAACGTTTATTTTAGACCTTTAGCTCAGGGGTTTTAATGTTTCACCGGGTTTTAACATCACAGAGCTGAAGAGAACCGGCTGAGAAAGGCTGAAAAGCAGAACTGGGATTCTCACGGAAAAAGCGATCCCGTCCCCTAAAAGTTTCTGAAATCTAAAACCCAAAAGTTACCGACTTTCATCATTTGTCTTCTCCAACGCCGCTCCAGCTGCATTGTTGAATGTAAATAGCTGACCTCTTACCTTACTCTTTTGATTACAACGCGTTAACTCTTATAAACCCTAATTTCGGGGGTTCTGTGAAGTCGCAGTGTTTACACATCCTCGAAATCGTCCGTCTTTAGTGCCCATGTTAGGATTACCTCCAATTTTATCGCAATTTCGAGGACCCATTTTTTGTTTGATTTTAAATTAGCTTTTGACTTTGATGGCCACGTGAATGGACTGTTCGATGTTGTATTTAAGATTTTTGGCTCTTCTTTCTGCATTTCGCTATCGATGTTGATTTGGTTTCTCGTAGCCGGCTATATTTACCATCGTCTTTCTTCATTTCAGCTTCTACTCTCCGAAGCTCATTTATCAGCCGATTCGCCTAAATGTCTATTGAAGATAGGCTGCGGAGCTGTAAGGTTGGTTCACTTTATTATCCTGAAATTGGGTTTCATATGATTGTTTTCTCACTTGGGATTATTCTGTTTTTGTATTTTGCAGACTGCTCAAGGTTTTAAAGACATAATCAAGCAGTTCCTGACCTCAGCTTCCGAGAGTGAAGCGCTCGAGATTCTTAATGCGTATGAGGCGAAAATAGCGGAAAACGTAAGATTGCATTTGTTATTCTCACAGTTGAAAGAACGACATAAAGGGTATTTTATATATATATATATGTACATCTAGAGAATCGAAGATGGGTACTAATCTTAGGAAAAGTTTAACTAATGATATATCTACAACATAAATGGTTTAACGATTAGACTTATTTATCATTTTCTTTGTAGGTGGACCTCTCTGAAGCCATCTGTGACCTTCCCCTCTTGTGCAAGAATCACCCTACATTGATATCTAACACAATAAGTGTTATTGTCAAATTTGTTACTACTAGTAAGTGTCAGCTGTTCTCTTTTAAAAGCCCTTTAATCTTTGATTTTCTAAGTGAGTTGATATCGACAATAAATGTTCAATTGTTCTTTTTTTTTAATCTTTGATCTACCTATTCTGTTTTCACCATCTGACTCTAAGTAATATGATCCAAATAGGCAAAGAGACACATAATACGTCGAACGAGGAGGCTACAATTCCGGTCGAGGCTTTTGTGTCATTATTTGAGCAGGATTATTCTGGTAAGTTAATTTCTTTTGCATTATTCTTCATGGTTTAATCTGATTTTATCTTAAACCGAATTGTTATTATTATTATTTTATCTTTAAGTTGATTTGTTAATATTTTGGTGTAGTGTCTTTAAACGAATTGTTCAAGCATGCTAAGCAGCCCTCTACTGACCCAACCGATGGTGCTAGAACGGTCTACGCCTTTATCATAGATGGGGTCAGGCTTTTCTAAAATTCACATGCTTTTATTTTTAGGTTTTCTGAAAGAAAAAAAAACCTTTCATTTTTTTTCAAATCAAATCATCAATTAAAAGTTGTGCAAATTATTAAACTTATAAAGTCAATAGAACATCTGTATATTTATGACAAAATTCAAAATGATTTTGTGCAGAAACATCAGCCAACTATTTTTTTTTATTTTTTTTTTTATTTTTTTTTCTTTTTTGCAAATTTAACCCTCAACTTAAAAAATATGCAAGTCAAATCTGCAAAGTCAAAGTTACCATTAAAGTCATGTGCATTTTGGATTTTAGGACGGATATTGACGGAAATAGGAAATTCGGGAATAAAATTATACTATCCAAAATATTCCTTTATGATAAAGGGATGAGAAATGACGGGAACCAGAAGGGAACGAGAAATTTGGTACTAAAAATTAGACACCAAAGTCTTACTAAATTGGGAATTGGGAAAGTTGAAGAGATTTCGGGAAGATATGGAAAAATACGGGAAATACTGAAAAGTTAAACAAAGTATTGATTATTTAAGTTTTTAATTTTAAATGGGTAATCCGAATATCTGTTTCTTTCCCATACCCATCTCAGATACTTGTATTACCCGTTTAAAATTATAAAGTTAAAGGTTACTAATTTTTCTTAACTTTTCCGTATATTTCCTGTATTTTCTCGAAATTTCTTGTACTTTCCATATTTTTTTCTGAAATCTCTTCAATTTTTCCGATTTAATAAGACTATGGATGTATAATTTTTAGTCCCCAAACTTTCTGTTTCCTTTCTGACATTTCCCGTCCCGTTATCATAAGGGAATATTTTGGGTAGTATAATTTGATTCCCGAATTTCCCGTTTCTGTCAATATCTGTCCCAGAACCCGAGATGCACATGATTTTAACAATGGCTTTTAACTTTACAGATTTGGTTTGCATATTTTTTAATGGTAAAACTTAAATTTGCAAAAAAAAATTAGTTGGCGTATTTTTTTTACACAAAATCATTTTAAATTTTGTCACGAATATACAGAGCTCTTATATCGTGGGGTTCTTTTGACTTCATATTTTTACACAGATTTAATTATATTAAAGGTCTGATTTGCAAAAAAAAATAGTTTGATGTTTTTTTTTTCACAAAACCCTTTACGTTTCCATCAAGTTATACCTATTTCCAGCTTTTCACTATGTAAATAATAAAGTAACTTATATTGGTTCTGGTAATGCAATTGAAATATTTTTACTCTGTTTATTTTGTTTTGTTGATCTTATCTTAATAGATTTTGTATTACTATATAGGTGCTCCCTCGAATAAAGAAATTGCCGCCGCTTGAAGAAAAAATTGAGCATCTTATAACCAGTTTAGTCAAAGAGGTTAGACCATAACTCGGTTTATTTCTCGTTGCTTGGTTTACTTTTTCTTAATCCTCACCTTTGATGCTTGTTTATTTTATGTTTTCAGATTCTTCCTTTCCTCGGTCGAACCAACTTCATTAATTGTATGGAGTTCTTGTTGACTTTGAGAGTTTTTGGAGAGGGCGCTACTAACATTAAAGCTCAAGAATTTGTAACAATTCTTGAACAGCATGCTCATATAGATATAGAAGGATCAAAGCCTGAAGTGAGTTTTTCAATTAAATGTTTACATGTGCAATGCTTGCATATATAATTTACTAAAAATGTCATTGTTGTTCTCCTTTGCTAGTTTACAGAAAATGAACACGTTAAAAGGTTCCTAGCATGCTTGGAATTGGCTCTTCCATTCTTTGCGGTATGAATCCTAATACCCCAATTATTTTTCAATTATTCTTTGTGTACTTGGGTATCATTAGAATCATTATTTCTTTGGTTACAGAGAGGTGTTGCAAGCTCAAAGTTTGTCAAATTCTTGACACTTCAACTCAAAACTGCTAAGGTACAGTATAGTTCCTTTACCTTATGCCGCTTGTCTATGCTCTTCTTCTTTTGATAAAATCTTCATATGTGAGTTTTGTTGGTCTCCGTTTTATAGAAGGATGAGGTGCTAAAACATGTGATTAAGTTAAAGCTGGATAAAGCTCTTGCTGAGATTTCCCCATACGTAAAAACAGAGGATATACAAGCGATGTTTCCCTTGATATCTACTGTATTATTGGAAACTCTTTATTCAAAAACAGCTACGGTACTCTTAATTAATCTCGTCTTGACATCTTTTTATAGAAAATTTATGGATATGTCAATAATTTATCATTGGCTTTCAGGGTAAGCCGCAGACTCAGGAAGAAACCAAATTACCAGCTGTGGAGTGTCTGATATATGTGCTTCTTACCTTTGCGCATAAGGTAATCTACTTTTTTTAGTTGCTTCTTTTTATCTTCCTTCTAACTTTTGTGTAACTGTTGAACATATAGGCTCCAGATATAGCAAGAACGTGTTGCGGGTATAAGACAATTGAGTCAGGTGATTTCGAGAATTCAGACACTTACCAGGATTTCTCTAAAAGGTATTGTAAATGAACTCTCTGTTATCTTTTGGTCTCTGTAATTACTGTGTTCATAATAACGGTTATTGCAGATTTACCCGTTTGAAGGATATAACCTCTAGAGCAATGAGGAAGCGTGCTGAAGAGATGGCTAAGAAAGACAAAGCCATTTGGCAGTGCGATTGCCGAAATGGGACATGCGGACACTTGGTGAGGACTGAGCCTGTTTTTATCTAAGAATTGTTTTTGAACATGTAGATGAGCCCTTGGGCCTACTTATCACTCTCGTCTTTTCTAGTTCCATCTTGTCTCTCTGCTTAACGTAACTTGTTACTTTTTACCTTTCAGATTCAAGCTCGACTGCGTATTAAAAATTTACTTAGAACCTACGTAAACATATTAGCCATGTTAAAGGTGAAAACCCTGTTTTCTTTCCTCTTTTCGTCCTTTTCTTTTTTTTTTCTTTCCAGATAGCCAAATTGAACTCTACTGTATATGTATTTTTCAGGTATTGGGTAAAGAAGCGCCATCCTTTATCGATACCAAAGATGTTAATCTCTCTTGGAAAAAAGCCAAATATGAAGCACCACCCTCACAAAGGTAAAAACAGATCATTTCTTTCTCTTTCTTCTTTCTGTTTAGAAAATGTGAATTATGTTACGAGATGTCAAATGAACTGGCCAGAGGACTTGGACATTAGTTTTCCATGTCCACTAACGGGCTTCGTGGGTTGATCCCTAGTGGATTCGCAGATTAAAAATCTAAACCCAAACAAACAGATACTACTCAAAAGGCCAAGGCCTAGTGTGGCAGTCGTCACCGATATTCGTTTCTTAAGAAAGATAGTTGTCTTTTTCTTAAAGCTCTACTAAAGTCATATACTGTATACCGTCTAACACCGTGTGTTTTGTGGTCCTAACAGCTAATCTTCTTGTCTTATTCTTGTTTTCGTAGTAATGACGAGGACGACCCCCAACCACCTCCCAGGGATACACTTGATAGTCTTTCCTTCCGTAGATTGCCTGACAAGTCAATATCTGATGAAGACGCTAAAATGCTAGCAGAATTAGATAAATTTCCTTACTCAACAGACCAACGAGTAGGTGGATTTTACTTGCATGATAGTGTTGGCGTGGGTTCTCTCTTTTGGGAGATAAAACAAGAGGTAACATTCCAATCCAGGGGCGGATTATTAAGATTTGATGACTTTTTCCTTACCAAAATCTAACTCTCTTTACCTAAATCTAACTCTCCCACCTATTTTTTTTCTTTAGGAACTAAGGAAATACGTGGCTCCTTCAACGTGGGGAGAAGCATTTGGTGAAATCAGAGATCAGCTATATCACATGATATGTTGGGCGTATGTCACGGCAGACTTGGTTAGCATCACTAGGGTGATCCACGAGTGGGAGAAGGAATTCATTCCCCTCTGCCCATGGTACCTGTATGCCTACTGCGCTCCACAGCTAATTCAAAAGGAGAAAGTTATGAAAAAAGGTTTGAATGTTGAATCAGAGGAAGCTGTTGACTCAGAGGAAGCTGTTGACTCAGAGGAAGTTATGAAAGAAGAGGAGAAAGGTTTAAAGGGTGAAAACATGTATCCTCCATGTGCATGCTATGGATATTCGCTTAGAGAAGCCTTGGACCACGTGAAGGAATATGGTATTCCTGAAGAAATTTGCAAGGTGTTTGATTGCTGTGATGTTAAACCCCCAACTGCAGATGAGCCTTGGCTAGAGGAACGGAAAATTAAAGGCGTTAGAAAGTTGGACTCATTTGACGAAGCCATGAGAATGGTTGCAAATCATCCAGTTGGAGCCGACCTTCTCTCCTACGACAACTTGTTTGACGTAGGAAAGTTAATTTATCGTGGGCCAGGAGGAGTTGACTACTCGGTTGGGAAATTTGATGAGTATCATTCAGTCATAATTAAGGAAATCAAGGAATTCAATGGAGAGGTTGTAGCAGAGTGTCGAATGAGCAACGGCACCAACGCCGCGGACAATTTGGGTTGAGAAGGCCCAACTGAAAGCCTATAAGGAATCCGCCGTGACGAAATTGAATGCATATATCGAGAGTTAAATCCATTTTGACCTCAGAGGAAAAAAAAAACCTAAATCGATAAAAAAGCATCGCTTCCACCGATCGCTCCACCGCTCGATTCCACTGCTCGCTTCCACCGGAATGCCTTTATCTGATTCAGATGATCGTTACCCTGGCCATGTAATTTATTTCTACCTTCTTCTTTTTGTTTTGTGAGAAATCGCTTGTGTTGCTTGTTTTTAGTTGTTAGTGTAGGTTTTAGTTGGACTTTGTTAATCGATCAAAGCGTTCTACAATCAGACCACTCAGAGGGAATCCTCCATGATACTGTATCTGTTTTAAAAACATGATTCTGAGATTCTGTTGTTTTTAGTTGCTAGGTAGACTTTGTGATTCTTGTGTTTAGCTTGTGAGTTTTTAAACTAATGTTTTATCAACTTTTTTTTTTTTTGCCTAATGTGTGTTAGCGTTATGGTAAAGAGATTTCTGTGCATGATTCTTATTCCTCCCGTGTTATGATCGATCATTATGGGATGATGGGGCTTGAAGGTTACAATCATTTGAAGGTACAAACTTTATAGTCTCTTACATCTATTGGTGCTTTACAAATACCATTTTTGATTTCTTTTTTTTATTTGTTTATTTGTTGTCTCAGGGTACAAAGTTTGAGTTTGATGGGGTAGAGAAGTTTCAGACACGATCGTATGAAGTTGGATCTTACAAGATATTCTTCAAAGCTCATATGGATCAGTCTCCACCAACAACTTTCTGTACATTGGTGGATCTAGGTGACAGAAGTTGTAAGGAGCTGGATCTTGGATTCCCCATTGCCACACAAATCAACGAGAATGGGGAGTTTGAGTTTATAAAATCAAATTTTGAAGAGTCTGATGAATATGACAGCGAAGATGAATATTTCCGCAAAATAGGATTGCCTGATTGGCCAACAGAGAGAGTGTTGAACGATAACGAGGTAAGATTTAGACACCCTCAGTTTTGCTTTTCCCACAAGTCATGATAGGTCGATTAGTAATATATGTTTTTATTGCTTTTGCAGGTGAAGGTATCAGAATTTCAAGATCACAAGATTCTTCTGTATTTGGGAATGGTATATTGTGGTTACAACCAATTTGCTACAAATGTAAGTTTTTTTTTTGTATATCAATTACATAACGGTGTGAGTGACATTGTTGTTAAATAATATTTAACTACTGGTTTTTGTTTCCAAAACCAGAGAATGCTCATGGACTTGAATATTGTGAAAGTTGCCGTAATGAGTGTACCCTACCCGGAGTCCATGTGCAAATTCTTCTACATAGTGTTTCAAGACGTGAACGGGAGGAACGGGGCGCGTTTCGAACGCAAAGCTATTGTCAGGAGTTTCATCAACAACTCTACAGGGTACTTGACACTCACCGGTCGGTTTTTGAGTGCAGAAGAAGCTTCACGTAAGAAGCCATCTCCCAAGCTGAGTATCCGTGCGCGGAGCTGGCTTAAAGTGGCTGAATCCGATGTAAGTCTTTCATCTTCTTGATTCTGGTTTTGTGATTTTCTTGTTTTTGTGTTTATGTTGTTCCTTTTGACTAACTGATTCGCTGTTGATGTGTAGGGTTTTGATATTGAGGATGACTCAATATGTCACAGAACCATCAGGATGTCTTCCAACAGCAATCCAGAATGGTTTAAGGATGATTCTAAGGTCATCCTTTATGCTAAGGCGGGACTTCATCGTTACAATATACTCAAGGTAAAAAAATAATTATATTAAACGATAATTATCGACCGAGACATATGTTGTTGTATATATATATTGGTTATTCCACATTCATTTTCCTTTCTTCATCTGTCTAGGGGACAAGGCTCGAGCTCTCTGCCGTGATGAAGTTCAACAAAACAATGAACTGTGTGTCCTCTTACTACATAACTCTGGTTGCACGAGATCTAGATGCAGCTGCCGGGTCAAAGGAGGAAACCTTTCAGGTTCGAGTGGATGAACAAAGTTTTGGAAAATTGGATATGACTGTCTCTGTTGCCAGGCGTAAAGACGAAACAGGTGCGTTCTTCGTTTTGATTTAAATTTTGTACAAAGTCAAAAGGTTTAGAAATCTCAATTTCTGATTGATTAAGAATGTTTTGCACAGGGACCAGCAAGAATAAGATGCCCTTCATTCCTCATTTTCATGCAGACGGAGTTCCGGATTCCTACAAGCGTGAATTGCCTAAATGGCCATCAAAATCTGCGTTGATGGATCGAGACAGATTTTACGTGGTAAAGATTAATTAACTAAGAAGACACATGCATCATATTTGTTTTGATGATCGTGATCAGTTAAGCATTTCTTGTTGTCTTAGGTGAATGAGTCAGAGATACAAGACAATGATTGGATTCGTCTTTATCTGGAACTAGCAGTTTGTGTAGATGGTTATGGGCGGACTACAAAGGTAGTTTTCTTTTATTTTTGTGTTTCTTTTGCATATCAATGACGACATTCCATGGTCTTTGTTAATAAGAATTAACATGTTGTTTGCATGCAGACTGATCTGGCCAAGTTGCAGATTACAGAAGTGGCAATAGAAGCTTTGGTAGAAGTGGATCCGCCGAGTGAGAGACTCAACGCCAAAAGTGCAAATTTCTACATAACGTACAAAGGCTGGTTCAAGCAGGAGAGTACTGAGGCTGGTGACATGGAAGGCAAAGCTACCATTAGGAAAGTCCTCAATGAGGATATAGGATACTTGACTCTCCTGGGTCGGGTTACTAAGCCGACTCTTTGTAAGAAGAGGAAGAGGAAGAAGGCTCAACAGGCTTGAGAGGAGATAGAAGGCGAGAAGAAAGAAGAAGGAAGCAAGAGGGGACACAATCTTTAGGTTGTTAGCATTGAGGTTTCTGGAGGTGAGAGACTCCTGTTTTTGTAAGGATCTGTTATGTTTGGAGTGTAATCGGAACAGAGTTCTAAAAAGTGACCTAGTTAAGGCGCCATGAGCGACCTCGTTAAGGGGCGAGTAGTTATGGATACGCTTCTACGCTTGTGCTTCTGTGTGGTTTTGTGTTTTCTTTTTTGAATACAATGAGTAGATTCATGAACGTTTTATGTCTGCAGTGATAGAGGAGAGCAATGATGTGTTTTTTCAGTAAACCTAGACGAAAGGAAGCTTTAAACTTTGCCACAGTTTTTTGCAGCTTATCTGGTGGTTTCAAAAAAAAAACTGTAGACGTTCGTTTAAGGGCGAAGAGAGATGAAAAATAAACTTTATCCATATATAGATTCAAATCCTGAGACGTAGCTTTGTTGCGCTCGTCAATTGTTGTTGTAATGCATTGTATGAGTTACATGGTGTTGAGAAGCATGTAAGAAAACTACTATGAACATCGACAACCAAGAGATTAAGATGATTCTAAGGTTGTTGTGTCGGCATATCCAGCTTCTTCAATACAGAAAGTTTGTGACTTTGCAATTTTTGCTTCTACTCGTCTCCCATGGCGAGTTCAAGGGCGTAATCATCTCTTTCCTGCAGTGCAACATCCCTGAAACTGTTAGATTCCCAATAGTAAATGGAATCAGTCTTAAATCATTTTGAATCTTGGTTACAGTACTAAGTCTCATCTCTTCGATGGCATCACTTCCTTGACTATTCCTAGTGATAACAAATCCCCAAGTTTCTCAACAGTCCTAGTGACAGAGCATCAGTGTAACAATATCAAGTCCATCTATCTATCCACTTATCAACATACACTTACGTCTGCTGGTTTCCATGTTATGTTTAGTTAGGAGTAACAAAATCCCTAAGCTTCTCAACGGATTGCAGCCTATCGATTTATCAAGATACCCTTGACCATTAGTATTGTTGCAGCGGTTCTTGGATTTTTTTGATTAGAGTAAAGTTACCTCGTCCTCGTCTTGTGTCTCTACTTCAAGGTCAGACGTAGGGAAACCCACACAAAGAAGTGCATACCCCTGCATTTATAAGCTACATTATTCTACTGCAAGATAAACTTGAACATCAACATCTCTTAAGTACCATTCTCTAACTCTAAATTCACTTAGGAGAATGCAAAGTCACTAATTGGTTAAAGGCTTAAAGCTTCGGATTGCTCTTTGTTGATTCCATAAGAGAGTTGAACCTAGTTTTTCTCGGGACATGGACTATCATCATCACAAACTGTCTCTCTAGTACCAGCTTACTCTTCCCTAAAACACAAGGTAAAAGGCATATTACCTGGGACTTGAGTTCTGCTGATATCCCCAACGCTTGTGGCTGCCTCAGGTCTCCAGATTTGACACGCACGGCGCAACTAGTACAGCAACCTGCCAACAGAAGAAGCATTGTAAAACTCAAACTGTAGACTAAGTTGAGCGCTTCTCCAAAGCATAACACTAACAGGTAAATCTCACAGGAACATTTAGACTATATTCTTCATGCATATGACTCTTAGCATAACTCCATCAGTGGCTAGTTTATCCTAATCCGAATCATCTACATCACCTTTACAATTTCAAAGAAGAAGGGGATGCATGTAGAGGACAAGGAAACATATACACAGTTAGAGGAGGTCTTAGTAAACATGTTAGGACGTTTAACCGTTACGTGAGGCAAAGGAAGAAAGGAAAGACTCAAGTTTCAGAGCTGGAACGAGCTGATGACGTGGAGGAATCAGAGAACTCGTAGTCTTTAAATATAAATAGTTATTGTTGCTTTTACTTTCTTTTATCCAGAAAATTGATTACAGAGAGTTAGTTACAGATGGTTCTTGAGAGTTGAGTGATTTGTTGGGCTTGTTCATCAAATCAAAGAGAGAATCGATTGAATGGCGGAGAGATACCGTCTTTGATCGATATTGTACTTTGTTGAGAGTAATATACATTCATTATCTTAACAAAACAACTGAAACGGGTCAGGAGAACAGTACCATGCCTGCAAGCAAATGAATGGAAGAGTAGATTCAGCTGAGTGCAATGTGTACTGATCTGATCCTGCATGTATCGACAAAAGGAAAATTATAGATTATGTCAATCACACTATACATTGTCGAGACGTAAGAGTATTTACACCAACCAAGAGAGCCACACGCAGAGCAATTCAACTGAGCAAATGAATCTAGATTAGAAGAGCCAGATGAAACATATCTAATCATGACAAGGAATGCAGTACCTAGAGCCAGAACATACTCGAAATCAACATCCCAAAGCATACATCGCGTTCCGTATTTACAGTCATCGTAGAGCACCGCGCAAAATCAAACGCAAAAAAATTCCAAATACAGAAGGAACCCAATCTATTAGCAATTTCTAATTGCAGAAGATGCAACGAAGGTAATGCTAGGGATTTGATGAATTGTGTCCCGAATCAGCAAAGAGCATCAACATTTTCCGGGATCAAATCAAAGATACGCATACGGATCAAAATCTGGGAAAAATTCACCTCTGGAACTTCACACTCGTGAGTCGTGAACGACTCCTCGTTGCCGATCGTGCACAGTGACCTTGTGCGAAGGAACAGCCAACGATCCTCCATCTGCCGGGCTCGAAATTTCTACAGGAATTCGGAACTCGCACGTCGTAGCTCCTCGACGGAAACTCGGAGAACGTCGCCGATCGATCGGGAAAATCCGCCGCTGGAGCTGAAGCGAACCGCAAAATGTACAGGGTCAAAGTCACCACTCACCAGCGCCATCTGTTTTTGGGGATTTTGATTTTCCCGGCTTTACGTCGAAAGGTTGAAAGCTAACAGTGTGTTCTCTCTCTCTCACTAGGCCAAGAAGATGAGCCTAAACCGGAAGCGATTTTAGGCTCTTGGTTTCAGTTATCTCGGTTTACGCTTGGATGATTTGTTAAACCAACGTTCGCAGCCAATTTCGGCCGGCCGGTTGGAATTAAACGGTAAGAACTAAGAAGAACTGGATAAAATCCGGTAGAGGCGCCGATTGTAATGGATATCAATCTGTAAGCCAACGAAGCATCTATACGTGGCAGCTAAACGGAAGGCTAGGAATTTAGCCAGGAAACGTGGCGACATTAGTAGCACGTGGCACTAATATGACCGGTTTGGCTCGACGAAGCCTATTCATACATTTTATTTAAATCCAACATAACTATACTAGTAACGAAACAGAAAATAATCTAAACGCCACAAAAATGCAATCGGCGAAACAGAAGATAAGTGATATGGCTAGTGCAGCCAAGGAGAAGATGGTTATATGTCAAGCAAAAGCTGATGAGAAGGTTCTAATCAACTTGTAATCATCATTAATTTAATCATATAACCGTCTAATATGCAGGAAAAATATGATTAATTTAGGCAGAGAAGGCGATGGCACGGACGAAAGAGGAGAAAGAGATAGCGCACGAGCGGAGAAAGGCAAAGGAAGCGGAGGCTAAGAGGGATCTGCACGTGGCTAAAGCGGCTCATGCAGAAGATAAGCTTATGGCTAAGCAATCTCACTACCACGTCTCTCATGGTCACATGCCTCACCACGCGCCTATGCCAGCTCCAGCACCGGTCATGGGACATGGTTACGGGCGTAATCCTCCTCCCGGAGTTGCCTATGTGCCTCCGGCGGCTTATCCACCGGCTTATCCTCCGACCACGACCACGACAGGACATCATCATCACCCTTATGGAAACGTTTAATTGAATAAGTAATTGGGTTTTTATTGACAAACGTTTTAGATTATCCACACAGAATTTTGTAATTACACATCGGTTTATGACGTTACTAAATTATTTGGGTTTTGTCTGCTGTCATTAATTATTTTCTACTTAAAATCTGGTTTTACTTACTTAAGATTCAGAAATACGTATATAGAAATATAAAATAATAATGGTATGTTTTTGTATATTTTATTATGTTATATTTCTATGTACTTTGCAATAATCAAAGTTTTCATTCTCAAATATAGAAAAATTCTTATGATCTTCACGCTTTGATTATTGCATATGCAAAAGAAATGAAAACTATATACTAATTGATTGAGCATGAGTCGTGAACAATACAAAACACTGGTGTCTAAATCTTACCTTCTTTTCATTCAAAACTCTCAATGAGATCATGATTCATGTCAGACAATCTAACTTTAGATAAATATTTTTCACTCTCAATAGATACCTCAGAAATTTCACTGAACACGACTTCTTTCCTGTAGAGTTTCTGAAAATTGTTGGTAGACATTGATCCATATGAACTTTAAAAATGATCTTGTAAGGTCTAACTACACATCATATAACCATTTGAATTTCTTTACACCATCAAACGCAAACTTTGTCTCTTGATATAAAAATGGAAAAAAATGATATTTGTAAAGCACCAACGAATGGAAGAGGGGACTATAAAGTTTGTACATTCACATAATTGTAACATTCAAGTCTCATTATAGCATAATACTTGATCATGGTACGAAAATGATAAGAATCATGGACAAAATCTTTTCACCATAATCCTAAGACACATTAGGCAAAAAATAAAATTGATTTTGAAAATTTTCTACATCATCAGACTGGAATTTTGTCTTCTGAAATAATTTTTAAAAAAAAAATGCAGTATTGGTGAAGCACAAAAGTAACGAGGAGACTATAAAAGTATAAAGTTTGTATCTTTAAAAAATTGTAACATATCTTGAAAAATGCACGAGAAAAACGCTTTCAAATTTTTTGTATAGAATATCTGAAAGAATTAAACCAACACTGTTGATAGGATGAATATATGTGAATAAAAATTTAAGGATGATTCTGATCACTTTTCATGTCAAATATTTAGTAATATCTTAACATTAAAACAAAACAAAAATATTTAGTAATATATTTAACAATGATTTTTTGGCAGCTCTCGCTTTTAACATCACATTGAAAAATTAAGCCAATGATTGTGAAAACCGTTGTTCTTTATCATGTTTAAAAATTATTTTGTTTCAAGATCAATCTCCAATGTTTTACACTATGACTATGTGTTTACATTATTTTCAAAACTCAAAAGAATCGAGCAAATGATTTTCAAAACTGATGTGACTATGATGTTTTACAGTTTTTTTGTTCCAAGATCAATCTCTAATGTTTTACATTATCATTATCACTAGGTGTTTACATTATTTTCAAAACTCATATGTTTGTGAAACTCTTCACACTTTCATGTTAATGAAGGAAATATGGTACTGGGCTTCCTTTTGACCCACTTCAAAAAAACCATTGTAATATGAGAAAAAGCCCAATACTATTTATCCTCTCATGTTAATAATAATAATCTAATACAGTTCGAATAGATTTACCCTTTTCTCTTCTGCTCATTTCTGAAACTCGCACTGAGCTTTAATGGCGAAAACCCTAGCCCGTTCCACCGCTTCACGCGTCTCCAAACGCTTCTTCTCCACCACCGGAGCCACCGCTCCTTCCCCTTCTTACATCCTTTCCCGTCGATCTTCCCCGGCGCTATCGCATGCCGTCGGATTATTCTCCTCCTTGAATCGATTCACAACGATTCGGACTCGGATGAACAGGTCCGGTAACTCGTACTCGCCGCTCAAATCCGGGTCGAATTTCAGCGACCGACCTCCGACTGAGATGGCGCCGCTGTTTCCTGGCTGCGACTATGAGCATTGGCTTATCATCATCGACAAACCCGGAGGCGAAAACGCGACCAGGCAGCAAATGATCGATTGCTATGTTCAAACTCTAGCCAAAATCCTCGGCAGGTTAGATTTTGGATCGCCCATAGCATTTTGAAATTCCTGTTTGCCATGTTCATGATAGTTAGTGATTATAAAGTGAAGAAGAAGCATTTTTAGTTATGGTTATTAGAGCTTACATATCCATGACCATTACTCTGTTCGTTGTGTTTATTCAGTGAGGAAGAAGCTAAGAGGAAGATATACAATGTATCGTGCGAGAGGTACTTTGGATTTGGCTGTGAGATCGATGAGGAGACATCAAACAAACTCGACGGTATGTGTATATCTGCTGATAAAACACATGTCACCGATGGATGGTCGTGTAATTAGCGATGTAATTGAATGGTTGTTGATTCTTGTGTGTGTGTTTTTTTCAGGAGTTCCTGGTGTTCTCTTTATTCTACCAGACGCTTGGGTTGATCAAGAATACAAAGATTACGGAGGTTAGTTGTTGTTAACACTGTTGTTGGTATTTGTTTAAACACAAGCTGTGTTTCGTTTCAGTGATTTTCGCAGTTATCTGTTTGTTCTGTCCTGTTTTCTGTTCTCAGTTAAGCATCAAAATCTGGTTATGTTAGTGTTAACACTGTTGAAGAGGATTATTTTGATTTCCAGCCTTAAAATGTTTCAGTCTCGTTTGTTATATACATGAAGCTTGAGTGTTAGTGTCTCTGTATGAAGTTTTGGTTTGGTTTAACTTGTTAAGCTTATTTCGTAATGAAACTCTTTTTGGTGGCTAATAATACGTATTTGCAGGTGAGCTGTTTGTGAATGGAGAAGTAGTCCAACGACCACCGGAGAGACAGAGAAGGATCACGGAGCTAACGACGCAGAGAACCTCTGATAAACCAAAGTACCACGACCGGACCAGATATGTCCGAAGGAGAGAGAACAACATGAATTGAATTCAAAGAGCTCTCCTGCCTCGTCTAATGTCTTTGTAGCCTTATCTTATTAGAACTACTACTTATGCATATACACATATTTGGGCCGTTCGACGATGTTTCGGTTTAAATTGTAACAGAATTATTTAATTTAAATTACGTTTGGTTTAACCATATCCCAATCCGCCTCACATTGCCTATACATTACACATTGGCCCGTTTGGCATCCTTGTTCGGATGTCAGGCTTGTGCGGCCCGAGCTAATCGAAGTAGGGTCAAACCGGTTATTTCCAAGTATTTAGTTGAACCGTGTTGACAAAACCGACAGTTAACCGGTTTTCTTATCCTACCTAGCCTATAATAACTCAACAAACTCTTCTTTAGGGTTGTACGCCGTACACCGTCTACATTGTCACTCACGAAACAGAGTTTTTTTTGGATCAGTCGAGAATCGATCCATTGCGATTACAGTGATTCCTTCATCGACAAAGGTGTATCCTGCTTCCTCGACTAGCCTTTTTTAAGGTCTCTGTTTCTTTTCTGGTGCCACTGATTACCGATTGGTTTTGTTAATCGGATTTTAACTCTGTTTGAGTTTAGCGATGGTCTTCTTACAATTGTTGATTTTTTGAATTCCATGGATAAAATTATGATGTTTTGAATATGTATCTGCAGGTGGAAATGATGAGAATTTCATCTGGTCTCTGATCGGATCTGAGGGTTATTTGGATCCGGTTTCGATTGGACAAGAAGTATGATCTTTTCAGTATGTTGATGCAGATGTTCTCTACTCTCTCTCTCTTGCATAATCTTGTCTTGGGAAGATTGTTTATGAGAGTATTATAAGTCACTACATTTGGTAAAACAAGTGTTTGCTTCCCAAACGAAGTGACTTATAATATTCTCATGAATGGATTTTGCAAGTCTTCAAAGAGAGAGTAGAGGGTCAGATGAATCAAACTAAGTATACTATTATCTTTTCTGTGTTTTGTAACTCATAAATTTTCAGCTTTATGAATCAAACTCCAAAGTCTTCTATGAGGGATTAGAGAAAGGGAAGGGTAATGACAAAACAAATCCCATGCTTCTTCCACCTTATTAGCCTTGAACATGAAGGCTTGTAAAATGGAAGAGGCTTGGGATTTATTTTGTACTCTCCTCTTTCTTAAGAGTGTTGCCTAACGTTACAACAATGATTTTCAGGTCTTGTTCAAGAGGAACATATGCTTCTGAAGCTTGAAAGATTGGCTTCTCCCAGCTACCATTTTTATTCACTTTTCATTTGTATGCCAGAAACTTTCTTTCAAGTGGGTTTCATATAGGAAAAGAAACTATAACTTCATGTATCAGTGGAACAAGGTTGTTTTCAAAGGCTTTCAAGAAATCTGACTGTATGATTGCTTCTCTAATTCTAATGTATTGATTTCTTTGGAAAATAAGAGTACAAGAGAACCACCATCATATAAGCATCAACTTCTAACTGTCGAATAAGCTCAACTCTTGCTGTACCATATTGAAACTCTTTTGACCTGTTAGTCTGTTACTGTCTTACTGATCAATATTGAAACTCTTGCTGTACCATATTACTGATCTTTGTAAGCAAGGACCTAAACATTAAGAAATATTTTCATCTCAATGGATATCTCACATTAAAAAAATATATAAAAAACTTGTAGCACAAAGAAAAAGAAAAAACATTCTTAATACAAAATCATAAGAATCAGTTCATAATCCATGAGAACTTTTCAAATGAGATACCGTCTAAAGTATTTTTGCAATAATAAAAATTAGTTAAAATTAATAAACAATACTAAAATTAGTATATTTTACTTAATACAATAATGTTTAATATTTATAAAATTGTAAAAATCATGTATAAATATGTAAAACATCTGTTCAATTAGACCACAATTAGTAAACTATACTGAAAATATTGATATTTTGTCAGTGAGAAACTTATTAAATATCTCACCATTGGATCACAAAAAATATGATGAGATTCTCAAATAAAAATATTATATTCGTGAGATAGTGGGTAATTCAGCAACAGATCTGTTCTTATATTTTATAAGTGGACTTTGCAAGTCTAAGAAAAACCTTCAAAAGTGGTAAATTTCTCGAGAAAAATTTAGATATATTTGCTTGGCACTTGATTTTCTTCTACGTTTGTTGATAAAGTTTTATGATGGTTTTGTATAATTAATGACTCCTCAACTACTTCTTGTCAGCCCCTTTTCAAAAAGATTAACAAAAGATTGGTAATACTTATGTTTTGTCTGAATCTCGAGGTAGATAGATTTTTGAGATGATACAGAGGATTGGCCCATACCCTTGTGGAACCAGCAGACATGCATGCAATCACAACACTTACCTTCTCTGAAGTTTCTCTTTCAACTCTGCTTCTCTCTTTATCTCTCTCTTTATATCTCTCTTTTTCCACCATGCATGTGTTTCACACCTCTATAAATACTAAAAACAGAGAAGAAGCCCTCCACATCTTTTACAATGGAACACATCTACCAATTCCAACACTGGCTCTTCTTCATTGGTCTTGGAATGTTCCTGTCTCTTGCTCTGTGTAAGTTTAATTTCTTTTATCTGTCATATTCCTCTTCTCTCTATTCTTCTTCTTCTTATTCTTACCATAAACCAATTCCAAATTTGAATGTTGCAGCTGTGAAGGGCAATGACATGGAAGGTTCCAATTTCGAAAACCGCACCACACTTCCCAGAAAGCTTCTGCTCTCTCCTGGTATTCATAGACATTGTTTGGCTTCACATATTCATTATGATCATTGATCAAACTCTGGTTTTATGTTAAGAACACTAAAGAACATTTCTGATAGTTTTCATCACATCTCCGCTTACATATTCACTAAGAAACCTACACAGTTTCAGACATTGGCGATGGGACAAACAGGATCGGACAAGACTGCTCAAAAGAAGATATTGTGGTCGTTCAAGACACAACGGTTCCACTTCCAAGCGGAGTTCCTGCTTTTACAGTTCAGATCGTTAACGCATGTACCTCAGACTGCAGCATCGCAGAGATCCACGTGAACTGTGGCTGGTTCAGCTCGGTCAGACTGGTTAACCCTAGAGTTTTCAGGCGACTCGACTACAACGATTGTCTGGTCAACGACGGTCAACCTCTTGCTCCTGGACAGACACTCTCCTTTCAGTATGCTAATACCTTCTCTTACCCTCTCTCTGTTTCTTCAGTCTATTGTTTCTGATTTTAGTATTAAATTGACAAATTTGGTATTTTCCACAAGTTTGTATTCAGATCTTAGCAAGTGAGAAAATTGTTGGAATTGTCTTTAAACCAATGTCTTGGTTAATTTCTTGTAAGCCAAATTCCGGTTTTGTTTACAACCGGTTTAATAACAAACACATGAAGAAAGAGAGATCAGATTCCATATTTTCCAGTGTTTTTCTAGTGTTACTGATGAATTGTGTACAAAATTACTTAGAGGAGATGAAAAAAAGAATTCTATTAATTTACTGACGAGTCAAACAAAACTGAAAACTTCAAAATAAAGCTTACAACATCTCTAGCTCTTAACCTCTTTTATTCAAACAACCTCCGTTCTTGTTTTAATGGATATGGAAACATCCGAAGATGGAGGAAGAAAACTGATAATGGTGATAGCAACCAAGAACATGCATGAAATGTAGGAAGAGCTAGAAAAGTTCTAGATCCGGATAGAAAACTCCAACTTGATTCATAGACGAAAATGTGAAGTTTGGAGTCAGTGGTTGAGGATACTCCAATGAGTTAGCACCGTCCATTTGTTGAGGCAAGCCATCGTCAAACCAAGTAGAGGTCAAAGTAGTAGTGTTCATGACCGGTTCAAGATCATTGGAACATGTCATGAGTTGTTTTGGAACCTGAGGTTGAGATTCATACTCATAAAATGGTTGTTGGGATTGATCACCATTATAAGATTCTGATGAGTCGTCAAGTAAGCTTTGAAGACAACGCATATACAATGACACATGAGGATCATCTTGAACCGTTGTGGCATTGGTAGGAGCCGATGAGGTTTGTTTTATTGGCTCTGGTCTTGTCTTCTGACGCTTTGGAGAGTTTTGAGATAAACGCTCACATGATTGGTGATAATTACTCGTTACTTGTTGAACAAAGCTTTTGAAGTCGTTCTTGTTTATGATGTACACTTGCGGTTGCGGTTGCTGTGGCTGAGGTATGGCGTTTGCGTTACCGTTTATCGGGTGGAATATGCTCCTTTGAATGTTCTTGCGAGTCGTATTTACTCTCGAGTAATCATCATTTCGTGATCGTTGATCCATCTTTTAACAACAATAGAGTGTCACTTATCAATAGCTTCAAGAGGTGATAGAATGTCAAGCTTATTTGAAAGAAGAAGTTTACACACACATTTCAAAAGATATCTAGAATAATATTCCTTTATCCCATCGTGATTGTTATTAACTTCCTGATTTTATACCACTTTAGTTCTTGATCTTTTCCTATAATAAGATGCATTCAACTTTAACAGAAAAGATGTTTTCCTCATTTTATTTTTCTGGTTTTTCTTTATGTTTCCTGAAAAAGTAGAAGATATGTATCTTAAATGTTACTATTTATGTATATCTTCCTATTTTCTATTTTTTTTCTTTTTGATTGAAATATATTTTGATGTAATATTGGATTATTTGTACTACAGGTTGCATAAAATGAATTATTATTGGATACTTTGTTGGAACTTGTAGAGATTGGATATGTAACTTAATACAAAGAGGCAATATAAGGGCTACAAAAGACCAAAACATCATCAAGAACAGCCTTACTTTCATCTCCAAAGATAGAATCTTTCCCATCTTTCCTCTTAGCATATGACAAGCCCAATCTTGATTTAGCCATCCTCAAATCACCAATCCCCGAGTTCGTATCCGGACCCGCGAACCCGCCCATCACTGGAGCTAAAGGCGGTCCAATAAGAAGCCCGTCAGCTCCAAACTGAGGCCCTCCTCGTGCATAATCAAACAGAGCCGCTCCACTTCCTCCAACCTTAGAAAGAACTACTGGTTCATCGCTATCGTCGAGCCAATAAAAGAGGAAAGCGTCGAATGTCTCGTAGTAATCATCGGTGCTTCTATAGCCCTCTGGACTAAACCCACCAAACTTGAAAGACTTTTCTTTGGTGTAAGCTATGATAACACATGGACCTTTGAAATCACAACGTTCGTGGAACTTTGTTGCACTAAACCCATCAATGCTTGCCTTGTAGCAGCATTTTAGTTCTCTTCCTAAACCAAAATGTCAAAGAGTTTTGAAAATTTTCAGATCAGTCACACACTCACACTCACAATTCTTCATTAACGATATAAAACTCAAAATCTTGAAAGCCAAATTATCTCAAAAGAAAATTTATAAAATGAGATGAAGAAGGCATTATATTTATATATACCTTTTAGGAAAGTTTTGTTTACCAACGTAAGAGAGAAAGGAATTTTGACGTCGTCGTGGTAGGCCGGTGGCTCCGGCGGTCGGAGATTGTCTACTTTCTTGTTGGAGTTCCAACCGAATAGACCGTTGTACGGACTTATTCTCTTCGATGTCTTGAAGGTTACAGTGTGAATTGTGTTTGAGATGGCACAGGAAGCCATCTTCTTGCAAATAACGGCCACACAACAGAATCCACAAGAAAACTAAGGTAAAGACATTAATAATTGAGGTTTTCAAGAACTTGTGTGGTTGTCATCGTTTTGCTTACAAGTGTCCAATTTGGTTGACCCGAACTAAACCAAGACCGAATGGAAATAATCGATCCAAAACCAATTCGTTTCTTTATTTTGTTTATATGCATAAGCAAACCATTACCTAAAATAAAATAATCCAATTACAATTTTTTTATTAAAAAAAAAAAATCATTTTGGTAATTAAGAAATTTCTTAAGAAATTTTAAAGAAAATAAACTTTTTATATTTCAATTTTTTTTAGTCAACCAAACTTCGTGAAATAAACCTCAAAACGGTTCGTCTCCAAACCGAATAAAATTTAAATTTTTTTTTAAATTCAGTTTATATCGCCCAAAACAAAACAAACGATCAAGACAAAATCAAAAACTAAATCAATCATTATCCCTTAAATAATGGAGATATACATATGATAAACGTAATAAATAAATCTTGGAGAATAAGCAGTTATGATCTGTATATATATGAGCTTTTACCCTAAATTCATTAAGGACGTAAACCCTAATAGATCATAAGAACACAATGACGAAGTCTACGATTTGCACTCCCCAGACGTCGTTTTCGTCGTTACCAAACGACGTGGTTCCTAACATTTTAGCTCGTATCTCAAGAACCCATCGTCCAACTTTATCTCTTGTCTCCACCCTTTTCCGATCACTCATCCTCTCCCTTGAGCTAGACGACACAAGCTCCCGCATCGAGAAAGCCAAGAATCGCCTCTATGTCTGCGTAAACATAAACCACAACCCTAACCCTCGCTGGTTCATACTTTCCCCAATCCCCAAACCCATCCCTACTTTTCCCTTTGAACATCCCAAATGTGCAACCATTCTTTCGTTTGGTTCAGAGATCTACGTAATCGGAGGCTTCTTAAAGGGAAACAGAAGCAGGCAAGTGCTAGTCCTCGACTGTCAAAATCATCAATGGCGTAGGCTACAAGAAATGCGTGTACCTCGAGTTAATCCAGCCGCTGATGTAATTGACGGTAAGATCTATGTGATTGGAGGCTCCACGTCCATCAAAAGTGAGGATTGGGGAGAGGTTTATGACCCGAAGACGCAAACTTGGGAGACTTTGTTATCCACTACACTAGATCTCACCATTCAAAAGAGTTTGGTTCCAGGTAGCTTTGTAATGGGTGGAAAAGTTTATGCCATGGATCACTTAAACTTGTATTATCAGAAAAGTATTTGCTTGGTGGAGACAGAGGATAAAGAGTTGTGCCAAACTTGTGTTTTCGAGGGGGATCTAATGTGGCGTGATATGAAGGAAAGTTTGGAGTGGAAAAAGGTTAAAGGACTTGAATTCCTAAACAATCATGATTTCACTTTTGTGGAAAACTCCGGCGGAGGAAGAAGAGTGACAGTGTGGTGGAAGTCGGTGGTGTTTGGTCACAAATGTAATAAGGAGATTTGGTGTGCAGGGGTTTCGTTTGAGAGACGAAATTTATACGAGCTTTGGGGATTCGTTAAATGGCGTAAGAAAGTGTTTAGCTTCGACGGTTGGGAATCTCGTTACGATTTCTTTTTGCATTCTGCTTTTGTCACACAACATTGATCCATTGATTTATTTCTTTCTTTTTTTATAGAGGATTTTTTTTAGAATACTTTAGTACTTGTTATGTTAGTAATTGATCTAGTGTTGTTGCCTCTATAAATTGCACGTAGATACCATTCTCCTAATCGGTTATATTTTTCACAATGTGTCCTTCACATCATTGATAGTGCTGACTTGAACTCTCGCGTGGAATGTTCTCAAACTTAGATCTAACAAAGGGAGAGGTTTAGGAATTATGACCCAAAGACCCAAACTTGGGAGCCATAAGCCATTATTGCCCACAACTCTAGACCTGACCATTCGAAAGAGTGCATGTGAATCCATAATGGGTGGAAAGTTTTATGGCATGAAGGGCTTGAAGTTTATGTACGGATATTTTCTTGGCAAAAGAGTGCATGTGTTTCCATTAACTTGCTTGATACGGCAGGTTAAAATGTCCTTCTTTACAAACCTTTCAGACCTCAACTATATCATTGCTTTCTCAACGTCTTAACAACAAAACCATAATCCTAACTCACATAGAAATAATTGAAAGGAAATAAATAAAATCCGTCATGCAATAGCTTCTTTATTCTTCACGTGGTTTTAGTTGACTTCTTTGTTCTTCTCTTGTTATTACTATTAGCTTCTTGGCGAATAAGCTCTTCTTGCCTTTTCAATGCAATAGCTTCTTTGTATGCAACTTCAATTTTGTTGTAGAAGATATGATCAAGAACAAATACCTCCAAAGCCCGTCTAGCAACATCAGTTAATAGTTTCTCATTACGCTCTCCTACATCACCAACCTAAATTTACAAGAAAAAACAACAAAATCAACACAAAAATCATTTCTAACCGATATGGAGCCATAGAAATGTTCTGAAACTAACCTCCAAACGGTTGATAGGAACAGCTTCCTCTATGAGTAACATCGCATCGTCAACTAAAACAAACATATCTTTCTCCACACTAACAATTGTAGCAGCTGGAATTTCTTTGGCATTAGTTTCGTCGTCAAGACACTTCAACTTATTTTCCAAAGACTCCAAATCATCGATGACGAGGTTCATAACTTGTTTTGAAATTCTATGTATTGTTCTCTCCTTGTTGCCTTTCTCTTCAAGAGATTTTAACCCATGAAACAAGAAATCTATCACCAAAGTCGATGTAACCTCTTTCTCGACCAAGAAATGTTTCACAACTTGTTTCAGAATCACATCCGTTTTCTCTCGAGACATCTCTCTCCTTGAATCTTGGTCCATCCCTAACCAAAAATCACATAAGCTGCACCAGAAAATCAACAAGATACATTCCTTGTTATAATATATGAAGATGCAAAAATTGACCAAAGAACAAATTAATAAAAATGAGAAAAATATATATTACCTTGTCAATCTCGTCTTGTCTCCTATCAACTTGCTTCTTTTCTGGTTCATAAACCAAAAGAAAATGTGCTTTACATTTAGCGAATAAACCCTAACAAGTTCCCTCCGATACGAACCATCATCATCAAAGCAGGGAAAAGGTCGGTCTACATTCTCTCTGCAAGAATCAATTTTAAGATAATATGTTAGTTGTGCCATGGAAAAGATGAACATAGAATCACACAAAACTTTGAGAGATTATTTACCTAATGACCTGAACTTGAGCCTTAATTGTAAGAGAGTCATAATCATCTATGAAACCCTCTCGTAGCTTTGTTAACTCGATTAACTTTTTCCATCCCCAATCATGCTCTATCTTCCAAAACCTGTGTAACGTATCTACAAGAAAATGTGTTCAGTTTGTATGATAATTAAATGAGGATTTAGAGAAAGTAAGAGATGCAAATAAAAAAAGATAACCTGAATGCTTCGAGTGCAATGTATTTTTATTAATCACACTTATAGTAAACTGAGCAAAACGACTCCAATCTGTCTCATAAAAGGGTTAATTATCATAAAGGAGTAAATTAAAATTAGGTTTTGTAGATCGAGAGAGATGATAATATATATATTCTCACCTGGATGAAGTTTATCATGGTTTGCAACACAGAGAAACAAAGAGAGATGGTTTAAAACATCACACCCTTGTCCTTGTGGAAAAATCAAAATATACCTGTCGTAGCCTCGTAGGTATAGAACAAAGAAGAAAATTCAGAAAAATTGAAGCTTATATTTAACTATCTAAGAGGAGAAGAAAATGTCATTTACCAATTGTGGCCACCTGCTTCAAAAACATTGCTACGTATCTCCTGGTTACGTATTTCTGAAAATTTATTAATCTTCCATGTGTATGCCCATACAATTGACCAGGGGGTTTCGATCCTAGCAAAACATAGTTTGAATAAAATAAAAATATAGTAATGATATAGCAAGAAACCAAAAACGAAGGAGTGTTTTGAGAGTATAACAGTTAAAGAACTAAGTGCAAATGAAAAATACTAACTGCAAAAACCATACCAGAATCTTCATTAGTAATCTCGGACATTTCTTTGGATTTTGTTTTTCTCTCCTTCAAACTACAAAAACTAAGGATTATTTTTAAGCAATTGGATTATCATCTCAGAATTCTGCCAATTCCCTCTGAATGTGATTAAAACACCCAATAAAAACCTAATTAATACACCCTAAAAGTCGATCTTAATTAAAATGTATAAATCATTAACCAATCATTTAGTCGACTCATCTCTATCAAATAAACGAAAGAGAAGAGAGACGAAGGAAGCAAACCTAAGAAGGAAGAGCAGCGAGAACCTTATTAATCGTCAAAACAAACTGATAAGTCATAACACGGAGAAATATTCTTAAATCAGTTATGGAAGATCTACAAAATTATACGATTATTATCTTCCCAAATCTTTTAATGGAAAACACTAATAAACTAGTGAAAGAAATATCAAGAAATTTTAGGAAGTTGTATGTCAAAAAATGATTTTGAGAATATTTGGTTATCCGATTTAGCTGTCCAATCGAAATTATTTCCCTAAGCATCATCATCATACATAAGAAATGCTTAAACTATCAACTATCCTTTATTTTAAAATCCAATTCCCCAGCTTTGTTTATACATAAATTTACAGCCAAAGAAAGCTAATTAAAGAGTAGAAAAATAATCATCATTAGCTGCAAAAGTTCCAACTTTAGGATCTCGGATGTTCTAACAAGAACAACAGTACTTAAATGTTTGTACACCTCTGTTTCTAAAAGATTGCACCTTTCATCGTAAACAGTAACACAAACAGACACTAACATAAAGAGTGGAGTGAAGAAAAAGAAGGAAAATCTTAGTAATCTCTCCATCTTGGACTAGAGTGTGGGAAACAACCCATATGCTGATGATGATGGGGACACATGACCAGGAGAAGGCTGAGATAATGTGCCCGGACCGAGAATTCCAGGTTGATCCAAGCTTCTTGGTGTAAGTGGTGAAGGATATCGAACTCCGCGCGACAGCAAATTCCGGTACGCGGCGGTTGGAGATTGCAGTAGATATTGGGACGCAGGAGAAGGTAATATCCCAGGACCGTTGAATCTAGGAGAAGGAAGAGCGTTGAACCTAGGAGTGGGCAAAATGGGAGCATCTCGTACAGAGCCATTGAACCGTGGTGGTGGTTGCGGTGGAGCGTGAACTTGAGCCTGTGGCTGCAGTTGGTTTCCACTGAGTCCAGAATCTTCTAATGAGCTTTGAAGATAACGCATATACACTGAGACAGGAGGAGGGTGAGCTGTATAAGACCAACATCGATCTCCACGACCCATCATTGGTTGTGGCAAAGGTCTAATCTTGTGCAACGGAGGCCTCAAAGGAGCGATGATACCGTTTGGGAGATTGGGTTGGTGTAAAGGACTCTTCTTTATGCTCTTCCCAATCTTATTCACACCTAACTGATCATTAAGCCGAGTCCTATCCATCTCACAATTCACTAAAGCCTCTAAAACTAATCTAAAGAAGGGATCTTTAAGCTCAGCGATTCAAAGAGAAACAGAGTAAACGACACCTATAGAGTAAACAGAGTAAATCTCACAGCTATGAACCCTAAAATAAGTGAATTTAGAGATCGGCCTTTACCCAATTATGCATCTAAAAAGTCGAATTGTAAAGTGGTCCCAGCTCATAATCTCAGGAAGAAAGATCCTTAATTTCCAGAGCTAGATGATTCTCTGATTCACCAAAACCCACAATGCAATTTCCTTGATCGAACACCAACACAAACTATTCCGAAATTCACAGACTGATGATTTGAACGCAATGAGAGTAAGAAACTCACGACTTTCACCTGAAGAAAATCCAGAATATCTCAAAGCCGTGAATTAGTGCCAGATCTCTCCGTTTTCCAGCGAGGAGAATTTAACAAATCCTAACAATTTTGGTCAATCAATGTTAATGGAAATGGGAAAAGTTATTATAAAAAAAGAAAAAGGAAATGGGGTGAGAGAGGCTCGAACTCTCGTCCTCAGGATCACTCAACTTTAGCTATGAGACCTACGCGCTAGCCAACTGCGCCACCACCCCAATTGCTTATTGAGTTCACACATATATTAATTATAGTATAGAGTTGTTCAGACAAGGATGGAAGCAAAACGACCCTCTTCTCATGACAGACCCGAACAGTCTCTCTCTTTCTCGTTTATAAGCTTGAAGCCTTGAAGCACTCGAACAAGCAGAGAACCGAACCGCTTCTTTACTTTTTTTTTGTCCGAAGCACACAATATTTCAAAGGTATGACCTTTATGAATTTAGATTTCATTTTTAGAATATTTCGCAGATTCAATCGGCAAGATTGTTTTTTTATTGGGTTTAGACTCTTCAAAATCCACTCAATCTTAAATGAATCGTTTTCCAAAATCCGAAAAGGAGGATGTTTTCAAGTATTGAACTTCTCTGTTCTGTCAGCTGGAAATGAAAAACTCAATCTTTCTTCTTTTATTTGTATCGGATTTACTGATGTCAATTCTTCGGAAGCGTTTCTGAGGAAAACCCTCGAAAGCCTTAAATTTTCAGGTTGATTGCTATTAACGAGTCTCCAGTTAGGTTGTCCTCTAGTAAAAACCTAACATTTCTGTGTGTTTGTGCCCTTTGAGCATTCGAATCAGTCTTCTAGGGTTCTAATAGAGTTAAGCTAGATTCTTCCTTTAAATGCATTACCTTTAATAGCTAAATGGATTCAAGTTTCCATTTTTTGTTTTTGATTCAGTGTTTGAGTAATTGGGAATTGAAGGAGAGATGAGGAATGGTGGAGTGATGGGGCAAGATGCGTTCATGAGCATTGATGAGAAAGAAGGTTTGAGAGACAAAGATGAAGTAATGATCCGTCGTATGAAGAACCGAGAGAGACAACGTAGGTATAGAGCGAGGAAGCGGATGCGGGAAGAAGCTGGTATCGATGAAAACCTCTCATTCGAGACTATTACAAGACAACAACAAGAAGACGAAGAAGAAGAAGAGGGAGAGGAAGAGGAAGAGGAAAAAGAGTTTAATAATGGCTATGTGGAGAACTTTGTGCGGCGTGTTTATTGCCATAGAGATTGGAAAAAAGAAGCTAGAAGAGCTCATTTGATGACCGACAAGACTCAAGGTGGATATTGTGAATCGAAACGGAAGATTTGGCCCCGTCGAAGGGATTGGAAAGCTGAAGCTAGAAAGAAGAAAACTTGATAAAAACCTGAAGATTCTTGAGGATTTGTTCGGTTTGCCAAGGGGATCTTGCAAGGTTATAAGTGAAGACAGTTTCTTTTGATTGAAGAAGAGAGCACAAATTATGAAGCCAAAGCCAGTGATTTTGTTGTTTCTTGTTGTGTATTTTGAAGATCCAAACGCTATGGGAATTGTAGTATACGAATGTGTTATGTGTGTGTGTCTTGCGGTCTTATTATCAGTTAGCTAAAGAGGAAATTTTAGAAAACAAAAACTATAACAAATCACGTCGAAAACTAATAAATCACCAATCACTAATAAATCCGACTTGATATATTAGAGTCCACTGATCTTCTAACACATAAGAAAAACATTACCAGTTTTTGTATGTAAGACAAAAAAAGATCAATGTTAAGCTAGCAATATGTCGGATCATTGAGGTTCACACTGGTTTTCACCAAGATTGTATTCTCTTTCCATTTTAATCATTTTCTGTTTTTGACTCTTCAGTCACAATCTTCCGTTTCAAAACTGTTTTACTCTTTTGTGTATTGCAGGTCGAATTTTGAAGGTGGGGGCAGATTTTGAGAGAGATCTACTCGTGTCTTGTTTGCTGAAGAGGATTTTTGCTCATTTTGTTGATGTTTTCAGATCCAAAAATCAAGAAGTTGCAATTAGCTTTGGCTCAGTGATTTGACAAAAGGAAGAAGATTCAAAAAGGACCTTCGAGTGCCTGGGAGGAGTATTATTTGTTTGGTCGCTTTTGCTTGAGCGGAAACAAATTATTAGGCACCATTTCGTGGCAGATTTTGGGAATTTGGAGTTGAATCTGTTGGGAAATCAGAATATTGTTGGTCTTAGGTTTGTGCATTGTGTTCTTTTAGTTTCATGTGATTCATTGGAAGAGAGAAGGTCTTGTCAAGTCTTTGAGTCTTTGGTTATTGGCTTGATTTCCAACTTGTGCTGGGGCTAAATAATGCAAAGCAAAATTCTTGGCGTCTTCCAGAATCTTGTGAGCCTATATCGCTACAAGAAACTACTTTACTATGAGGATCATGTTATAAATAGAGTTAAGAAAGTAGCTAGTGAGAGCTATTGATTTACTGTTTGCAATAGTTGGACAATACTTAGCAACTACTTGTAATCATGCATCGGCCTCCAATCACTGTCCCAAACGAACTTAGTTTATTTGCTGAACGATTTGGGGCCAGTATGATAAGCTTCATCATCATAGCTAGTAAGAAGGCTGATGTGAAGGCGTAATCAGGAATAAAAACAATATGTTCGTCAAGGTCTAAAAACCTAGCGACCAACAAAACCCAACAACATAAGGAACATCAAATTGGTATGGAAAAGCAAAGTGCACAGAAACAAAATACTATCAACAAGCACAAGCAAACTTGAGAACATAATATGAGCAAAACTAATCATTATGTACTTTTTGTAAACATTGTATGAGCAAAATCTTGACAAAAAAAAAACTGATTACTAAATTAAACCATTTGGAAATGAGTGTGTTGCACCATGGGAAGCTCCAGAAATTATCAATTCAAAAACCATTTGTTGACATGTAAGTTAAGTGTTTGGTCACAAAATAGCAAGCCCAGAATTTTTCATTAATTTTCAACTTTTAAGACAAAGCCTCTTTTGTCGGTGGATGAAATTCCTTTTACTACATTGGTGAACTGCTCTATCGTTATTAACACTCACTAAGTAAATGATTTGCCTGAGATAGTTGGTAGAGTAGTTTTTTATGCTCTCTGAATAGCTTGTCTATTACTGTCTTGGACAATAAAATTCTGATAATCTTTCTCAAAAAATGTAATAGTATATTAGATGCAATTCCGATTTTCGTAATATCTGCAATTGAGATCAAAATTGTACAGGCTCAGTGCATTGTTTGCTCAATGCTTTGCTTTCTTCATTGTTACCAAAGACTTTATGAGCATTTGTGATGATTCCTACACTATGGTCTATATCATAATTCCTAAAATAATATGAATGTAACTGGTGACCAAAGAATGAAGAGGAATAAAACATTTTTCACTCATTATCTAAGAATTACATCATTCATAAGCAATATCATTCATAAGCAATGTCTTTTATATTATTCATTCCCATTCCAAATTAATTGATTAATGAATTTTAGTGTTAAAATATTTCTTATAAAATTTGAGAAGGAATTAAGTTATCTATATTTTATTCCTCTTCATTTCTTTACTTTTTATTCATTTTATTCCTTTAATGGTCAAGAGTTAGAAGTTATAACTTAGAACCATGGTTTTTTTCTGGAAACATATCAAATAAGATGTATTTAATCTTTCATAATGATCTCATTAATGAAAAATTTTAATTTCGGACCAAACTTTGGTGGAGTTTTAACACGAAACTTATGTCGCATGAGTTGTTTTATGTTCAAGAACCAGTTGAAACACCCTGCACTCAACGCTTTACAAGAACATCACTCAGCGTAACATTAATTTCTTCTGCTTCCTTGTCTCTAACGCTTCATGCCTATTTCGATACTCTATCTTAGGAGTTAGGACAACAATCAAAAGAAACCACTCGCTCTACAATCATTACTTGTTTCTAATATTGAGTAGAAATCAATTTTGGTTGTAGCTAACACATATTACTCATAGACTATATACACGTTACACAATGGAGATATACTACAATAAACGATACAGACTCGATCGAGCGAGATAGAGCAAAAGAAACTTGTCGCTCTACTTTTGGACCTTCTTACATAATAACTACATGCTACAAAATTACTTGGAACCCACTAAGACGAATTAATTATGATTTTGACCCCATAGTTTTCTAAATCGACTCTCAAGACACATTGTTTTTAACCGATCTTTGAAATTAAACTCGCGCGTAGCTGTTCCTGCGTGTAGATCCTGAAACCCATCTTCACCGTCGCTTGTTGAATCATCAGATCGTTAACCACCGACATACTCGCGTGATTCACCTCAAGCTCCAAATCCATCAACGCCGACATCAACCTCGCCGCCGGATGGTTCCTCTTGCTCGATTCTACTCTAATCATCGCGTCCCAACCGATTATCTTCACCTCGATCTCCATCCCCACCGGTTTAATCGCCGTCACTGAAGAAGACGATGACATATCTCCACCAGCGCTCGCTTTTCTTCCGGCGAGCTCGAGCTTCACTTCCTCAAGCTGGTTTTTTATCTGGATTTTCTCGGATTCTGTTTTGTTCACTTTCGATTTGAGCTCGTTGATGTAAGCGATTGCGTCTCCGAGCAGAGACGCTTTGTCCATTTTCGAGACGTTTGGTACAACCGCTCGTAACGCGTAGAATCGCTGGTTTAGTTTCTCGCGTCTCTGCCTCTCTGCTTCGACGTGGTTTAACGGCTCTTCTCTACCGTTGGCCGGTTTTCTTCCACGTTTCTTCGGGCGTTTCTCCGGTACTTCTTTAACGACGGAAGCTTCCAGATCGGAGTGATCGGATTCTACTCCCCCGGTTTTATCTCCGCCGCCGAAAGATAGAACCTTATCGTCGCTCAAACCAACAGACTTCTTTCTCTTGTTCTCGAATTGGGTCTGACCCGAATAAGAAATCGGATCCGGGTTCTCGAAGCTCCGTTTACCTTCATCGCCAAAGCTCAATAACTCGCCGGATCTGGGCTTCACCAAGGTAGTGCTCGACGTCGAGAAATTCAGCTCCCGGGAGAAATTGTTATTGAATTTCGGATTCTGGGTCTGAGAATGAACCGGACTCGGGGTCGGATCCGGATTCGGGGTTTCGGTTATGGTGCTTGAGCTACCACCACCATTCTCAAACTTCGAAAAAAGCTGCTGGGAGTTAGAGCTTGGAGCTCCGTTAACCGGATCGTTCGACCCGGGAGCTCCAATTGGGTCATTGATCCACATAGACGGGTCGTTCTCTCCTTGATCCGGGTCAAGGTTCCAATTAAGACCCGACAAATCTTCAGCTCCACCGTCGAAATTGAAAAGTATACGGACCTTGTTCATCAGATCCGAACTCTGTCGGATCTGCTCCGTTGACCCGAGCTCCACAACTCCGTTCGCCGAAGGGATACACGCGATAGTCTGCATCCCAAAAACTCCTCCTTGCTTCGCCCGCTCACAACCCGACCCGGATAACTGATTCACCCCGGAAACCCAAACCGCGTTAGCCGTAGAAAACGCTTTACCCGCCAATCCAGAACCGCAAGCGAAGCTCTGCGTCATCGAAACCAAGAAAAACCACTCCGTATCCGTCACCTCCTCGTCAACGGCGTCATCCGACGGACCAACTCCGCCGGAAATCAACGAATTGAGCTCACGCAACACCTTTTTCCGGTACTCCTGATCCGCCGGAGTCGAAAACGGCGGCGGGCTCGATTTCTGTCTCGGCTTTCCTTTGTCTTCTTCTCCTTTGTAATAACCGTCTCCCCAGCCGAGCACGGGTGCGCCGGAGAAATCGTACGACGGCTGCCAGAATATAGCGTAGGTCCAGCCTTCGTGCGTTCCTTCAATCAGAGCTTGTAGCCTCTGCTGGAGAGTCTCCTGGCTATATCCCGCCGGTGCCGGAATCTCAATCGCCGGAGCCGGAGCTGTAGCTGACGTCGTCGCCGTCGCTGCCGGTGGCCATAAGGATGAGAGATCGGAGGAGCTCATGAAAGCTTCCATCATAGAAGCGTTATCGTCGGTGGTCCAGAGATTCATCGTTGGTTGTAGCCGGTAATCCGTCATTCCATAAACCGGTCACCGGTTAAAGAAAAAGTTTCTGAAGAGAGAAAGTGAGAGAGAGAGAGGGAAGAAAGTCGTCGTAGTGAAGAAAAATTGCAGTGCGTCTGCGATTATTATATCTGTAGCAAATCTTGAGGGTGAATAAGTAATTACAATGGCAAGGATATCACGTGGCGTGTTCCGATTGTTACACGTGGATAGTCAAGATCGAATGAAGAAGTTTCGTTGAAGTCACAGTCCAGAATTAACCTCATCGAGTGTTGGATCCACTCGGTAAGACCACAGTGACTGAGATCGTGCGGTCACGATTCGCGCGTACATCGCATGTTCTTTAATTGATCGGTTGAGATTTAAATTCATTTCCAGCCAAAGAGTGAACTTAGCTCAGTCCAAGCGCGTTGTTTACCAAGTTTTCAGCTTTCACTCATTTTTAATTAACCCTTTTAAATATAATGTTTTGAAAAATACCAAGCAGCTATTTATATTTGAAAAAAATATAATCTCCACGATACATACCAAAAAAAAATGCCAGTATTAATGTCAAAGTTTAATTAATCTTGAGATTTTCGTATCTATATAACGTGGGTCGTGGCTAATTTATAATTGAGATTTTGAGAAAAAAATTACTAGTTGTTTTGTCTTAATATGTGAAATTACGACAGGGTGCAATGCAAGTGAGAATCTTAATCTTCAAAAAAGATTCTTGTCTGCTGAACTAATTATTTTTTTGACAACAAAAATACTCATTGATCTCCTTGACCAATGATATTATTAGCACATGGTTTAAGAATTGAACAAACCCTTTATTATATTTTAGTTACATTCACATTACACGATAAACACATGCTAACTAAGTTCTATAGTACTATTACTTTATTTTAAAATATTAAAATGATTATCTTATAAAGTTATAAAGTTGGAGCAATAATTCAAGGATTAGGTTAGTGACATGATCATATGGCATCTTTTTCTCCATGCATATATATCACAATGGGGCATTTGTCTTGTCCCATTACTTACTCCCTTAAAGAAGAAACCAAAAACTAATTAATAAAAGGGTTTTCAATGGTAAAACCCCTCAACTAAAAATAATTTGGGCAAAACTCTTTCAACTATATATTTAATGTAGAAACCCCTAATAGTTAATTATCAGGTTCCAAATTACTAAATGAAAGAGTCAGTGTAAAAGACTGTAATAAAAGATAGTTTGTCCTTAAAAGTTTTTGGACTTTTATATGGTTAGATTCCAACATCTCTAGCAACGGACCAATATGACAATGGTTAAATGAAAATTTTACACTCACTGATCCATCTAAGTTAAATTATACTCCTATGTAACAGTGAATAGTTGTTTAAATTAAAGGGCACATAGTGTTAAGTGAGTCGTGTAAGATTTATTGATGATACTTAGCCAGACACACACACACACATACGTATTAAATATTTTGAATAACATATTTTGAAAGTATTACATACAAAGCAAATCCTTTATAAAACGGTACTATATACATATTTATCAAAATAGCATAAGCTTACATAATTATTTCTAAATTCTCTTTTCATTAGATTTTTTTTTTCTATGATTTTAGAAATATAGAAGCATAAATCATTTGGCCATGTTGACTTAAAAAATTGCTAAAATTTGATCAACTATTTCTCATGCTATTAAGTTACACGATGTTTGTTTTTCTAACCCAAAACGCGATGTTTTTTTAATAAGTTGTTTAAATTTTTTAATATGAAGCTTAAAGTTATATACTAGCTTAAAATGAGGATTAAGTGCAGAAGCAGGAGTCCCACTTGTCACGCCAAAAACATATTCAATCCTTTAGTTTGTTATTCGTCAGTGGTTGGTTATCGTCAATTAGCTGTCAAATTATCTATCTTAAAGTTTAGGTTACATCAAAAGCAGATGATATTTTAATAGTAAGTTTTTCTCGTGAGTATTTTTTTATATTAAATGATAAGACTAAAATATTTTTTGGGTCCCTCAAATAAAAAATACGTCAAATTGCGTAAATTATAATTAAGATAAGAGCGGAGATGATAATGATATTGTTGAGTTAAACTAAAATAAATCAAAGTTAAATTAATCTTATTGGACGGCAGGTGGGACACAGTTCATAACTTCATATACATGTACAACAATTCACATGGACAACGTGTAATACTGTGCTTCGCTGTCTTCTGCATTTCGATCCTCTTTGTTTCCTTTGAAGATTTGATTCCTTTAATTATAGAAATAAGAACCTACCAATACGTCAAACATTATCTTTGCTAGTAAAAACCCTGCTTCGAGTTCTAGGCAAATGCTAATACATCATTGGACTTAAATAGTTACCGTCAACAAAAAAACAAAAACAAAAGTAACAAAGACAATATTTAGTAAAGAATCTTTCGATGTTAGTGCATTTTTAGATAGTTACAAATTATCATTCATACTTGTAACGATTGTATCAAATATATATATATATATATATATATATATATATATATATATATACTTATCATTCATGCTTCTCTATATTGAAATACTTAATTATGCCTTTTCTAACCAAACAAAAAAAGAAAAAGAAATACAAATACTTGAGCTCAGCCATAAGCTAGGTCGGTCACTCGTTTACATCTCGAAGACTTAAACGTTAACACTGAAGAGGACATATTATTATACTTCCTTTTTTTTTACCACTTCAACTTTTTTTATTGTATCATTGATATATAACTTTATTTCCGACGTCAACTTTTACCGTTATTGTAAAAACTATACATCGAGGTCAGTTACGAGAAGGTTGTAAGAACTTGGTCTTTCTTTACTCTTCCAAGTCGAGGGCATAAAAACTGTAAAGCAAACTATCCGAGGGCATTTTCTCGTCTCGTGCAACCTTTACGCTATACATCAAGGGCATTTACGAGATGTTATTTACCTTCAGAAACATAAATATATAATTATGGAAAAGGCGTGTAACTTTCAAAATATCCAGTTTCTAGTTATCTTATGTTGCGTTTTGTCAATCGACTTGGAAGAGTAAAGAAAGACCAAGTTCTTACAAGGCCACGAAAAAAGAAACATGTTTCACAAAGACTCTTGAGAAGAAGAGAATTTGCATGTTGTGGAAGCTGAAGTAAAGCTGGTTCCTTAAACGGATGTTGGGAAGAAAGAAGCAAACTCTTGTTTTTTAGTTTGTTTTGTTATTCATTTCTAGATTGATCATTCGGATCTTCTTCTTGTTCATTTGTACTCTCTCCCAAAAACCTATATACTAGTACATTGCAAACAAAAATCCTTGTCGAGAATTAGCTTGATATCTACTCAAGATTGTAAATGTCTAAGTATATATCCATTTTTTCAATAATTATGTTTCCATCTCCATAAAAAAATATGTGTATATATAAAGGTTTAAGGGGTTGATAACTTGATATAGATTTAATATAACTCAATATCTATATTCGGTGGTCGGATAGAGAATCACATGCTTCATGCTACGATTAAAATTTTCTGTTCACTTTTCTACCCAAAAAATCTATTAAAAAATTATCTTCTAAAGTTTTTTTTGAAAGGGTTTTAAGTTTAAGCTAGGACAATTCTATTTCATTTGAACTAAGAAGAGTAATTTGATGTTGTAAGTAATAATGGAGAAAAAATTACTTCTTGTTTAAACAAAATTAAGAATAATCGCATCCAGTGAACTGATAATATTACCTTTCAAAACTTAACAATTTTTCTCTCTTCAAAAAATTTATGAAGATTTAACACTAGTGAATTTTAATAAAACCCAAATAATTATGTGAAATTTGAGATACATTCGTCTATCACTTTGACAATTACGATCATTCACAAAAGAAGAACAATGATATTTTGGCCATGTCATTTATTAGAAGATGAATCATTAGTTTGTTAAGGGTCCTCACGGGTGGCCCATGAAGAATGCGACTGTCAATTTGTTTTCATTATTTTGTATTTATTTGATTTCTATAATGTATATAGCACGTTGTGGAAACTGTTTGATGCAAGTCTATCTACTCCATAGTTCCTAAAGATTCCAAATTTTATTTCATGTGACCTTGTATTAGAAAAAAAAAATACATAAACCGAATATAAAATGAAGCTTTGAACAAATAGCAAATTTACAACGTATTTAAACAATATTGCTGTCGAAGGCAAGTCCAAAAGAATAATATTTGTAAACGTTTGTCTTGATAACAGAACATATATATGTGCAAGTTACCTGTTGCGCCAAATTCTCCTGAAACAACCGCCGTTATATCACATCACCTACAAGCCGTTGTGCGAAAGGAGCTCTATTCTTATAAAAAAATACAATAATCACAAAAGACTTCGCATGACTTTATTTTCGCGTTAACATGACTATAGTCTATAGATATATATATCCAAGTCGCCCAAATGATCAAATCAATTTCTTTATTTTTAAAATTATATAACTAATTCTCTAAAAACAATTTGGCTATTTTGACAATTGGTCAAATTCTCCCTAGAAAAAGAAAATGCACAACATATAAGGAGTTTATACGCATAGTTTAATAATAATTTTGATGCGTTTTTAAAGAAAAACCTGGGTGCAAGTTTAAATTGTAAAATATATAACAAACCAAAAACAATTTGATTACTGGCGAATACATTCGCATTCAAATAAGTGTACACTGAAAAAATTATATTGAGGGTCTATAGGGATAAAGAAGAAACTAATAAAACTTGTGACCACCATAACGCCTTAACTTTTTCCCATAGAAGTGTCCATTTTCTTGTTTCTTCATTAGTCATGATATTATCGTTTTCTACATTTGGCCAAATATGTTCACTACTTTAATATATTGAGATGTAGGCCTTTAGTTCATCATTTTCTTTTACCTAATATTATATAACCGGAGTAATTTGAAACCAGAATCCAAAGTCTTCATATCCTGTAAAAATGGGTATTATAATCTATAATAGGCATTGCCAACCCAAACTTGTGTTATATTGTATAACCTAAAAAGTAATCACATGACATTTTTTTTTTCAAAAGTGACCGATTTGAAAAGTAATAAAACGGTATTAGCAATTTCCAAAACCACAATTACCTGATTAACAGATAAATGAATGCTACCAACCACTTTTAGGGAGTTTAAGCTACCTACCAATTCACATAACCCCAAAGAGGCAAATGTTGGTCCCAAATTTTGGTAAGATAAGAGGGACTCGTTTAAATTGTTTCCACACAATTTTATACCCTACCAATTCGCCAGCTTTATTATATGATAGTGCCCACTGCTACTTATTTCATAGATTTAATTGTCTTTTAAAACAATAATAACTTTTATTCCACCATTTTAATTAAATCTAATTTCGGAAACTATTAGTGCACGTGACGAAATTGTCATCCACAGATGGTTGCGTCATAAAGATTGGCCATATTTACGTGTGGCCTTTAGTGGTAGGTGCCCACTCCCGGTACGTTGACACTTCTATATAGAGAAATATATAGTGGAGACAAATCATTACAAAATAAGTTGTGGAAGGAAGAATAATAAAACAAATCTTACCAAAAAAAAAATAGTTGGTTTTTAATCTTATAAGATTTCGTAATCTAACACATGAATTAATGTATTCCTTGCAAACATTTACAAACTTTATATATGAACACCAAATTTGAGTTTCTATTGAATTTTATATATATATATATATATATATATAATATGTTATAGGCTATTTTCTACTATGTTATATATGTTAAAGTTAAGATAGCAAATTACATTTCTGAAGAAAAATGTGTATGCTGTAAATATATGTAGATTGTAGACTAATTTTAATATTTTATACGATAGACAGTATGTGTCTGCGATTATATGTAGACTAGAGAGTGAACTCTGGTAGGTAACCCCAAATTATACAATTCATGACTTTCCAGAAACACGTTTTTAAAGGACATCTTGTTGTTGTCTCTTTCATTTTTGATAACTGTTCATTTCTAAATATAGAATCTAATATATTATTTGTGAAGTAAAAATTTCGTTTAGAGGCACCACGTTAACTCTCAGCTGGTTGATTACCCACATACCCTTAATGAAAATTCTATTTTTAAACTTTCATAATTTCCTGTTTTTTTTAATGTCACAATTTATACTATTAGTTAAAATATTTTACGATAATAATCTTAAAATAAGGAAAGGAAATATTTCATATCATTAAAATAGAAAAATAAAAAAAACCTAAAGTATATGTATATCAAAGGGTGTCTGCAAGAGTTGTGACGGTTAGTGGAGCTTGTGTTTAAGACACAAGCAAAAGACACAACTCTTGTGTTTTTGTCACAAAAACTATTTAACACGTTGAAACACAATATGTAACTCATCAAGTTTCACATCAATAAAGTTATATTTCGTTCTACTTCATGTCTTCTTCATAAGACACTCTGTTTTTTTGTCTCTTCTCTTCTTATTCTGTTTTGTAAACACAAAATCTAACATGGTATCAGAGCTTTCATGGTGGTCATGGGAACCTGTATAAGCTCCAAAAAAAAGGAAGAAGACAAAAATCCGCTGCGAGAAGAGAAAGATGGAGACTAAACCGACCAGAAGAAGAAGAAATAGAAAAGGAAAAGGTGATGCCAAGAGAGAGTACCATCGACATTCACAAACACGCTCACATGCCGTACCTTAACGTGGGAGGCTCCAAAAGCGATGAAGGAGATAGGAGATCTTTTCAAAAGGCTATGGAGAAAAACCGATGTAAAAGTTGGAGTTGTGGAAGAATTCTGAAACTTGATGGGAAGCCGCCTGTTTGAGAGAAACAGAGCAAGGCGCATTGAAGCGGTTACACAATAACCGAAAAGAATTCACGCATGAGAACGGTTTACACAGATAGCCGGAGAAGATGTGGAGAAGAAGATCCACATAATGAGGCGGTTACAGAGTTAACCGTAGACGTGAAGATGAACGTCAATGAGACGTTGAAGCAACAAAGAGGATGCTTACCTCAGAGAAAAATGGAGCAAAAAGAGGATGCTTACCTCTGAGAAAAACGGAGCACAAGTCTGTTGAAGCGTTAACCGAAGACTACGTGGAGAGAGGATCCATGTACGAGACATTGATGGTGATCAAAGGAAGACACCAAAGGAGGATGCTTGCCTCTCTGAAAAATGGAGCAGAAATTGGTTACATAGATAACCAGAGAAGAAGTGGTGAAGAGGATTCCCGCACGAGACATCACAGAGACGTGATGGTGATCAAAGGAAGAAAGAAAGGAGGATTGGGTATGTGAAGAAGATTTCACGCATTAGATGTCATGAGAACGCGAGACGTACGTGAGACGTCAAGAAAACGTACGAATGATTTGAAGGAGACATGTAGAAGACTTGCAGGGAGGAGAAGCCGAGAGTTCCAATGTCATGAACAAGGGATTGAGAAGAAGCTCACGCAAAATGTGTGAAGCACTATGAAGAAGACATTAGCTCTTGAAGAAAAGAGTTTACAAGTTTAAGGAAAAGCTTGGGATAAGACCGAAACTCAATTAAGAGGGAGTGTTGGATTTAATGGAGTTTGGTCGTATGATATAATCAAATTAGTTTTGTATGTGTATCAAAGGGTGTCTGCAAGAGTTGTGACGGTTAGTGGAGCCGTGGAGGTTGTGTTTAAGACACAAGCAAAAGACACAACTCTTGTGTTTTTGTTACAAAAACTATTGAACACGTTGAAACAAAATCATGGAACTCATCAAGTTTCATATCAATAAAAGTTAAATTTCGTTCTTCATGTCTTCTTCATAAGATACTCTGTTTTTGTCTCTTCTCTTTTTTCTTCTGTTTTGTAAACACAAAATCTAACACGTATTGGGTTTACTGGACTCAAGCCTTTCCTGAATCCTGAGGGTTGATAATTGTTGGATCTCTCAATTGTATAATATTGACGTGGAAATTTTTCTTGGGTTGTGTTTGACAGTTTTGTGTTTATTATAATACCAAGTTCTTAGCAGGTGCTCTTCGCAATGGATGTATCCAAGTATGTAAACCGTAACCTTACATCCTTCTGATATTGTTTCCGACGTGAATGGTTTCATGAAAACATAGAAAGAGATTTAGCGCATGATCAATTCGGAATTGATTGCTGGTATGCTCTTCCCTGCCATGGAAGTCACTGAAGCTATTGAAGTTGTTGGTGGTGAAAGATTCTCTTATACATATGCTTACAAAATTAATTTTGAATTATATACACAGAAACATTAAATGTTTATTCTGAAATGCCTTTATATATGAAAGTAAATTGTTTTTGACATTCTGTAGACATTTCATGGCAGAGAGAAACACTAGGAAGAGAAGTGGTGCGGAAAGGCACTCACAAGTTCAAAGTTAGGATGAAGAAGAAAACGTGAAACTCAGAATATTCCTCTCCCATTTTTCTGATGACGAGAGGTAATGATTTGGTGAGAAGATATTTCCTGATGCTAAGATGTGGCCAAATCTAATATATTATTTGTGAACTCAAAATTTCGTTTCATGGGAGCACGTTTGCTCTCTTTATTAAAGTTTAGGGTTTAAAGTAAATATCATTATTATATTGATGGTTTAAACCGAAGTTATGAGCCAAAAGAGAAATATAACAAAAATATATATTTTTATAAAGAGAGAGGAAAATAAAAAGAGAATAGAAAGTTTGATAAGAAAAAGAAAAAATGATAGAAAATGAAGAAAAACGTATGAAAAAGTAAAAGACAAACTAAAATAAGAAGATAAAATGGGGTTGGAGTTTACGATCTACAGTTTGTATTGATGGGCGTAAGGTTTAATTTTTGATGCATTTAAAAAAATTTGAATACACTAAATTACCGATTAAAAAGAAAAATCTGTTAAAAATAAAATAAAAATAAAAGTAAATTTATAACCAATTTGTAAAATGTGGGTTCGGTGTGCAGTTGGAGAGAACGAGGGGTTATAATGTAGGGTTTGGGTTCAGGGCCTGGTGTTACACTCTGGGGTTTTGGTTGTTTAGGAGGTGGTGTGACACTGTGGGGTTTGTGTTTAGGATGTAGGGTTTAATTTTATGTGCATTTTTAAAAACTTGAATTGTTATGGAAGAGTTTCATAATAAAATATCATTCATTATAAATTTATATCTATTTTAAAAATTATATTCACAAATAGAAAAAACTAAAACAATTAAAGAAAATCCAAAATCGAAAGATAACAAAACCAATTAATTTTTAAAAGATCTCGACTATCTAAAGATATAAACTATTTCACAAATCCTTGAAAATCTAAAATATCGAATGAATTAATAGGTGAAATGCAAGATATAGACAAGAACGAATAAAAACACAAGCAAAAGAAAAGAATAGAGTGAAAAAGAAGATGAAAAATTTGGAGAAGAAAAAGGAAACTCGAATATGAGGAAAAAGAAAGTAAAGAAGAAAAAATAAAATGTGAAAAAAATTTCAAAATAAATAAAGAAGATTACATAGAAGAGCAAGAAAGAGAAGACAAAAATAAGACACATCAAAATTACAAAAATAAGAATATTGCGAAAACAAAAACGATAAATACAATAAAAACTGCTTAAAATAAAAAACAAACTTTGGTCGCAGAATATTCAATATTCATGGAGTATTAAAAATAGGATAACTTGATTCTAATACCACGAATAAAAAAGGAGGGTAATACTACTATAGTAGTAAACAATTGAAGAATATGTGAAAAATAAAAAAGTTGAAAAAATCAAAAGATAAAAAAAATGAAAAATAAAAACACAAAGACAATTGTAAATAAAAGGAAAAAAACTGATAAAAACTTGGAAATAATAAGATGACGATAAACAGAGAAGAAAATAAAAAGAGAATAGAAACTTTTATAAAAATAAGAAAAAATGGTAGAAAATGAAGAAACAAATATGAAGAAATAAAAGACAGTACAATAAGAAGATAAAATGGGGTTGAGGTTTATGACCTAGAGTTTATATTGATGGGCGTAAGGTTTAGTTTTTGATTCACTTTAAAAAATTTGAATACACTAAGTTACCGATTAAAAAAATAAATAAAAAATAAAAGTAAATTTATAACCAATTTGTAAAATGTGGGTTCGGTGTGCAGTTGGAGGGAATGAGGAGTTATGATGTAGGGTTTGGGTTTTGGATGTAGGGTTGTTTAGGTGGGTGGGTGCTGTTACATTGTGGGGTTTGGGTTGTTTGTTTGGGGGGGGGGATTGTTATTTTGTTACATGAACGTTTTTATAGGGGGTGGTGTTACACTTTGGGGTTTGGGTTGTTTAGGAGGTGGTGTGACACAGTGCGGTTTGTGTTTAGGGTGTAGGGTTTGGGATTGTTATTTTGTTACATGAACGTTTTTATAGGGGTTGGTGTTACACTTTGGGGTTTGGGTTGTTTAGGAGGTGGTGTGACACAGTGGGGTTTGTGTTTAGGGTGTAGGGTTTAATTTTATGTGCATTTTTAAAAACTTGAATTATTATGGAATAGTTTCATAATAAAAAATCATTCATTATAAGTTTATATCTATTTAAAAAATTATATTCACAAATAGAAAAAACTAAAACAACTAAAGAAAATCTAGAATTGAAAGATAACAAAACCAATTAACTTTTAAAAGATCTCGACTATCCAAAGATAGAAACTATTTCACAAATCCTTGAAAATCTAAAATATCGAATGAATTAATAGGTGAAATGCAAGATATAGATAAGAACGAATAAAAACACAAGAAAAAGAAAAGAATAGAGTTAAAAAGAAGATGAAAAATTTGGAGAAGAAAAAGGAAACTCGAATATGAGGAAAAAGAAAGTAAAGAAGAAAAAATAGAATGTGAAAAAATTTTCAAAATAAATAAAGAAGATTACATAGAAGAGCAAGAAAGAGAAGACAAAAATAAGACACATCAAGATTACAAAAATAAGAATTTTGCGAAAACAAAAACGATAAATACAATAAAAACTGCTTAAAATAAAAAAAACAACCTTTGGTAGCATAATATTCAATATTCATGGAGTATTAAAAATAGGATAACTTGATTCTAATACCACGAATAAAAAAGGAGGGTAATACTACTATAGTAGTAAACAATTGAAGAATATGTGAAAAATAAAGAAGTTGAAAAAATCAAAAGATAAAAAAATGAAGAATAAAAACACAAAGACAATTGTAAATTTTTTTTTTTTTTACGTCAGACAATTGTAAATAAAAGGAAGAAAACTGATAAAAACTTGGAAATAATACGATGACGATAAAGAGAGAGGAAAATAAAAAGAGAATAGAAACTTTTATAAAAATAAGAAAAAAATGGTAGAAAATGAAGAAACAAATATGAAGAAGTAAAAGACAGTACAATAAGAAGATAAAATGGGGTTGAGGTTTATGACCTAGAGTTTATATTGATGGGCGTAAGGTTTAGTTTTTGATTCACTTTAAAAAATTTGAATACACTAAGTTACCGATTAAAAACAAAAAAAAACTTATGTTAAAAACTAAAATAAAATTAAAAGTAAATCTAGAACCAATTTGTAAAATGTGGGTTCGGTGTGCAGATTGGGGAGGGGGGGGAGAGTACGGGTGTTATGATGTAGGGTTTGAGTTTAGAGTGTAGGGTTGTTTAGGTGGCGGGTGGTGTGGGGTTTGGGTTGTTTGTTTAGGGGGGTAGTGTTATTTTGTTACATGAACTTTATTATAGGTGGTGGTGTTACAATTGTCGGGTTTGGGTTGTTTAAAGGGTGGTGTTACACTGTGGGGGTTTGGGTTTATGGTATAGGGTTTATAGTGATGGGTGTAGGGTTTAGTTTTTGTTGCATTTTTAAAAACTTGAATTATTATGGAAGAATTTCATAATAAAAAATCATTCATTATAATAAGTTTATATCTACTTTCAAAATTATATTCACAAATAGAAAAAAAAGTACAATATCTAAAGAAAATCCAGAATCAAAACATAACAAAACCAATCAATTTTTAAAAGATCTTGACTATCTAAAGATACAAACTATTTCACAAATCCTTGAAAATCTAAATTATCGAATGAATTGATAGGTGAAATGCAAGATATTGACAAGAAAGAATAAAAACACAAGCAAAAGAAAAGAAGAGAGTGAAAAACAAGTTGAAAAATTTGGAGAAGAAGAAGAAAACTCAAAAATGAGGAAAAAGAAAGTAAAGAAGAAAAATTGGAATGTGAAGAAAATTCCAAAACGAATGAAGAAGATTACATAGAAGAACAAGAAAGAGAAGACAAAAATAAAATACATCAACATACAAAAGCAAGAAGTTTGCGAAAACAAAAACGATGAATACAATAAAAATTCTACTACTTATATTATTAAGTATAATAAGTATTTTACTAAGGTAATGTGGTTTTCATCGGTTTGTGATGCTGAAAGATGAATACTGATGCTGTTACATTAGCATCACCACCTCTTGAATCAGGCATGGTTTTATATAAGATTATAAACCCATTATTAGCTGAAATTAATTTATTTGATAAAAGTTTGTCCACCATGATACATAAGAAGAATAAATCTCCTTCATATTCATATAAAGATGATATGCTATTCTTCTTCTACATTATGTATTTATAAAGAATGTATTTATGGATATGAAGACACAAAAAACGATTGAGAAACAAAAATTAGAAGATGAAGAAAAAAATTTGGAACAAAAATTATAGAATTATAATAGAAGTACACCATTCTAATATATGGAAAAAGAATAAGCCAAAAAAAAAGATGAGGACAAAGAATAAAAAAACGGAAGAAAAAAAAAAGATGAGATCACTGAAAAAGAATAAGAGGGAGAAGAAAATAATCATTACAAACTTTAACTAACTTTTTTGTGCTTTCACAATTTATAAGTTTATATCAAATTAAAAAAATGTTAAGCTATTACTTTTTTGGAAAATAAACACATTACAAAAATAAGAAATGTAATTAAAATTATAAGGTTTATAATGTGGGGTTTGGGTTTAGAGTTTAGGGTTTATATTGATGTGTAAGGTTTAGTTTCTGATGCATTTTTAAAATTTTGAATTATAATAGAAGTATATCAAAATTAAAAATTACGGATTATAAATTTATATCTACCTTTCTAAAATACACTCACAAATAGAAAAAAACTAAAACAATTAAAAAAAATCCATAGTCAAAAGATAAAGCACAAATTAAATATATTTTTAAAAGATCTTGAGTATATAAAGATAAAAACTATTTCACGTATCATTGAAAATCTAAACTATCGAATGAATTAATAAGTGAAATATAAGACGTAGAGAAGAAGGAATAAAAACACGAGTAGAATAAAAGAAGACGGCGGATAAGAACATGAGAATCTTCGAGAAGAAGAAGAAAACAAAGAAGAGGAAAAAGAAAACAAAGAAGAAAAAAATGAAATGTGAAGAGAAAGAAGATAAATAAGAGATAAATAAAAATTAGAATAAGATGATGTGAGAGAAGACGAATATGACAAAGATAGAGAGAAGGGGAATGACGAAGAAGATAAACCGAAAAAAGAATGTAAAGAAAATTATGAAGAAAAAGAAGAATAGTAAGTTGGAGGATATGAAGACATAAGAAAGGATTGAAGAACAAAAATTGGAAAAAGAAGAATAAAAAAAAAAAGATGCTGACAAAGAATAAAAAAATGGAAGAAAAAAGAAAAGATGAGATCACTAAAAAAAGAATAAGAGGGAGAAGAAAACACTAATTACAAAATTTAACTAATTTTTTTGTGCTTTACCAATTTATAAGTTCATATCAAATTAACAAAATGTTAAGCTATTACTTCGTTGAAAAATAAACACATTACAAAAATAAGAAAAGTAATTAAAAATAAAATGCATTAATCTAATATTAATTGAATTGTGAATTAACAAAATCTAAACTATCAGATGAACTGATAAGTGAAATACAAAACGTAGACCAGAACGAAAAACATGAGTAAGAGAGAAGAAGATGATGGAAGAAGTTTATGTCAGAGAAGGCGAAGATAATAAAGATAGAAAGAGAAGGGGAATGAGGAAGAAGAAAAATCGGAAATAGAATGTAAAGAAAATTAGAAAGAAAAAGAATAATAGTGAGTTGGAGGATATGAAGACACAAAAAACGATTGAAGAACAAAAATTGGAAGATGAAGAAGAAGCAGAAAAAAAAAAAAGATGATGACAACAAGTAAAAAAATGGAAGAAAAAAATGAAGAAGATGGGATCACTAGAGAGAATAAAAGGATAAGAAAACAACAATTACAAAAAAAAAGTTATAAATAAAATAAAAATAAAAGCAAAATAAATAACTAATTTGTAATGTGAGATTCAAGTGTGCGGTTCAGGGGGAGTTATAATGTGGCTTTGGGTTTAGGGTATAGGTTCTTTAATTAGGGGAAGGGGTTTATAATGTGGGGTTTGGGTTTAGGGTTTATATTGATGAGTGTAGGGTTTAGTTTCTGATGCATTTAAAAAAAAATTGAATTATAATAGAAGTATATCAAAATTAAAAATCATTGATTATAAATATATATCTACCATTCTAAAATACACTCACAAATAGAAAAAACTAAAACAATTAACGCAAATCCATACTCAAAAGATAACAACACAAATTAAATAGATTTTTAAAAGTTCTCAACTATATAAAGATAAAAACTATTTCACGAATCATTGAAAATCTAAACTATCGAATGAATTGATAAGTGAAATATAAGACGTAGAGAAGAAAGAACAAAAACACGAGTAGAATAAAAGAAGACGGTGGATAAGAAGCTGAGAATCTTCGAGAAGAAGAAGAAAACAAAGAAGAGGAAAAAGAAAACAAAGAAAAAATGAAATGTGAAGAGAAAGAAGACAAATAAAAGATAAATAAAAAATAGAATAAGATGATGTTAGAGAAGACGAAGATGACAAAGATAGAGAGAAGGGGAATGAGGAAGAAGATAAACCGGAAAAAAATGTAAAGAAAATTAGAAAGAAAAAGAAAAATAGTAAGTTGGAGGATATGAAAACAAAAATAAATGATTGAAGAACAAAAATTGGAAAAAGAAAAAGCAAAAAAAAAATCAAGATAACGAATAAAAAATGGAAGAAAAAGTAAAAGATTTGATGAGTGAAAATAAATAAGAGGGAGAAAAACATAATCATTACAAAATTTAACTAATTTTTTGTACTTTCACAATTTGTTAATTCATATCAAATTAAAGTTCATATCAAATTAACAAAATGTTAAGATATTACTTCCTTGGAAAATATGAAAAATAATTAAAAATAAAATGCATTAATCTACTATTAATTGAAAGAATTGGAATTCTGAAACATCTCTTGTACCCGCGCAGGCGCGGGCCAACCACCTAAGTATGAAATAAATGGAAACTTTATAAACAAAAGAAAAAAAAAGGTAAAGAAGATAAAGTTTCAAAACATATAAGAAAAATAATAAATAATTAAACTGGACGTAGCATCTTCTTACTCTGCCATTTTGATTTGCAAAGAGATGCTTATTGAGCCTCCTGATGATGAAAGACAAATATCTATTCGTTTTCAACAAGGCCCAAGCTTATTGTATTCTGTGTCGAATGAGAAGCAACAAGAGGTGAAGCAAATTAAGCCAAGTCCGATTTCTGAATTTTAAGATTGAAGTCCGATATCGCTTTTGCTTGGAGGCCAATTTACAAGAAGGAAAAATCTATGACCAAGGATCCTATACTATAAAAGTTGGCCAACTCTCCTATGCTGACGTATCCTATACTATAAAAGTTGGCCAACTCTCTCCAGCTGACCGCCACGTCAGCATGGGAGAGTTGGCCACGTGGCTCCCTCTCCTAATTTCTCTTTTTTTTTTTCTTTTCTCTCCTTATACTCTCTCTTCTCTCTCCTCCGCACCATCACTCTTTCTCGGCAAACCTCCACGACTTCTCCGATGACGGGATTTGCCCTCAAAACTTTCTCACGCCCCAAAATCACCCTCTACCACGCCTCTCACAAACTTCGAACACATCAAACCGCACGCTACACAATTCATTGACCCTTCCGCTCCTTCGCAACCATTTCAATTCGTTCTGCCCCATATTGATTTTCAGTGACATTTTCTTATCAATTGATCGGCCCTTCCGGTCCTTATGAATTTACTACGTACGCCTCGGGAATTTACAGTCTCTTTCCATCATTCCTCGCTGATCTGCTCCGCTTCCCGCTTCTTCTCCCCACCAACTCTGGAAGTTCTCAGGGTACGACAATTTACTCGCTTCACCGTTGGTCTGATCAAAGGACATTGTTTTTGCAGGTAGATGCTAGGCATGAATCTTATTGTTGACGAAGGTTTATTGATGGGTTTTTCGAACTTTGTAGATGCTGATATGGAGGACTATGGATTCGAGTATTCCGATGAGGAACAGGAGGAGCACGACGTTGACATTGAGAATCAGTATTACAATTCCAAAGGTTTCTTTTTGCGTTCGATTATGTTATTGTATTCTCAATTTATACAAGCGAGGAAATGGAAAAACAATTCGAGAAACTAAAGAAACATTGCTCGAAGAGACAAAAGTATTATTATTATTTTTTAAATGAGCTTTATAAATATTTAAAAACAAATTTAGTAAGAAAATGTAATAACACTACTCGCGCGTAGCGCGGACTTAAACCTAGTAATGAAATTAAACCTGTCCGAATTATATTTTAGCTATTGCACCTTCATTTATAAAAAGATTTTCACGTAAATACATGCCTTATAATGTCTTACATATTGACCATTTTACATTTATTTATTGAGATCATTGTGAATTAACTAGTCAGTAAACTACTCCACTCCACATTAAGCACTTTGGCTAAGGACGAGAATAGCATTAATAAAAATAAAACCTATACCAAAAATTTCTAGTAACTTTTTTGTTCTCATTCATTCTCCTTATTACTTACTATACTTATACTTGTATCCTCATTAGTGCGAGCCTCCTCTTCCCCCACCTCCTCCTCCACCACCACCACCACCACCACCACCACCAACACCAACACCAGCATTTGCTCCACCACCAGCACCACCACCACCACCACCACCAGCACCAGCACCAGCACCAGCATTTGCTCCACCACCAGCACCAGCACCACCATATCCGCCCGCACCAGCACCAGCACCACCATTTCCACCAGCACCACCATATCCGCCACCGCCACCATGTCCACCTGCACCACCATATCCGCCAGCTCCACCAGATCCCCGGGCTTTGCTAGAAATCCCTCCACCAAAAGAAAATCCTCCGGTAAGGCCAGATTCTACTCCGGCTGAACCTGAACCGCCACCATATCCACCGCCTCCTCCACCTAAATTCCCACCACCTCCGGCGCCCCCATATCCACCACCATTGGCTCCTCCACCTACATTTCCAGCACCTCCGCCATGTCCGCCCCCATATCCACCGCCATTGGCTCCTCCACCTAGATTTCCACCACCTCCGCCATGTCCGCCCCCATATCCACCGCCATTGGCTCCTGCACCTAAATTCCCACCACCTCCGCCGTGTCCACCGCCACCCCCTGAACCATGACCGCCTCCACCAGCGGAGTAAAGGAGGGATCTAGTAGCTGAACACAACCCTATGCTTAATAACAAACACACAAATGCTATAGAGAATATTCTTCTAAGATTATCCATCTTTTTTTTTTTTTTTTTTTAATTAGAATGTTTATATGATAATGAAAATATGAGTTCGATAGATTTCAATGCATGCAAAGTTAAAAATGTTTGCGTATTTATATGATCGTTCATATACCTATTTTCATGGTTTAGTCGCTAAAACTTGTGTGGCTTAAAAGCATATTCCTCGATAACTAATGGCTACAAATACTTTGGAAAAGGTAGGCACGGCTCTGAATTTCTTTCTCATATCAACGAAGGCAAGAAAGAAATGATTTGTTTCGTTGTAGAGAAGAGTGAAGTTATTCAAAATTACAAGTTCATTAGTATTTGGTAGTGTAAAAGAATGGTAAATTTACATTATTGTGTAAAATTGTAAACTATGCAAGTCCGATTGGGATTCTGAACTATCTTAAGTTGTAGCTGTTTGATAAAAAAAGTAAATTGACGTGATTTGATATCTATGTGTCTTCACTAACAGAAACTAGTAGAGTACCCGCACGTTTGTGCGGTGTGACGTTGTGGTTTTGTGTAGAAAATTTAAACCCTAAATCGAACCCGACCAAAAAACCCTAATCAAAAATATTTAAAAACCCAAACTTTTTTAATATGTCTAAACCCGAAAATCTGAAATAAAAAAAAATCCTCGAAAACCCTGAACTGAACAAAAAAAATCTGGAAACTTTTTCACCCGGAACCCGACCAAATACCCTAATCAAAATTTTAAAATACTCAAACTTTTTTAATATATCTAAACCCGAAAACCCAAAATCCAAAAAATCCGGAAACCCTAAACTGAAAAAAAAAAACTCGAACCCAACCCGAACAAAATTTTCAAAGAAACCCGAACAATTTCTATATCTCTATATCTCTATAAAATTAGGTCTCAGATTTTCACCCAAACCCGAACTTGTCTATAAAAACCCGAAAATCCAAAAAGCATATTCTATTGATTTGGTATTATCGTTAGATTATGTTAATTTTTTTTTTGAAAAGAGCTGGAAAACGGAAGTTTTCTAAACCATCGGTTTGTTTTAAGTTATTATTCTTGTATCCAAACAATTTTTTCCATTTATTCTTCTATCCAAATAGTTTTTTCTCTTATTCTTGTATCCAAACATTACAATGTACTAAATTGACCTCATTAAATCAGTTGCCAAACACTTACTCTTCATAATTAGATTGGTTTTTGGTCATAAATTTTCATGTACTTCTCAATTAATAATATAAAAAAGATAGTTGTTTATTTTGGATCAGATTTACGATCCAAGTATATTTGACAACGTCGCAACTCGCAAGTCACAACTATATACCCTTGGATATATTCAGTTATGTAAGGCCCAATATTGTATCATAACACGACCCATATAATCAGTGGGCTATGGGATTTAAATATTATGTACAAGGAAGATGAACAAGGTATCCTTGTGACTTTCCTATATTGACTGTAAATTTTTTTGGGTAAAAATGTGGACTTTCACAGAACAATTAATGATCCTTCAACTTGTCAAATGGTAAATGTTTCACGTGTAGTCCATGCATTTTTATGTAGAAATTGGTTATTTAATTTACATGTTTATCTTGATATTGTATCATATCCAAATGATTTTCGATTGCTATGATGAGTACCATATATAGGTCCAGAAAGTCTCTTGAAAGTGCCTACTTTTGTCCGCACTTCGTCTATCTTTTAGTCCATGTCATTTTCTTTATTTTTTTACCCGATTTTATTTATAAGTAAATAGTATTGTTTTTTTTTTTTTTTTTTTTGAGAATTGGCATAAGTAAATAGTATTGTTAATAAATTGTTTATGATATATAACTGCAAATGACAAAATTATCGTTGATGGGTTATCGTTCAAAAAAAAAAGATTATCGTGATGGGTTTCTTTTGGAGAAAACACTGATAGCAAAAATGTTGATAAGGAAAAGGACAGGCCAATCGTGTGCCACTCGTTGTCGACTTGTCACCTCTCTTTTTATTTTCCTAATTTTGTTGTTGAAAAAGTACTATAATTTTCTAGGCTGAAACCTCAATTACTTCGTACTCTATTTTATGTTAGGATCGATTTGGATCCAAATTAGTCCGATGTTCAGAAATCGGTTAAAGCAAATAACAGAAAGACGTACACGAGTTATAGTGGAAAACCAATACAACAATATCTTTTATTATATATAGTAGAATAACACTGCAGTCTACGCTAACAGTCTAACACCTGTACAAAATTATTTTGTACTAACACCTATATACTAAAGCTAGCTAGTGTTTACGTTGTAACATCAAAAATCTATCCCATAATCCATAGACGAACCACATCTCGATCCGTGGCACCTTAAACCCTAGAACCTCAACGTCACAAATGATTGAACACATCAATGAAGCATATACCAATAATATAGAACCCTAAAACAGGACAGGACGAAAGCACCCACTATATTGAACAATGACCAAGTAAAGAAGTTTAGGGAAAAACTCGATGTAACCAAAAGTACTTCGTTTTGTGGCCGATGATACTGCTTTGATTCAGCCGTACGATTAAGAAAATGTACCAGACTATTTTCTTAAAAAGAAAAAAAAGAAAAAAGAAAAATCAAAGTCTAAAGATGCAACTGTAGAAAAAAGACAAAGAAGATAAAGTTAGATCTTTTAAAAGTGATGACCAAGGAGGAAGAAGAGAGCGATCACTTGTTCTGTAGGCCTTCTATGCACATGTTGTTGCCTCCCTCTCGAATTTTCTTCTTCTTATATCAAAGTTAATTACATTTAGATATTTTTCTCAATTATTGAATTTTCCATTAATGAAGGAAACTAGCTACTAGAAAACACTAAATTAATTTTTTTTTTTAGGTTTTCATTATTTTTTATAAGAAAATCGTAAAACAATTCATGAAATAAAGTTTGTTTTTGGCTTTTTAGAAATTTAGGACACCGATTTATCTATGTATTTAGTAGTATTTTACTATTTTATAAAATGTCTTCTTTTTGTGTTTTGCCTTTTTAGTATTATTGGCTAGAAAAGTATAAATGGCCCCTCGAACTAAGATGTGTTTGTTCCAATCACCACGAATCTAACATATTCTTTTTGTTCAAAATAATTAGTTTGTAATTACACATTGTATCTATTTATTGTTTTGTTGCTTAAAACGAGAATTATTGAGGTTTAGTGGACCAGTACCTAAATAATTCTTACTCTGAATGGCCAATTGGATAATGCATGGATTTACGTGATCATTTGTTTTACTCCTAAATCGTCCGGAGTATAACACGTGTCAGTCTAGGATTCACTAACCGTTTCTAAATATCTAGCATTCAATATATGATACATTTGCAAAGGGAGGGAGTAACTACTACATAACATTCAGTTGTTCTGTTACACAATTAATCAAATAGAGGATTTGACGCATAATTTTGTTCTTATTGATAATGTTATATGAAATAGTTGATTAGAAATAGAAAATGAAGTTTTAGTGCATATATACTGTTATGAGGTTATCAGACTAAACTTATGAATAGTTTGATAATAATTGTTAGTGACATGTTCTCTAATTTTTTGGATGGGATGTGAGTTTAATCAGCTGTCGTTTTATTTTCCATGTGAACCAATATCTCTCAGACTGCTCACATAAGATTCGATCAAGAAATTTGAATAACTTTACAACATATATGTAATAGTCCATTGATTAAGTTTTAAAATATTTCCATCGCTCTTGCATTTTCACATAAACTATTGTGATAGAGATATACAGAATCTATAGATTGATTAAAGAAAATGAAACAGTGAGGTTCAACGAATCTAACAAATCAATCGGCAGCACATTCAGTTAATCGTTGAGTAAATATTAAAAAACAGCTGCATTTAGTTAATCAATGAAGTTAATTTTTCTAAATGACATTATTTATTGGCAATCCAATTTATCAGAGATCATTCATAGAAAGCTTTCATGGTATAAGATGGAGATTCTATATATTATAGTAGAGGTATCATGCACAAAAATGTGTATAAACTTAAAGTTCAATCATTTAGTATATGGTAAAGGTTTCAAAAATTATAAACATTTCCACATAAACGTATTCATGACTTCTCTTCTCTTCAAGCTCAATGCATGCTATAGCTATAAACCAGAATAGTATGTGGTATACAAAACTTTGTCTTGCTTCCAAAACCCAACAACCTTACGTTTTTTTGTAAACAAAACCTTACGTAAAGAACGTGAAGCAAGAAAAAGTCAAATGATTTTGCAAAGATTATGAGTTAAGTAGATTAACTCCATAGTCAATCACTGATTAGTTATGTTTAGCTGGCCAAATCACTTTTTCTTCAAATGAAAATCTCCTTTTAACCCAATCTTTAACAACTAAAACTGGCCAGCTACCAACAATATATACATCAATCTGTCAAAATCTCCCTCAAATCACCCATTATACTTCCACAATCCCTTCAATTCATATTTTAACTAAAATGTTATTAAATCAATAAATAAATAAAAAAAACTCCAATAACTCATCATTCCTGAATATCTGCACAATATCCGCCTAAAGTATTTGTATACTAAAAAGCAAACTAAAACTAAAACTGAAATATATCCGAGGTTTGAAGTTCGAAAGTTACTGAATTTGCAAATTTTTAAGTCAAAATTAAACGAAAATGATAGTATTATTTTATTTCTGAGCAGGTTTACGGCGCTATCAAACAGCAAAACGTTTGTTTCGACTTTCTATCGATGGACATTTATGAAATAACACGAAAAGCAAAATGAGCAAAAATTATAAGTTTCGGAATTACACCATTATTAAGCAAAACAAATTTGCTAACTCAAAAGCTCTATCATGTTTCGTTTTAAGTTTTAAAAAGTTGTAGAATCGCAGAATGACTAAACAGATATTTATCATTCCAAAATTTGCAGAACTATCACATAACTGTAACACATTTTCATAGACAACACCCATTTTAGTCGACATTTAAAATGAATATCAAGAAATTAATATTTTCCCTCTTTCTAATACAAAAGCTTGAGAAACACGAAAACTATCAAACTTTGCAAACAAAAACAAAAAAAGCTTAACAATTCATTTTAAGAAAATTAATATTCTCAAAAGAAACTAACGTAAAATCTCAACCTCTGTACAATGGAGATCGTTGCTGAAAAATCATTTTCGAGACTCTCGATTGCCGGAAAACCTTAATCGGGCTCGGAAAATTCCACCCTTTTCCCTTAACCGTAGTCGGAGCCGGCGAAAATCTCGATTCTCCGGCGACCGCAACGGATCTCGACTTCCTCATGATCGCCGGCTTCGTATCTCCTCCTCTGTTTCCAATCAACATCCTCCAAAACGACGACGCTTTCCTGCTCCTTCCACGATCCGATTCTAAACCCGACACAGAACCGATAACCGTATCCGGTTCAATCGGAACCGCCATCGACTTCGATCTCCGAAACGCCGGTTCGCATTCGATCAAACTCGCGACTCGGCCTACCGATCCAATTCCGGAGAAGCTAAAATTTAAATCTCCGCCGAAGAGGGAGAACGAAGACGACGACGAAGAAGACGACGGAGAGAAAGACACGGCGGCGCGTGAGCTACACGAACACGAGCAAGGAAGATAGTGAGCACAATCGGGACAGAGGGAAGAGAGTCGTTCGTGGAGACAAAAAGGGCAAACGCCTCCGCCGCCAATAAAACCGCGTTTCGAAAAGTGTTTGGGACATTGCGAATAACCATCTTCGTCCATTTTTTTGCGATAACTTTCTCTCTTTCACGTTCTCCGAGTTTGAAGAAGTGGAGAGAGTACAAAGGAGAGAGATTTTATAAAGCCTCTTTACTTCTGCGTTTTAACTACGGTTAAATTATTACTGCGTTTGGTAATTACACTAACCCCTATGGTTTAACTTAGAAGCATCGAATCCATTATTAAATTATGGAAGCGGCGTCGTTTCAGTAACTCACTGTAATAGGCTAATGGCGCATTGGTTGATGTTTATTTACGTTTATGCCATCCTCATTGGAACCATTCAGTTCATTCACGTGTGGCATGACTTTCGACTTGAAATCAAGTTTACATTATTAAATGAAACGAACTGAAATTTGTGAATACTATTTCAAATTTTGTTTCACAAATCAGGTTCAAACTCAATTGTTTCGGTTTTATATGCCAGACACTAATTAAATTCTATAGATAATGGAGCACAAGAGATGAGATACAAGAATGTTTTTTTGTTTTTTTGCATAAAAAGAGATTCAAGAATGTTAAATTATTTTTGAGTCCAAAGTCAAATTCATATGTTTTCATTAAAAGTCTAGTTGCTGATGCTTATTCAAAATCGAGCTAAAACACAAACCATAACCACGTCTATTTGTTTCTAACCAAAATAAAGTTTGTTTCAATTCCGGAAAAGAATGTTCTAAACCGTTGATCAGAAAGAAAATTTCTATACTGGTTAGGTTTCTGAATTTAATTGTAATTTTTGAATAGCCATCTTCAAATTTAAAAATTCAAAAGCATACATATATTGTAGATTGAGTTGTCTTAAAATATTCAAATGGATTCTACAAGTGCTCAAATCAAAATATTTGACGTGTAGAAATAAAAGCTTGTATGTGCTTAGATAAAGACAGTTCTGAGTTATGGAGACAAGCTTACTTACAAAGAAAGCGACCTGACCTGCTACAATTTTAGATCACATCCACTTGATTTTCTATGCAAAAATTGTAATTAACTCAAAGTTGTTGTGTGTTAAGATGAAACTAATCGTACCGGATAAAGTATATTAGCGTATTACATAGAGTCAACTTTGACCCCCAAAAAAAACTTTACATATACCTAAACATTTTGTAACATGTATTATGCAGATTTAGACTTTAATGGTGATACAAATAATATCGTTTTTTTTTTATTATTTGGGTTTTGTTGCGGATATATAATAACATTCCATTAACGTATCTCAGTATTCAGATTTCAGATAACTAAGTCATGGGCTATTCAGATATCTAAGTCATGGGCCTAAACCCGCTCAGTATGGGCCTAACTCTTTTAATTCCGAGCTCAAATACTCAACTAAAACAGTTTTTTTCCCCGACTTCAAATAAAGTGTTTTCTTTTGTCAAATCCAGATAAAAGAGCAGATTCGGGCATGTTACTCTTTCTATCGATGGTTTAGGAAGAAGATACCGGTACAATGAAAAGATGACGACCTAATAATAATTTTAACTGGTAAAAAAATAATGATACTAGCATAGATAATATTTTATTATTTTTAATTAAAAATGTATATTAGTTACAATTTACAAACAATCTAATCATATTTTTACTGCTTCAGAATGTTGATCGCCATATTTAATGATTTGTACCACTTTAACTTATAACGCTATTTTGTACCGCCAATTTTTGATTGATGGATTGATAACATATTCGAAGGTACACTTCATATCGCACGGGTCAACGTTTACAAACAAATGCATAGATTTTTTTGGTTGTGTCGTCCAAAACAGTTAAGATTTTGGAAGTGAATTGTACTTTTACCTGAAAAGCAAAAATAAAAGAATGGAGGAAAATAGAAGACACGTCAGATGACAAGTGGGTTATATGCCACGTGACAATAATGCCACTTCCTTGAGTTCCACTTCCACACAAGTTGCTGAATCTCTTTCCCAATGGCTCAACGCTTCGCGACAAAACATACACACACATTTGCTTTCTTTATACTGCAACACGTGGCAATCATCCAGATTATCTTCAGCTCTTCACTAGTCGACATGATTAAACAAACGCAAAACAGTTTGTTGTCCTCTTTGTTTGTTTTCCATCTAATTCAATAATTAGAGTTTGGAGAATTTATATACGCAATTCCAAGAACACTATCCTATTATTACTATCTTTTACGACCACATTGATAAGATATTAAAAAATAAAAATAAAAATAAAAATACATGATAAACAAATTTAAGTGGCTTGCTAATATTGTAAATATATAATTTGACGTAGTTGTGTCTGCATTTCACATCCTACAATCTTATAAACAAAGCCGAAAGATGCATAGTTTATTCGATAAATTGAATGGGTGCCAACCACCAAGTTGTACATAAATTTAATTATTTCTAATTTTAATTGAAATCGATAAAGATCTTCTATATAATAAGATGCTCAAGAAAGATAATTTAATATAATCGGGAAAATTGTTTTCGTGATTAATTCTCACAAGCATCGAAGTCTAGTATGAATATGTTTGATATTTAGATATGGTGGTAAGTGAAAAAAATATATAATATTATTTCGAAAAAAAGTATTTTTTATAATTTTTTGGGTAATATTTTATATTTGTTAATTTTTGGGGACGAAGAAAATATATTAGTATTGGATAAAAATATAATATTAACACAAGTTAGTGGACAAATCCATAAGAGACATAAAAATTCTAAACATGATATATTCTGATTAGGTATTTAGTCGTTTATTTCAGGCAAGCTACTAAAAAATATAAAAGGTTTTATACGGTAATATAGTATTAGAAACAATGCATAGAGAAAGAATTGACATAAACCAGAACCTCAAATAATTGGAACTGGAGAATATAAAATAAATAATGGAGCTAGTCTACTCTATAATTCATTATTAAGGATTAGCTGAAAACTTGGCCAACCCAATTAATATTTTCTCTGTTGCTTCATCCAAGACTCATCCCCCCTTGATTTGATACAGCAACACAATTTTTTGGAGGTTCTGGTTCGTAATCCAGTAATCTTCTACAAAGTATTATATAAATAATACTCTTATAAACCTGAGATTAACAGTGATGAAAGAAATGCCAGGAGCTATACTTTCTCTCTAAAGAACCATGGTGTTACTAAGGAGACTAATTTTACAGCTTTCACACATATATCATTTGTTGCTCATCATTAGTATGATTTATATGCTAATATTATTATAGATCGAACTTTTTATCATCAATTCTTTTTAAGTATCTTTATACTCGTTGCTTTCAACAAATTATGCAATTCAAGTCATTTGCATTGCTGTACGATAATCCTTTCTGCATTACGAAAAATGTTTTACCATCATGCAAAACCAAAACTAAACAATTTCATGATACATTTTGTATTATGAAATTAATGCTGGGTTTTAGTATTCATTAAAAGGGTAAACGAAGAATATGTTTTGTCACCATTAAATAAAGGAGGTTGATGGATAAAAATAGAAAACTTAAAAAGGAATAATATTAGGACAAAAAGATAGGTAACCAAGAAAGAGGTTAAGGATTAGGACAGAACATAAATAATGATAAATTTTGTAGAACCAAGAGTGTCCATCGATTAGGGTTGTCAGTATCTTTCTTTTCTCTTTGCACATTCACATCCACTAATGAAAGAAAGTTAATTTAGCATATAATAGTGGCATAAATCGTTGAATGCCAACTAGACATAATTAGTGACAACTATACATCAAATTTATTTTGAAATTCATATTTCTTTTTGTACATAGGTATCCATTAGTGAGGTGAGTATAGCCTGATTTTATTTGGTAATCGCTGAGTATAGTGTCATTTCTTAAACGCTTATTCTCTTTCTAATTGTGACCTAAAGATAATGTGGTTCCGGTTCGGATATAAACTTTGTCTAGTTTAATTTTATGTCTAAACGTTTGATCAAGTTTAAGAAACCTTTTTTAACCATGAGGTAATCATAGATCGAATTTCATACTAATTCCATAGTCTACAAAATTGTCATCTAGCTAGTAGTTATTTCAATCCTTATAATAATAATAATATGTTTTGTAACTTATTTAGGGTAAGTAAATAAATTCTTTGCACTGTAGTTTATGGTACTACAACAGAATAAACTGTAGTGTGCCTAGTGTCAATGATAATACATTTGGAATAAAAATTGAAAAAGTATGGTATTTTAGGATATTTACAATAAATAATGTTGTGTGTGTATGTGTGGAAATTAATAAATAATAAATAAATGTGAAAAGAAGAGGAAGAAGAAAGGAGGAAAGTGGGAGGGTGGGTTCGGTTCATTGAACCCTCCATAGCAAAAGCAATATCTCAGCTTCGGGTTTCAGGTTCGGTTTATAGGTTCGGGGAGTAGTCGACTTTTGAGCGGATAAGAACGAACGCCTCTTCCTTCTTGTTTTTACACGCGCAATCTCTCTCTCTCTCCTCTCCTCTCCTCTGCTCTGCTCTGTTCTCACACTCTCTCTCCTCTTTCTCTCACTAAAAACTGGCGATCGAAGAGAATCATCATCAGACTACTGTCAGAGAAATCAAACCCAATCACTGAAGACTCATCATGGTAATCATAATCCTCCACGAGTAGGAATAAAGATTTGAAATTTGTTTTGGTATTTCTTCAAATGGGTTCTCTTTAATTTGATCATAAACGCTCTGTTTTATTTCTTCTTCAAAGATCGATTCAAATTCCTCTTTATTCAGCTCTGATCAATCTTCCTTTTTTCCCACAATGGGTTCTTTCAAAAGTCGAATCTTTATTTCCACCAAATTGATTCTGTTTAAATTACTCTGTTTTTCAATAAGAAGTTAAGAACAGTACTCAATCGAATATTTCCATTTTTTTTTCTAGTTTGTTTAATTTCTGATCACTCTTATTATGGTTACAGGGAGCTGAAGAAGAAAACAATAAGAGATGGCCTCAATGGCTGAAACCTCTGCTTCGAGAGAAATTCTTCGGACAATGCAAATTACACGCAGATTCACACAAGAGTGAGTGTAACATGTACTGTTTAGACTGTACCAATGGTCCTCTCTGTTCTCTCTGCCTCTCCTCCCACAAGGATCATCACGCCATTCAGGTTCCTTTTTTGAAATCTCTGATTCTTGTTTAGATTCTTTCCATTTTCGGATTTACTTAAACATAAAGCTTATATCTTTTTTTTTACTGACAGAGAAAAGTTAGCATATGATTAACAACCAAATTTTGTTAGTTTTGGTTGGTAATCTACCTTTTTTTTTTAATATTTGTGGTGATTTTGTTTTGACAAATTACAGATAAGGAGATCATCGTATCACGATGTGATAAGAGTATCGGAGATTCAGAAATTTCTGGACATATCAGGAGTTCAGACATATGTGATTAACAGTGCTAAGGTTGTCTTCTTGAACGAGAGACCTCAGCCACGACCAGGCAAAGGTGTGATCAACACCTGCGAAGTCTGTTATCGGAGCCTCGTTGATTCCTTCAGATTCTGCTCTCTTGGTTGCAAGGTAAATAAAATGTTCATTTTTCTCGTGAAAATGGGTGAGAAAAAACAGAGCCAAAAGACTTAATCAATGTCATTTGATCTTAAATGCTTTAGGAGTTGGTTGTGTGTTGTTTGGTACTTGATGGAATTGAGAAAGTAAGTAAGAGATCCTATGGTAAAATTGCGGGAAAATCAAGTTGTCAAGGTCAAATTATTGGGTCTATAACCATATATTTTTACTTGCAGAGAAAATTAACTCAATAAAAATGTAGGTTTTGGGGTCAATGTAGTGAGCCAAAGGGTATTTTAGGTAGGAAAGTATATTAAGTGTGTAAACTTGGTTGAATAGGTAAGCTAACTACTATTCAATACTACTTTTCTTTGTTGATACTAATTTTGTGGTTAGACCGTCATTTATTCTTTAATCCCTTGTTTGATGGGAATTGAGAAAAGGACTTAAATTAAGGGATTTTCTTGTTGGGTGGGCGAGAAAATGTGGGGCAATGATAGCAACTCCAAGAAATTTTGGAGTTGAAAAAAAATAATAGCATTTGGGTTGACGAGAAAGTAGGGGAGACAATTCCAAGTCAATTAAAGAGAGCTTCCTTCTTAAGTTATCTCTCATTTTAAAGGTCTTTTCATTTTCACACTTTTTTTTCCATGGCTTTCAACATCTTCATTGTTTATAGGAGACAATTACTAAGAAAACCCTAGCAACGACGTATTTACATTGTGAATGATTAATCTTTATTTTTTTATTAGATTTCCGGAATCGCGAAGAAAAGAAAGGATTGGACGAACAATCTTTCAGACTCGGATGATTCTTATAGTAGTACTAGCATCGGGAAGCTCAAGAAGAACGATGATAGTTTCACACCATCAACACCGCCTCTATCAGCCGTGAATCGCCAAATTGCAAAACGAAGGAAGGGAATTCCGCACCGTGCTCCTTTTGGAGGACTAATCATCGAATACTAAGAAAATGGTAATCTATAGTCTTATGCATTAATAACAATCACTAGTAGTTTATGGGGGTATATATGTATGTATATATATGTCTATAAAGGTGTAAAGCAATGTAAAAAGAAAAGCTTAACATAATAGTGTCAAGTAGATATGAAGGGCGTAAAATGTGGGAAAGATAGTAGAATGAAGCATGAAAGGAATACTTGTGCCTGTATATTTTGGGCTCAAAGGGTAAATATGTACATGTAGAATAGTGTTGTGGAAAAAGACAATAGTAATAAGTATGTGACGCAATGCAAATGTGAATGAAATAAAAGCATTTTACTTTCTATGTACTTTGTTTCTTGTTTTTTTGTTCATAGTATCTCATTTATTAGTTTCTTGAAATATGATGTGAACTTGTATTTTTTTCTGAAAAGTATATGCATAGCTAAATGATTCATTGCAGATAATAGGGAGAAATAGGAAAGTTGTTTCACTTAATTCATTGCCATTATTAAAATGGTCTTCCTAACTTTCAAAGTTGCCATTATGAAAATATCTGATTATTTGACTTTGGAAGAAGAAGAAATACAGTACATGAGGCAAAACAAAACCATCTAAATTTTTTTTTATCAAACGTTGACTTTAGTTTTTCTAATTTTAAGTAGAAGAAATAAATGTTTCTTTATATATTCAGTTATTAACTACTGAAACTTGCTTACATTAAGTTGGAGTGCTGATTCCAATAATTTTGTATGACTTGTTTCCTGTTTAAAGATGATTTTTTTTTTTTCATATTCAAGAAGATCCCTAAGGCAAAGCCTAAACCAATCACTTAGATCTCTTGACAAACGTTCATAATTCTCAACTTAGATTAAAACACAATTCAGAGATCAGTACTGTAATCATTGTATTACGTACTATGCAATGCAAAATCGATAATATCAATGATTCAATATGTATGTGAATCAAAGACAAACAAAATTGCTGAATCTAAACACATTTCTGAAATGATTGATGGTCTAGATGTCTAACCGACCTATTTCAAGAACACTTGTTGTTTAGTTGTTACCATGCATCTTCGATAAAGATAGTTAAAGAAAAAGGTAAATAGGTTAAAAAGAAAAACTCATGCTTTCAGGATTTGAGCATGAGTGTTGAGTTTTGCACGTGCGGTAACTTAAAAACCCACGTGTAATACTTCGTATTGGCAAACAAGAATGGCTTCGAGAGAAGAGAAGCCATGATGCGTTTTTGGGAATAATAGAAAAGAGAAAAGACAGAGTCCAACGGCATCTCTCTGTACTGAGAGTGGGCTTTTTTAAAATGGGACCGATTTATAGTCATCATCTTCTTTTTTTGCCCATCCGATCTCTCAAACGGCAAGTATACTGCCGATGATGTAACCATAGCCGTTGGATTCTCCCGAACTTGTTAGAAACGTGACACACAATTTTTTAAAATACACACTTGTGAATCATTTCTTGTTTCGTCATTTCACTATTTTTTTAGTTCATAATAGTACTATTAGTACACTATTAAAATAGAAAAAGGAACAATTCTGGAACAAGCATGTGTCATGATGTTGCCAAACCCACTCACACCACGTAAATTGTTTCGTCCGATTGTCCAACAAATATTAAAATGTAATAAAAAATAGTGATTGTTTTACATTGATTCTTCTTAGCTTTGTTTGTAGTGATAATCCTAAAGCCAAGTGGTGGTATGTGGGTTACTGAGATATGGGCGTGATTGGTAGCAGCTGTAGAGTCTCTCCACAGCCAAAAATATTTCTACAGCATTGAAACCCAACCAATCATGCTTTACATTTCATTTTTAAAGTTACAGCCAAAATTACAAAAAAGGAATATTTTTGGCTGTGTAAATCATAATTCCTAGAGCACCAAAATATGTGTTTTCAACTTTTCTCTCACTTCTTTCGTATTGTCTTTTTATTTTATTTTCCTTATTTAACTTTTGTAGTTTCCATTAAATATAAATGCATAATATATATATATATATATCTACATCTTATATACTTTGTAATATATAAACAATAATATCTAGCACTAAAAAATATAGACAATAATATATAGCCCTTTCTAACCTTTATCATATAAATAATGTAGATATTTCAATTCTATAAACTATATTGATTTCATATATAATGTCTTCTACATTTGATTTTTTTAAAATATTATCAGATAATTTTTAGTTTTACAGTAACATATATAATAATTGTTAAGTTATATATTTTTTGTTCCATATAATTTAACTTTTTTTAATTTATTGATATTAATTTGTTTTCTTATTAGTCATTAAATACAATAAAAATATTAAACTACAGCATACAACTAGTAGTATTTACCAATCATGCTTTCATATTAAAAATTTATAGAAATTTTTTTAAAGTTACAGCAAAAAAATCTACAGCCTAAATACTACAGCAAAAAACTTAAAGCTACCGCACCTACCAATTAGGCCCATGATTTAAATCCATACAATACAAAATAAAATAAACAGTTTGTTTTGATTTATGAACTAGGTGACCAACATCCACCTACCATTTTATACACTAAGTTGATTATAAATATTACAAATCCACATGATAGCTAGTGCTCTCAATACATAATCTAACTAATTTATCAAAGGTAACGATACGTTCGAATTAGGGGTTATAGACCACGAAAGTTTAGATCATTCTAACATTTACGTACACCCAAAAAGGAACAAACTTTAGATCATGGGAATAGAAACCTGATCTGATTTCACAAGGATAAATTTAAGATTTCTATGTTACTAGATCGATCATGAAAACTTCTTAAGGAAAACTACCAGATAAAACTAACTGAAGAACAAGAGACGAACATGATGAACATTTCTACTGTTCTATCAACTAATAGTGAACCAAAAAAACAAACTCTCACAAAAACATGAGATTCTCAACCTGACCAGAGGAGAGAGACTCATAACAAACACATTTACACTTCTTTCCTGCTATGTCAACTCTTCTCACTCTATTTCCCTTCACATCATAGTAAGAAACACCATCCGATTTGAATGATCCCGAAAAGATAATCTCACCTGTGTTAGTGTCGGTGCTGTGAAACCTCTGAGAGCTATCAAGATACGCGTGTCTTGATAAAGTAGGCAAAACAAAAACCTTCCTCGACCACTTCTTTTTAGCAGCATCTTTAAGAACCCACAAACACATGTTAGAAATGACGTCTCTTTCAAAGAAAACGACAGCTAGCTTTCCCTCGTAGCATGTCAGCTTCGAATAATTGCGATAGATCATTTGAGGTCCTTTGGTAATATCAAGCTTTTTGGCTTTGATAAGATGGAGTTTTTCTGATCTGACATCAAAACTCACGATCGCTGAGTTCTTTAGTTCCTTGCCAGTAAAAGCTCGATAGTACAAAACACCATTGATGCACAAGTCTTGACTTATAGGAGAGTGACGTGGAATATTATCTTGATAAATCCTCTTCCAAGAATTCCCACTTCCTAATGTCAAAACCCATATCTCCGAGGCTAAACCGCGTGTGTTGCCAAGACTCGCCGATTTCGTGACGCACAACACTTTATAATCATTGTCGATGGGATCAAAGCTTAAGTATGTGTTTATGTGTGTACTCTCTGAATAGAGCTTGGGCAATCTAATGGATCATCTAGTGCACGGGTTATATATCCCGAGTCTAGAACCAGATCTATAGCAAATCAAACCGTGAACAGAAGAAGTAGCAATAAACGTGTCCTTCCTTGCGCGGCAAGTCACATGGTATGTGGTTAGAGAAGCATTTGAAGCTGATGATTCATGTGCTTTAAATCTTGGGTGCTTCGATCGCGAGGTTGAATCTTTATCTCGTCTGTATATCAAGACGAGACCTCTTGGTCTATTTAAGGACTCTTTCAAGAATAGTTTCATGAAATCTGGATTGCGTATGACTGAAGCCCAAAGCTTAGATACCGAGAGAAATCTTGTTAGGGTTTTCACCGGGAATTGTTTGAATATCTCCATCAGGAGATCAACAGGAAGAGAGTCTAAGCCGCATTTGCTTCGCTTCGTAACTTTCTTCTTCTTCTTCATAGCTTCCATGGCGGAGATAATGAAAATTTCGGCTTCACTAAAGGATTTTAGGTTTTTGTTTTTTTTAGTATGAATGTTAAAATTTTAGGGTTTTAGGTTATTTATAGCATAAATATGTTTTACAATCTACATTGGGCCCAGTTTATACCACATAGAGTATATAAACATGCTAAATTTAAGCCCATGGTAGCACAAAAAGAAGGTTTTGATAACTCGGGCAGCTCCATTTATTTGACCGTACCGTACAAACAAGAGAAAACACGTTTCTGTCGATGAGGCCACGTGTATCTCGACCGCTATGACGTGGCATCGATCCTCTCTGTTATTAAAAACTTTTGCTTCTGAAGGCAAAAATGAAAAGCAAAACCAAAGTTGATCGGAGATGTCGTCTGCGCAAATGGACCCACGCGACAAGATGAGATCACGTGATTTGAGTAAAGTCACTAGAGGCCAGCAAGAGCCAAGACCAGCCCATGATCCTGGCACGGTGTCGCCGCCACCGCAGAACGAGGCCACGTTTCGAGCTAAGAGAGGAGAAGACGGCGGAGATGGTGGAGGAGAGACGGATTCGGCTGCGGACGAAGAGGTTCCCGTGACTAATGAAACGCGACACTGCTTCAATCGGTACATGCAATATAACAAGTAAGTTTTTGTAAAGATTATACACTAAATAAATGATTAAGATTATACATTTACAATTACAAATGTTTTTAATTTTAATGCATAGGTGTGTTGAGATTAAGGGAAGAGATGCGAATGATTGTAACAACTTGAGAGATTATGTACGTTCAATGTGCCCTGAAAATTTGGTAAGCAAATATTTCGTTATATTTATTCTTTTTTTTTATATCAAAAAGAACGTTTTCATTCAGTGAAATTGATCTTTTAATGTTTTGTCTTTTGTGAAAAGGTTGAGAAATGGGAGGAGCAGAGAAAGTCTGGGACATTGCCATCATCAATTTAAAGATTAGACTATCACATAAGAGAGTCTCTTGATATATAACCAGAGATGTTTTAGCTTGGTCTCGTTTTGTGGAATGTCAACATTACTAAAACTAATGATAAATCAAATAAGTAAGTTAATTAAATTAGCCAAGATTATGTAAAATTTCCTTCGGCAAAGAAAATATATATATCAATAAAAAGCAAACATACTTCTCGAATCCCCCAGTTTAGATTTCAGTCACAAGAACATTTTTGTCATGCACTCGAACATTCCTTCTCAAGATCATACACCTATTTGTCATACAATCGAAGAACAATAAATGCAAAAGAATGGCTATCAAGTGAAACCTACAAAAGACTCATACCAGAACGAAAACATTTTAAAATGGAATGATGAAGCAAAACCCGGTAAGGCTCGCAAAAGTTTTGTGCAAATCAATGTTATTTGTGTTTCTGCCGATTTACTTCTACTTTGAAACTTTAATCTGACTCACATCATCTGGTATCATTCATACAAGCTCTGATACCAAATGTTATGATCGGATGAAAGGTGCAAAGTAGGAGTCAACAGACAGAATGATTAATACTGGTTTTTTGTTGATCAATTTCAACATTCTTATATACACAACCGATGTGCAACTTGATCAACCAAAAGATCCTACAAAAAGGGAATTTAAGAGATATTTGGAAATTATCTTATCTTAATAATTGATACAGATTACAGACCGATTCTTACTCGGTAAATCAGGAAACAAATCTTGACAAATCAAATATTCTGACCAAATCAGAAAAAAACGATCCAAAAAGGATTTAGGCTTTATTAATTTAGGCTCTAATTAGAGAAAAAAACGTATTGGGCTTTTACTTAGGCCCATAAAAGTGACTCACGTGGCAAAATTTTAATAACCGGAGCCCTAGACCCGCCGCGAAATCGTTCGGAGAGGAGAGAGAAAGAGAGAGGTTGTCTCAAAATCAGAGAGGTAACCAAAAAAAAATAACTCTTTTCGATTCCTAAATTTGTTGTTACTCTTAAGATTTTTTGGTCGTTAGCTTTCTCAATTGTTGAATAACGGTTTTAGTTTTAGACCGTTAATTATCCGTTTTCATATATCTCCGGTGAAGAAAGATGTCTGCTTCGTCACCGTCTCTGAGTAACAATGGCTTCTCCGTCGCCGTCACGCCTCCCAAAACTCTCCGTGGTCTTAACAAGCCCAAGTGTATCCAATGCGGCAACGTCGCTCGCTCCAGGTACCTCTCTCTTTCTCTCGCTTCTACGCATTGTCTCGTCGAAGGATTAGATTTCTCACATCTCGGATTTCGATTTTGAAATCTTAGTATGTAAATCTGAGGCTAAATCAAGGATCTTTATTCAGATTGGGATTGGATTTCTTCTGTATGCTACTGTTTTGCTTTAATTTAGGGTTTATGATATTCTTCTCTTTTTCTTCTTCGCTTGCATAAAGTTTTGACCTTTAGTTTCCAACTTCCAACTTCTGTTTACACTGAAAGTATCAACCTTTCGAGAAAATTGGGAGCGAGTGATATTGATTTTTGTTGATTGAATGTGATCAATGCAGGTGTCCGTTTCAATCTTGTAAGGGTTGTTGTTCAAGAGCAGAAAACCCCTGTCCGATTCACGGTATGTTCATTAGATTTGAGATGATTTATCAGTTTAAAGGAATCAGTTTTGAAGCTCAGTGTTGATAACTGCGTAAAGTATCACTTTTTAGGGGAAATTCTTGTATTGGTTTCTTTCACTTTACAGCTTACCATTGGACAATTAAACACAGTAGAGAACTCGGAACAAGAAAGTAGTATCGTAAAGATTGATTCTTTAAGAGTGCTTGTGATAAGCATGAGAGAAATAGAGATGTTATCTCATGGACTGTTTGGTGAGTTTTCGTTTCTTATGTGTTCTTCTTGCTGCAGTTCTTAAAGCAGCTTCGACGTCTGCTGAGAAGACGCAGGCGCCAAGTACTCCGTCTTCAGAGCAGAAAGCATCCGAGAGCACTCCCGGGTACATAATATACAAAACCATTCTTCTTATTCTCTGTTGAAGTAAAAGATGGTTCCTTTATATTGACATTGTTCTTCTGTTGGAAACTGCTTCAGGAGCACAACTAGAGTTTCATCAATCCGCCAGCTATCCCAGATTAACAACTTGAATGCTTCTTCACGCCTGAGAAAGCCTTTGTCGATAAAGGTACTAGCTAACTAATTAAGACGTGTCTCCTTAGACTCCTATTAGTTGTTTTCCCTCTCTCTTATCAGTCGTTGTTCTTGTCTACATTCTCTTAGGACGCTCAAGCGTTAAACGAGTGGCGGTTTAAGAAGCTCAAAGAGTATAAAGACAGAAACATTGAAGTGGAAAACGAAGCGTTTGATCGGTACATGAGCAATGTGAATTTACTAGAGGAAGCCTTTTCTTTGGCATCTGTTCCTGAAGAAGAGGATCCTGGAGCAGCAGCTTCTGAAAGACTTGTTTCGGAGCTTAAGCTGAGGCTGAGATCGAACTCTGCAAGAACAGAGAGTTTCAAGAAGCGGATCGCAGAGACTGTCAAAGCCGGTTTGATGAAGGTTAAGAGGACAAAATTCGGCGGTAGATCAGATGATCAAGATGAAATCAAAAGACGGATCAAAAGAAGTAAATTGGATGAGAAAACTTCAGCTATGAGTGAAGTGATCGATAAAGTGAACAAAGCAAGAACCGAAGAGGATCTCAAGTCTTGTGTAGAGATGAAAACAAAGCTCTGTGGTCATGTTTCTTCTTCCAATGAAGCATCATCATCAGAGAAGAACAAGCTTTTACATGGTGATAAGCGACTAGTTGAGATCAGCGAAGAAGCACTTCAAAAAATAGAGGAGCATTTCCAGTCTTGTGACCAAGTTTTAGCTTTGTGAAGATGAAGAAGTTAATGAATCGAATGTTCGGCTGGCGAGAAAAAAAACAATCCTTTATGGTCCATAGGTATTGGATACTATGATCACAGATCTATCAAAGCTGGTCATGGAGATTTTCTTGTAAAGTAGTCGTTGAGAGAGCTTGTTGGATTTCTCATTGATCTATCTCACTGTATGTTGCCTTTTTAGATTTAATCTTGCTCATTGGATTACTAATAGAACAACCTTTCCTCAAGAATCATTTGATTATGTTAAAAACTCATAAATGAAGATGAATTTGTAGTATTGTCTATTATTGATGTTTAGAAATTTAATGATTTAAGGAATTGCCTCAAATTAAAATAAAACCGTTTATACACGAATTTGTTTATATTTTTAATCGTTAATTCTGATCTAAAAATGACTAAAAATTAATCAAAAACCATGTGATTAGTTAGACAATAAATACGTACTGTATATATATTATTTCTCTACGTAAAAATTACTCTAGTTAGACAATAAATACATACCAGAATACGTTAATTTCTTAAACTAGACTGTCATGTTTGTAATCTCAGCACGTCTAATGTGGTAGATGAACCTTTCCCATTTTTAATTTGATTAGTATGGTTGGAAAAATTGGAATAAAAACGATTCTTGAAAGCCTGAAAGGTAACGAAACCACCGACTTTAACAAAAATTTGGTTTGGTCTAGTTGAACCAGTCTTTTAGGGGAAAAATATCTATCATCTATCAATAGTTCATTTTCAACGGGTATATATCGTACAATGCATGCGATATCTTTGAAAATGACTATAACCAAACTTTTAGATTCTCATTTTGTTTTGCAGCTCCAGTTCCACTATCAATCGAAATAGATCCAAAAGTTATTGGGAATTAAAAGAACCTTTCATTTGGTTCCTGATTCAACCATATCCATATATTAATATATAAGCATGTTATTCATGTCAGCATATATGTACGTATTTATTTGTATAAACTTATACATATGTCGATGAGATCGTTCATTTTGCAAACCAACACAAAACATGTTGAATGGGTTGTTGGTTGGGACCTAATCTTAAGATGAAACAACTCAAATGCTCTCATTTTAAGCTAAGCTTTCAATATTTGTTTACCACCTAATTTCTAATTCTTAATTGTTAAGATAATAACGTAACATGGGGACAGGTAATTAATGTAACCAGACGATCTTATGTAAAAAAGAAGAAAATTATCAACCAAAAAAGATATATATACTCAATATAAGTACTAAATTAGATTAATTAATAATTTAAAAAGTGGGAAGAAAGTTGCTGTCTGATGACCTAATTATATGTTCTTCTATTGTGCTAAGGAAATAAAAGGTGTCAAGCAAGTTTCACACATGTTATGATTAGTGCCCTTGCACTTCATTTTCTTGTTGCTAAAGACTAAAGAGATTAGTGGTTTATATAATCAACATTGTTTAGTAAAATATAGAGAGTGCAAAAGTATCCAAAGCTTTTATATATCTCTCATTAGATTTGGAGAAAAATATATGCTTGAATCTACCCCTTTTGTAAAAGAACAATGTGGTAGTCTTATTGAAAAAGAAAGTTACTACTGAAAAATACTTGATTTAAAAATGAGTTGATAGAATACAAAACTCGGTTACCGAATAAATAGTACCAAATTTCGGTTTCCGATTCTCTTTGTTTTACACTTTATTTAAAATTTTCTAGGAATATGCGAGAGTAATGGCGTGGTTGAAGACACGAGAGAGAGAATCCTGAAGAAAAAGCCAAAGCATTAGAAGAAGAGATTTGCAAAAGAACAAACCAACCCAAAAAGAAAGACTCTTTCTTCTCCATTGCCTCTCTCTCTTTCTCTATATTTATATATTTCTCGTAAAGAGAGAGAGAGACAGAGAGAAAGAGAGTGAAAGGAGGAGAAAAAAACAGAGTTAAGAGTTTCAAATACGTTCACATGATAACGACGGAGCTTTTGGTTTTGAATCATTAAATTTTGATTTTCTTTATTCTCTTAAGATTTGTTCGTTTCACTCGAATACGGTAAATGGAAAATGGCTGTTGAAGCTCAACAACACCATTCCTCAAATCTCCTCTTCCTCAACAACAGGTCCATTTTTTGCTCAGTAAATTTTTGCTTTTATAAATGTTTTTCTCTGTTACTGATTACAGTTTTATGTAGAAACGGGAAAGAGGAAGAACAAGATTTTTCGTTGCAAGCACATGCTGGAGATTTTCTTGATCAAACCAATATGTTGTTCATCAATGAGGGTTCGTAAAGTTCTGTTATTTTCTTTCAAAATTATAAAAATTTGGGATCTTTTTCAACAAGTTAAGAATGTGTGTGTTGTGTCTTTCTTTAGGTTCTAATCAGAGAAAAAGAGGAAGAGAAATGAACAATCATCAGCAATTTTCTCTGCAGTCTCAGTTTCCTCAAGTTATAAACTTATCTCTATTACACAACCAAAATCAACCGCCGTCGAATATGGTCTATACAGGACTCCGGTTATCTTCCGGCGAAGAACAGACACGAAAGATGTTTCAGCAGAATGGTCACCATCGTAATCTTGTCTTTAGCTCGTATGAAGATGTTGTAGCTACACATATTAATAGGCAAAGCGAAGAACTGGAGGAGTTTCTTCGTGCCCAGGTTTTGATTTTGTCTCAGACTAATTGGGTTTTGGAAAAGTTTTGATTTTGATCTCACCGGAATGTTAAAAGTTAACTTTTGCATAGGCGGAGGAGCTACGGCGCACATTAGCGGAGAAGAGGAAGATGCACTATAGAGCGCTGATTGGTGCTGTGCAAGAGCCGTTGGTTCGTAAGCTGAGGGAGAAAGAGGCAGAGATAGAGATCGCCACGCGCCGTCACAATGAGCTTGAGGCGCGTGACGCGCAGCTTCGAGCGGAGACGCAGGCTTGGCAAGCTAGAGCCAGGGCGAATGAAGCCGCCGCCGCGTCTCTGCAGGCTCAGCTGCAGCATGCCGTTAACATACGCGGCGGTGTGTCGGCGCAGGATAGTGGAGCGGATGGAGAAGGGCTATTGTGCGCAGCGGAAATGAGCGGATTGGAAGACGCCGAGTCGGCCTACGTGGATCCAGAGAGGGTGATGTGGCCAAGATGCAAAGGTTGCCGGAAAAGGGAAGCGTCGGTGGTTGTGTTGCCTTGTCGGCATTTAAGCATCTGCCCGGGATGTGACCGGACAGCTTTAGCCTGCCCGTTGTGTCTCATGTTGCGGAACTCAAGTGTTGAAGCTATTTTTTGCTAAATGGGCCAAATTCAAGCCTTTTACTAGTTTGAAAATCGCACATACAACATTTTAGGAATATTTGAATTGGAAATATATATTTGGGAATAAATTTCATCACTAGGTATCGACCATGGACATGGTTATCAAATTCACATGATAATTATTGTTTTTTTCAATCATCATATTAATAAAAAATATTAAAGATTTTATTATACCCCCATAATCAAGTCTTTTCTTGTAGATTTTTGGGGTTTTACCAAACTATATCTATAATTTCTGTCAAAAATTGAAAATTGATATAAATTACAACTAATCCATCCAAGTTTTTTCTTCACATCAACACAGCAAAAGTCCATCTGCCTCTCCAGATATTGACAACTCAGTTTTTTTAAACTTTCTGAAACTGACACCTCATTAAAATCGTCCAGAAACATTCATTTAATCTTTGTTAGCTTATTTTCTGGTTTACTTGCCACGTTTTAAACCATAAAACTCGGTTTGATTGATTTCTTCTTCGTCCACCGACCCGGCTCTCCATCGATTCCGATACATCTCTCTCTTTTTCGATCAGAGCTTCTTCCTCTTCCACTGATTTCGACTTCTTCGCTCACCATCGATTTTGATTTCTCTCTATTCCTGAATTGTTGTGATTTCCGCATGATAAGGCTGTTGTAGCTAAAGAATCGAATAGGATTTTGGGTGACTTTCAATCGAACTTCTTCAGAGGATTTTTGAGTTATTTGATTTCTAGGGTTTTAGATGAATCTGTGATTCCATTTTGCTAATTCACGCTTGGATTTGTTAGATTTTCTACCTTTCATGGGTTTTTCCCCAGTTTTCGGTCCACAGTTTAGCGATTTTAGGCTTTGTTCCTCTATGAGTGGTAGATTTAATCATTATGCTTTTCAGAAACTTCTTATCTACAACGAAATTGTGAAGATTGAGAACTGGATCTACTTCTCTATCGTTGAATCGTTGAATTCAAAAAATATTCTTTTTTGATCGCAAATTTTTTTTCGAGTTCTTAGCTTGCTTAAGAACTCCGGTTTTTTCGAGTTGTTTCAAACTCTGGTTTGTGGATATTCCATTGGAGTCAATTGGGTTTATTATCTCTTTTAGCTTAGTTTGAATTTGGTGTGCTTGATTGTTCTATATGTTCATTTGTATGCAAATCTTTGGTGGAATTTATCGTCTGCAACGTCTCTTTGGTAGCTAGGGTGCTTGTGTGTTGAAGATTGTTTCAGTAAACCACTTATAAACTAACATTCTTTTATGCGTTTGACCAGAAACTAGCCATCCTTGAAGAGTAGCTCAGACATTGTCAAATCATTACAAGCTTGGAGTGGAGAGCTTCTTCAGCATTTATCAACTTGGTCATTTGAAGTATTGAATGATACGGTTACAAGACAGACAGGCTGCAGTTACTTGGGGATGCAGACTGCAGAGGTCGCAAAGACAATGGTGTATAATGAGATTTAGAAATATAAGGAGAACTCAGAAGACAAAAGCTTGATTTCTCCTAAACTCCAGTTCAGGGAGGGAAGTCGAGAAGGTACTCATGAAAGAACAAAGAGATTATATTGTGATTAAGAAGAAGAAGAAAGTTTCAAACTTGGTCAAGTTTTGAAATTGGTAAAGATATGACAATGAGAAGTTTAGTATGATCTTTGTTGTATTGATTCAAAGTTTTTTTTTTTTTTTTTTTTTTTTTTTTTTTATTTTTTTTATTAAGTTTCACATTGTTTTAACTTGTAATTTGTTTATCTGTTTTGCACATTTTAATGTATACTTAGCATAAAGAAACTAATGGATTTAGTGATCTACTAAATCGTCAAATTTTCTTCTTTTCGTGTATATTTTTCACACATATATCTCCTTATATAATAGGGAACTAATACTATTTTTCCTTAAGATTTGTATATATATTTGTACTTTTGATTTCATACTAATCGAACAAAAATGATCTATATATGTATATATTAATCATGATAAAATATTACATTTTATAAAAGTCTAAAATTGATTGCTCCGGCTGTGATGAAAGATTGGTGAGGCTTTTGCTATTATCTTTTGAAGTTTAGTTTTAGATTTAGTTTGAGGATTTTAGTTTTGTTTATCTCTGTTTTCCTTTAGTTTGGGTTTATGTTTCCCGTTGTGTGGGCTTTATTTCCCGTTGTGTGGGCTTCTTTTCCGGGGAGTTTCTTAGTCTTCCTCCGACTTCATGTTCTTGTATTATAACTTGTTCTATTCAGATGATATTAAAGAAAAAAAAAGTCTAAAATTGACTAGCTCAAAAAGAGTGGGCAGCCATTGACGAGTATCAATAAAGAGTTGCCGGTTCGAAATATCAACATTCTAAATGTGTGTATGTTTCTGTTTCGAACTCTTTTGGAACAAATAGTAAAATTTGAGTGCATCGTAAATAAAATAAGAAAATAGATATTAAAACAAAACATTACGTACTACTGCAGCATAGCGAGAATAATATGCAATAAAGCTATAAAAGTGAAAAGATGAATAAGTTAAAAAGAGGCCTTCATAATAAGTTACCACTTAGGTTAAATTGAGTGTAAAATACATTGTTGATGTTAAGATTCTGTGGCTTTGAGCATCAATGAAGCTCATATGATCTTGATCTTATAAGTTATGTTCTCTAGAATTACATAGATCCTTTTGTAACAAAATGAAACAAAAATGTGAACTGGACTATTAAATGACGAAGAGACCCCAAGACTTTGCAATTGTAAGGATATATACACAATACAAACACAAACACGGGTATACCGTATACCAAAATTATATGATTTTATATGTGAAAAACCTAAAAATACTAAAATATATATATATATATATATATACTCCGATTTTTTTTGAACGACTATAAATACTCCAATCAACTTAACAAGTTCAACTTAATCTTTTAAAACACCATAAAAAATACGACAAAATTTTACCGCGGCGTAGCGCGGGTACCAACCTAGTTTTATCTAATAGAACCCATCCAAACTATCGGAAAGAAACTATTCGAACTAATCCTATCAATTACATGTGAATGCCCAAAGCCTCAGTTTTGTGAATCTGACTTCATCTTGAAATAAATCTGGATGTAGATCACTAGATCTACTTAGAAAACTAATTCTGGCTAAATACTTTAGGTTTTTTTTGGTAACTCAGTATAAATCCTAGTTCTATGGAGATGCTTAGATTAATCTCAAAGATCCATGTGGCTAGTCTAGATAGGATAAATCTAGTAATTTCGATTCCTGACCTAAACCAATATAACACTTCTCTATTAAGTAGAAACCACTAGACCACCACCACTTGGTTAAAATTAAGGTTCAGAAAGTAAAAAACAAGACAATCTGTTTCACCACCAAATATGAAAGATTCTCACTTCAGATCATAAACGAGTGAGAAAAATATACAAAATTACCGCAAATAGGAACAAGCCACAAGACCAATACAACAGCTATGAACATTAAACCGATCAATGTCAAAAGGTTCAATGTACTTTGACATTAAACATAACAACACAAATATCAAGTATTTTCTTGTTTCACTCGAACAAATACACACGTACATTTACTACGATAGGAACTCTTCTAAAAAGAATACGTATTTCCAGATATTTCTCCTTAGGAGTTTTTTCTTAAGCAATCAACAGTTTTTAGTAACTAAAATGATCTCGTACACGTAAAACACAAATACATTAATTATAACATTCATATCAGAAGTGACCTAGGAAAAGCTTATAGCATGTATCTACAACAAAATACAAAAAAAATAAATGACATGAACAAGTTGAGTTTAGAAGTAGAAGCACATACCGTAACAATATTGCATACCTAATTGCATTTTATATATACCCCGTTCCATATGCTTCGTTGCCACACACAGTCAAAAGCAAGAGAGAGAGAGAGAAAAAAAAAAAAGAAATGGCGAAATCAAATGTATATCTCATCTCCATACTAGTCATCATGGCCTCACTCTCTCCCCTTTCACACGGTCTTATAATTCCCGGCTACAACATAACCAGAGTCGTGATTGAGGGTGTCGCGTATTGTAGGATTAACGGACAGCCTAACCCTATCTCGAATGCCCTTGTTTTCGTAACATGTGGCGGCTCAACCATCACCCTCGCTGAAACAACGACTGATCTCAACGGTGTCTTTACCATAGTTCTCGACATCGTCAGAACAGCTTTGTTTAGCACTAGTTTCTGCGGTCTCGGATTTACTCTTCCGCCGGGATATACTTGTGGTATTGTCGCACCGGACAGCAGCGTCACTACTACGTTAGGGTTTCTCAAAGCCGTCGGTGATACCGCTTTTTATGTCGCCCGCATATTTATCTGATGATATACTCTCATGCATGGGAAGCTTTTCTGCATGTTACATAATAATGGTCTTATTATATTGACGTGTCAGAAGAAAGAAAGAAATAAGTGGCTTATGCTCCACATACTAATAGTAGCAGTTGTCTCTTTGTTGAATTTGCATGTGTGATTATCAATTATCTAATACACTATTAAAACAGAAGCACTATATTTATATTAACTTTGTTTTTTCTTGGTACCATGTAATAGTTTATACCATTTTAAGATTTGTGACATAAGTTACAGAGACAAGTTTGAATATATATATATATATACTATTTCTTTAATTTGCAATGAATGTTTCGTGTGGAGTCGGTGGTGGTTTTGATTTGAGGTTGGTTCAACAGAAGTGCAGAGAAACATCTCAGTTCTCTATGACTCCAATATCAACCAAAATGAGCTTACGTCATAGTCGACAGGAGAGTCATTAAGCAGAAACTCAGAAATCATTGGAATCGTGTGTATGAAACAATAAAATTGAAGTAAAATGTGCATAATAAAACTACGACGACAAATCCAATCAATTTTTCACTAATACCATGAAAGACATGATCGAACTTGCTGATATTTCGACAAAAAAAAAGCTTACTGAGATTTGATAATTTTGTCAAAAAAGGTTTATATCTTTGAAGCTTTTGGTTCTCTCCTAGACTAGTCTAGATTGTTTCCTAGTTCTGCTGAATTCATTAACAAATCTTGCCGTTTTGGTATACACAAGAAAAGAATTTGCACTTGGACGAAGCTTTTGCAACAGACAACAGTTTCAGCTTTTCTTTCACCTGTTGCTTGAAAGAATAAAACTCTCACCAGCTCAAGAACATGAACATTGAAAACAAGATTTCCTTTCACAAGATGATCAAGCGAACTATCTGCCCCATATACTTAAACGCCTTTGCGGTTTCCTTCAAGCATTTGTTCTTCTCGTCCCGACTCCAATGCTTCATTTTCCCAAAACCATATCTAGTGAGTGATCAAAAGCACTGAGAGCGAAAAAAGAGTTATATATATTTATATAGTATTGACACTCTTACCTCTCCAAGAACGTTGAGCTTCTCACGTACACCTCTAAGCAAGTCTTGCGCATCCCCTTCCCACCTATTAAACTCCATCTCTCTCCCTCCTAGAAGCTTCTCCGATACCTCAATCAATCAATCATTCCCTTAGTTACATTTGGAAACAACACATATAGAGACGCATAACCAACAAGTCTAAATCATGGGAGTATTGATAGAAAGTAAGAACCAGAAACATGTCCCTTTATTTCTGCAATAGAACCATAGAACCTAAGGATTATGATACATCTTGATAATGAAGACAAAAGGATCAAGCTTGGTCTTGGGATCTCATTGTTTCTTTGTTACCATTCTTGTTCTCATTATCATCAAAACTCTCCTTAATCAACTTATATCATCTATCTATATACTATACTGTTTGATATATGCAGTTGAAGAACACTCTTTCTATGAACAAGACGTTTATCAGATTACTTATTCATCATACTCAAGAAACTTTACCTGTCTTACAATAACTTAAAATCCATTGGAATTCATTCCAAATAACTCAATAAATAAATATTTTAAAAGTCGTTTAGTTTTGAATAACACTGGATTTTAAAACATGATTTGAAATATTGATTGAATAACATTAGATTTGAAAATCCTTTAATAATGGAATACAAATCAGAATGGATTTTAAAACATAATTTAGAATAATTACTTGAATAACACTGAATTGTAATTAAATTTCAGTTCATTTCAAATACAAATCCAATAACATCCTGTAAGTATTTTCTTGTTTCACTCGAACAAATACACATTAACTACGATAGGAACTCTTCTAAAAAGAATGGGCACGTATTTCCACTTCTTTCTCCTTGGGAGTTTTTTCTTAAGCAATTATCAGTTTTCAGTAACTAACATTATCTCGTGCACGTAAAACACAAATACATTAATTATAATATCCATATCAGAAGTGACCTAGGGGCTAGGAAAAGCTTATAACATTTATCTACAACTAAATACAACTGAAAAAAAAAGAATTACATGAACAAATTGAGTTTATAAGTAGAAAACACATACCGTAACAATACCGCATACCTAAATGATCCATTCTATAAATACCCTGTTCCATATGCTTCATTGCCACACACAGTCAAAAGCAAGAGAGATAGAGAAAAAGAAATGGAAAAATCAAATGTTTATCTCATCACCATACTAATCACCATGGCTTCACTCTCTTCCCTTTCACACGGTATAGTAATTCCTGGCTACAACATAACCAAAGTCGTAATTGAGGATGCCGTGTATTGTAGGATTAACGGAGAGCCTGACCCTGTCTCGAATGCCCCTGTTTTCTTAAAATGTGGCGGCTCAAACATTTCCCTCGCTGAAACAACGACTGATCTCAACGGTGTGTTTACCATAGTTCTCGACTACGTGAGGACAGCTTTGTTTAGCCCTAGTTTCTGCGGTCTCGTAGTTAATCTTCCGCCGGGATATAGTTGTGCTCTTGTCACACCGGATGGCGTCCTCAATAGTACGTTAAGGTTTGTCAAAATCGTCGGTGATACCATTTTTTTTGCCGCCGGCATATTTATGTGACGATATATATATACTCTTATGCATTGGGGGCTTTTCTGCATGGTACATGATACATAATGGTCTTATTACTATGCTTTACGTATATTGAGGTGTCGAAGAAAGAAAGAAATAAGTGGCGTATGCTCCACATATAGCTTATAATTAGTTCTCTCTTTGTTGAACTTGCATGTATGATTATCAAATATATCTAATACTAATAAAACAGAACAGAAGAACTATCTCTTATCTATATTACCTTTGTCTCTCAACTTCTTTTTTTTTGGGTAAGCTGTAAATTCTGTTACCATTTAAAGATTTGTCACAAAAGTTAAGAGGCAACTTAGAATACAGAAATACCAGTTACCAACTCTTTCTTTAAATTGAAATGAATGTTTCGTGTGGCGTCTCGACGTCTTTCTTGGGTCTCCAGCTGAAGATCCGTCCATGGCTTCCATGCCGTGGTGGTTTTGATTTGAGGTTGGTTTCAACACAAGTGCAGAGGAAAAAATCTCAATTCTCTTTCAGCGACTTGACTCCAACATCAACCGAAATGAGCTGACTTCACATGTCGACATGAGAGTCATGAAGCAGAAATTCAGAAATCAATGGAATCGCGTATATGTAACAATAAAACTGAAGCAAAATGTGCATAAAACTAGTGAAGACGACGACAAATCCAATCAACTTCACTAATACCCAAGACATGAAGAGCTTACTGATATATGATAATTATTCTTAACATATGATAATTATTCTTAACATATACTCCCTCCGTTTTTTTAAGATGAATTTTCTAGACATTAGTTGTTGTTTTACAAAGATAAATTTTCTACTTTTTTGATACACTTTTTCAATTTTCAAGAAACAATGATTGTATTTGTTAGATTTTGATTGGTTGAAAATTATAGAAAATTGTTTTATTGCAAAAATCAATACACTAATGATTGAAAATCTGATTTTCCTTAATATATGTGAAAATCCTAAAAAGTTTATCAAAAAGAAACCGAGGAGTATCAGATAGACAAACAAAAAAAGACAAACCAGTTCTTGTCAACAAAAGTTTATATTTTTTAAGCTCTTAGTTCTCTCCTAGACTAGATTGTTTCCTAGTTCTGTTAAATTCATGAAAAATCTTGGCCCCTTGGTACACACAAAAAGAGAAATTTCACTTGGACGAAGCTATTGCAACAGACAACAGTTTCAGATTTTCTTTCACATGTAACATAACTACCGGGGGTAGACTTGCGTGATGGGGTCGATGAATTGATTGGTAGTAGACCCGGAAGGGTCTTGATATGATGATGTTGACGCATCTAGGGGTTTGGTGATAACGCGAGTGGGATAAATCTCCTGGGACAAATCTTCTGGCGTTATCACGAAACCGCTACGTCCTGGCGTTATCACGGATGCGTCAACATCATCTTATCAAAGACCCTTCCGGGTCTACTACCAACCATTTCATCGACCCCATCACGCAAGTGTATATGTTATCATGTGATTTTCTTTCAACAGTTTGAGATTTTCATAAAACTCTCACCAGCTCAAGAACATGAACATTGAAACCAAGATTTCCTTTTACAAGATGATCAAGCGAACTATCTGCCCCATGTACTTAAACGCCTTTGCAGTTTCCTTCAAGCATTTGTTCTTCTCGTCCCGACTCCAATGCTTCATTTTCCCAAAACCATATCAAAAGTCAGTGATCAAAACCATTGAGAGAAAATTAGTTTTTTAGCAACTGAAGGAATGTATGTAGACGTAATATAGTATTGACATTCTTACCTCTCCGAGAACGTTGAGCTTCTCACGTACACCTCTAAGCAAGTCTTGTGCATCCCCTTCCCACCTATTAAACTCCATCTCTCTCCCTTCTAGAAGCTTCTCCGATACCTTAATCAATCAATCATTCGCTTCGTTACGTTTGGAAACAACACATATAGAGAAGCATACATAACCAACAAGTCTAAATCATGGGAGTATTATTGATAGAAAGTAAGAACCAGAAACATGTCCCTTTATTTCTGCAACTGAACTAAAGAACCTGAGGACTATGATGCATCTTGATAATGAAGAAAAAAGGAGCAAGCTTGGTCTATGAACAAAGACGTTTATCAGATTCTTTATTCATCATCCTCAAGAAACTTTACCTGTCTTACAATAACTTGACCACCAGCGATGTGTGAGAAGTAGATACTGTAGAAATGAGAAAGAAACAGAGCCGCATTTTCACTCGCTTGTTCTTCCAAATACTTTGCATACGAAACTCCTACTTGACTTGCTTCTGGGATCGTCATCTCTTGTGATGTAAACCATTGTAGATCTTTCTCAATACTTTCACATCTCTCTAATCCTGTTCTCCTGAAGTAAGCAACTGCATAATTTGCCAAAAATCCACTAATCATCAACATAGTGAAATTAGCTTCAAAAATAAAGAGAAAAAATGGGATTTTGCTTACAGGAAACATCCTCAGATTCGTCTACGATTCGTTCGATAGTATCGAAGACAAGCTTGCTATCGACCAAGTAACTAAGAAAACCTTCCTTGCTCGGCCTCCAAGTCTCTCCCTCCACTTCATCGTCATCGTCTTCTTCTTCTTCTTCGTCGCTTTCCGGATCCAATTTCTTTCCGTTAACGTTGCGTAACCTCATGGCCACGAACCTCATTTCCTCAGTTATCCCAACGCTCTCTCCTGGATACTGCTTCCTGTACTTTGTCCTCTTCCTCTTCGCAGCCTTCACTGTAATCGGCGGTGTCGACGACGACGAAGAACGACACAGATTCAGTAGATTGTTTCGGTTTCTCTGAGTTCGGAAAGCGATAACAGAGCTGCGAGGAGGGTGCTGTTGAAGAAGAGAGAAGCGACCGAGCTTAGAAGGCGAAGAGGTCAGTGGAATTTGCCTCGTCAGAGACGCCATTGATTCCGACGAAACAAAATTGATTCTGAGAATTCCAATTTTTTATCTGCAATTAGTGGATCCGGATCCGGATCTTGGATATATCCGATACTTGCCCAAGTATAAAGATGAATTTTTTAGTGAAATCATCAAAATTTTACAAACAAAAGAAACACTTTTTTTTTTCTTTTCTCTCTTTTTTTTTTTCATATATTTCAAATTTAGTAATTTACAGAGACAAATGGCAATGTTTCTATTTTCGTACAAATCATTTTAGCTAAGCTAAAAGAAAAAAACCCATTTCTTTTCTGGCCTAATAAGAGGATTACAGATTCCTCTTCTTCTATGCTTCTTCAATCATTAGGATCTATACCTTTCTCTGCTTCTGTTAACTGATCTCCGTGTTCATCCAGCAAGTAATCACAAATCTCCAGCAACTGATCCGCCAACGGAGGTATCCCCGGGTTACGCCCGTCGTTGTAAAGATGTGCATTGAACTTTATCTGCCACACGTCGTGCCTAAACTGCTCTCTGTCTCTGTACTCTATCTTCCGCACCTTGTCCCGGATCGTCGACAGGTCCATCGGACGCTCAACGACGTCTAGATAGTCCGGAGCTTCCTTCTTGGAGACCGGTTTCAAGAAGAGGCGTGACACTTCTTCTTTGAGCCTTAGTGTGTCCACTATCGATTCCAAGATGTTCGCTAGACCAACCTGTTTGGTTAAATGAATACAAAGATGAGTTTCATTGAACAGAGTGAACAAAGTAAATATGGAAGCAAAGAGACTTTTTTCGTTACCTCTCCTTTCTTGCGTCGTTTTGGTTGAGGCGCATAATCAGCACCATTTGTTTCGAAGTCGGAGACATACCGGCTTCTGACGTTCCGGCCTCCTCTTTCTGACAATCTTCTATCGTTTCTTCTAGGAGGGTAATCTTCTAGATACCCTTCTACTAATTCGGGTTGCAGTTTCTTTTTCTTCTTCTTCTTCTTGGCTTTTTGTCGTTCCTCTTCTTCCCTCTCACTCCGTATTACCTCTTCGTATCTTCTAATCTCAGCTATCTCGTTGGGTTCTTCTGATACAGACATATCATCGTAATCTCTCCTCGCCGCCCTGTGCCCTCCCGTACTTATCTCCTCTTCTTCCCACCACGCTCTATCCTCTTTTGGTCTCCGCTCTAGAGAGTTCTCCGGCAATCTGAAGCTCTGCTGCCTCTGAAAACCCGCCAGTTCCGCCATTCTCTTTGTTTTCCGGGACTCGAACCGTGGACTCTCTTCAAGACTACTCATGTCATGATCAGTTATCTCTTTCGAGCGTTTTATAACGAGCTTCTTCTGAGGCTGCTCTCTCTCTGTCGGCGGTCGTATCACGAGATGAGGCCTACGAGATTCCGCTTGGTCTCTATCCAAGCTCACTGATGGCTGCGGGATAGAAATAGTGTGCCTGCTTGACGCACCTTGATTTCTCTCTGTACTAGACAAGGGTTGTCCAGAAACTGAAGGCTTGTGAGTTTCGCTCTCCGCTCTCTCTCTGCTGTAAGTAGGCATCAATGACTGCGAAGGTCTGTCAGATTCAACCTTTGATTCTTTAGGTTTTGGCTTACTGGAAATCTTGAGTTTGCTAAACTTGGACGTGGACTTCGTCTTAGTGTCTATGTCAGACACTGCTGCTTGCTCAGAACTTCCTGGAGCTTCAGAACCAGGGTTATCTGACATCCCTCCAGCAGGGATACCATATCTAAACCTCAGAGGGAGCGTCCCAGTTTTGGAACTTGAATTATCTCCCTTCGGAGCTTCATCTACAGAAACTTTCATTGCGCTTTTTGGCGCAGCCTTGGTGTTCTTGATAGGTTTCAGCTTCTTTGTCTGACCTGATTGTTCAGAAGAACTCGGTTTCCCCACAGACTTGTCTATATCCATACCTTCGGGCTGTGATTCTGTATTTTCTCTGTATCTTGGGCAGTGTTTATTGGTTCTCATGTGCCCATGCTGGCCACAGGCTCCACAAACAAAGTTCTCTCTCGCCGATTTCTTTTCCTTGAACTGCTGCTATGGAGCGAGAGAACAGACAACACCTCAGAATGACCATAAAAATAGCAGAATAAATAAATTATAGCATGTTGTACAGATTTGATTGTGTACCTTTAGGTTATCGTTCACTATTTTGAGCTTCGGCACTTGGCCCAAAGAATTGCCGCTCTCCTTTACCTGTTTACCTTTGGGGGTCTTAATCATTGGGATATCAACCTGCCGGGGAATACAAGATACAAGTTTGTCAGTACATGCAAGACCTCATGATTTGACACATTAATTGCAAAAGGGTTTTCCAAATTTCCAAACTTGTACTCACATTTCTGGTGTCTTTGACGGTGCTCTCATTTAGTAAGAAAGATGCATCAGGTTGGGTGGCAATAGGTTTCTTGTCAATGACAGTGGCCTTTCTTACAGGTTCAGCAATCTGAAAACCTATATTGGGCCGTGGTGGAGGAAAGGATCCCATTCCTTCTCCCACAGCTCTAGTCTTCTTCTTTTTCTTCTTCTGATCCTCTTCTATATAAAGCATCACCACTTAGTGATTCATTGACAGAAAAAAAAAAAGTCTTCAGCTGATAGCACAAATATTTAGTTGAAAGCACGTACCTTGCATCAGCAATCGGCATAACTCCGCATATTCAGTAGCTTCATCTTCAATTTCTTCGTCCGTCTCAACTTGAGATGGCCGCCGTCTCATCTTGAGACCCTTAACTCCATCCAATTTGTCATTCTTAGACATATTAGATTCTTCCCCATCCCCACCTTCCTCGGCATCGAGTAAATTTTCCAGATCTCCGGCAAAGGAGTCCAAGTCACTGTTTGCCTCATTTTCGCTTTCATTCTCATCACCATCAAAAGCTGAAAGGGACAAAAGTTGCCTATCCCAAATCTCCTGGCACTTTTCTCGGGCCTGTTGTTGCATCTGCAGGAAAGACATTCTCTGGCCACGGGCATACTTTCCTATGGTTGTAGGATCAACCTTAACACCAGATGCAGCCTGCTCACTTGATAGCTTCCGTATCATAGCTATACGGTGCCATCGAGTTTGTTTGGCAATTATCTCATCAGGAACATTGAACTTGAGAAGAACCTATAAACAGATCAGCCAAACCATATCTTAATTAAAATGATCAATGGCCTTTATTTTGAAGATGTCTAGAAGAAATGGGCAACTTGTACTTTTAGGTTCTCAGACAGTCAGACATGAAATCAAGTAAGTGTACCTCTCGAGTCAGACATATGAAATCAAGTGAGTGTACCTCTCGAGCCGCGTCCATGCTTAATCTGCGAAGATCAGCATCGGTACCAGTGACAGTTGGGGCTCCACGACCAGCTGCTGCCTTTTTCTTCATATGCCCGGCCGCAGCTGGTGCTTTTGGTGCAGCTCTCACAAAGCTGAATCCTAGACCCCGTCCAGACGGATCGCCAACCCCAGTGATTTCCAAACGCTCTATATTTGCTCTGTCCTACTCAAACCCACAAATAATTATCAAATATGTGAGCATCGAACCGGCCAAGTAACGAAAGGGTGAGAAATGATTCATCAGAGGCATCACTAATAGGATTCGAAAAGATTCTTAACAAAACTAGAGGAGGTAGAGCTGAAATTAGATTTTCTAGGGGATGATTGGTGGGAGCTGTGGTTGCTCTCCACAGCTCTATATCTCTCTACAGCACTCCAAAATTACCAATCATGCTCTCCTTTTATCTCTTTCCATTTTTGAAACATAGAGCAATTTTATTTATTTATGGAAGTTCCGTAGCTGTGGAAAGCAATTTTTCTATAGCACTAAATTTAGTGCTCTCTAAATTCTCTCTCTTCTCTTTCCTTATTATTTTGTCTATATTCTTTTTTTAATCTCTTATTTCTATATCTTCTTTTTTTTGTTTTAATATTTCATTTAATACACAATCTACAAAAAAAAAATCTTAGAGCACTAAAAACTAAAGCCACAGCACTAAAACCTACAGCCTAAACTCTACAGCCAAAAATCTAAAGCCACAGCCACAACCAATCACGCCCCTAGTCTTGCTTGCAAAAAGCTAATAATGTATCGTCTGCCATATCTACGAAAGAGAACTGATAATGACCACACCTTTTACAGATGAGGGATGATGACTAACTCCTACGTTCCTAACATTGCATAACATAAGTAATGCTCACCTGATTTGTACAAGCAACAAAATTACTGCTTAGATTCCATGGAGTAATCTGCAACTCCCTCTCAATATGTGATGCAGCGGCAAGGGCAATAGCTTCATCTGGGAGCTGAGCCAATGCATTTGATATGCTGGCAGGCAATGTAAACCGGGTAATCCCTAAATGTTTGAGCCGGTACAGCCCAGCTAGCATACTCTCATAGGAACACACCTACGTCACCAAAATTTAGAGAACATGCATCTTAAAGAGTATACTTCCAGTAATAGGTACCAAAGGCTCATTAACTCTGAGCAGTTGAAAACAGATGGCGTGTATTTCAACTATGAAATGAGCTCAGAGGAGAAACTTACATGCTCTGGGGCC